GTAAATTCATACAAGGACCTTGAACCTGGCTTAGTAGCAGATGGTGGTATACACATTAAAAATGACTGGCAGAAGTATAATCTCCATTTTCAGAGACTGCGTAGGTCTGACTGCTACCCTGATCAGGAGTGTAATATGGTCACCAACATGCTCTGCTTGTAAACATTCCTAAGGTACGCCTGTGGCCATCGCTAAGAGACAAAAAGCTGAGCTGTTGAGCTGACCCATCACCAAGGATTCTGATGTCCCCTCTGTTTTTATGATACACTGATGTATTTCTTGATGTGCAATTATACACACTGGATTCTTTTGAAAGAGAAACATCAAAAGTAGCCCTAAGTCTTAAAGAGGCTCTCCGGGGAACTTGCAAAATAAATGGTTATTTAGTGGATAGCTGTGAATTGTACTACTAGCAGGCTAGCTGCCAAGCCACACTAAGCCCCCCCTTAAGACAGGAATTTATTGAACATCTCTAACAGTTCATTAGGCCTGTAGAATGGCATATAGAGAAGTTAATGGAACTTTTCGGAAGCCCCGGGAATGGCTTGGCTTAATTTTTGAGATGTCACAGATTTCACATTCCAGCCATCCCAAAGTTCAGAGAGGCAATATTCTGAAAATGGCCTTAGACATTTTCCCCATCTTATTTATTTATATGTGAATTAGGAACCCACACTTTCATAAAGGCAGAGTACAACATATAATATGGATATAACCAACCAAAGATCCATAAAGACACCATTCAAAACATCAGTTAATATCAATAAATACTGATGGGTTGGAAGGAAGAAAGAAAGAAAAATCATGTTGTCCAAACAAAAAAAGTTTCCCAAAGACATCTGAAGGAAGAGAGGGGTGGTATAAGGCAATATACTGGATTTAAGAAACTCCTTTGTGATTCAGGGGCTTGAAAAGATCCTGAGTTGTGGCAGAGAGGTCAGCTTTGACCTAAAGAGAGATATAAGACTGTTACAAAGGTTGTGTGCCACCCCCAATCTTTGCCAAATAGTGCACAAGATTCCACCGAGGGTCGTGCAGAGAGCCCACAGGGATACAACCTTGAGGGCTTCTTCCACCTTGAGTGGCCTCAGTGTTGTTAATGTAGGCTCCAAAAATTATTGGGGGTGGGGCAGTGGGAGTTAATGAAGCTAATCATACTCCAACTGCTCAAGTGTAAAGTTTGGGAGAAGCATCCCCAACTTTTCCTTACAATGTCCATGTTGCTGATAACTGGTTTCTGTTTTACCTATCTCTGTGCTGCCTCCCCTTGCCCCACCTTGCTCCGTGAAAATGGATGTTGAGTAGTAATTCCTCTGCTTTTGTGAACTAGTTAATTCAAGCCCATTTGACAATGTGTTTCAGTCCTGCCGGCTAATTAATTTCACTCAGTTTAATACACACACTTTTATAGGAGCTCAGCGTATTGAGAGGAAACAATAAAATTATCTGTGCACTAACTATAAAAATCCCTGCTACTCTGCTTAGCAAATATGAGATCTTGTTCCACAAAGCTTAATAGATGTTTGTTTATTTTCTCAGCGATAGATTCCCATTAAATAATTATTTCCCACAATATATGCAGCCTGGAGCTTTGCCTGCCACTGCCAATCGCCGAAGAACTGAGAGTCAGAAGACACAGTACTATTTCATTTCAAACAAACGGGGGGAATTGCTCATATAAAAGTTGGCACGATAATCAGTGGTTAGGGAGAGCATTAAATATGAGAACCAGCCTTTTCTAGGCCTCAGGCAATGGATAGGCTTCAATCCCATACAGTGTCTATGGCATATACACTTGGAAGCATGTTCCATTTAATCAAGGGGACTTTATTCTGAGTAAATATGCATAGGGCTGTGCTGTCGGTATACCAACCTAGCTTCTTCCTCCGATTTGTACATATCAACTTGGGGAAATTGCTGCTATGCTACAAGCAGACCTCTTTTTCTTGCAGGGTCCCTGAGGCTTTAATAGCTGCAAGACTTCACAGATGGAAATAGGGGCAGCCACATGTACCTGCAGCAGCTCTATTCTCCCACCTGCAGCACCTTCACTGTCAGAGGCACTGTGCCTCTCTATACTAAGTGGGGAGGTCACTGCTACACTCATGTCCTGCTTGGGGGCTTCCCATAGGGATCTGGCTGGCCACTGTGAGAACAGGATGCTGGACCAGATGAGCCATTGGCTAGATCCAGCAGGCCTCTTTTTATGTTCATTTGACCTCATGCGCACCATTCCACTGTTACAAAATGCCAAAATCTCATTTCTGGCTGTGCTATGTGGAGTTGCAGCTTTCTGACCAGCCCTCATTGCTGTGCCTTTACTTGTAGTTTGATCACAGCATGGGGGGGGGGGGGCTGTTGCTTAATAGTGGCTGCAGATCCAGCTACAGGGACTGGTTGAAAAGTTGACAAACCCTCACTGTTGAAGTTTTCTTCTTCTTCTCTGCAACAGTAAATATGCACCAGCTTCTGAAAGGAAGTGTTCTACTAAATAAACTGCAGCAGTTTGTACAATTAGTTTCCTAACACAGTGAGCTGGTTTGTTAAGCTATGGTTTATTAAACTATGGCTTAGCCTTATCTGTGAAAGACAAAGGCAAGAGTTGAGAGTGGGCTGATAAGACCTAGATGCTTGAAGGAGAAAGCAGCAGCCTGGGAGTAAGAGAGGCAGAGCGGCAGTTGATTTCTACTGAGATTGAGGACTGTGACTGTGGGAGAAGCAAGACCCTCTTAGGGTGTTAATGCTGTGAGCCCTTCCAACATAGGCTCAGGTTGTACATTTGTGTCAATATATCATATATCATAAAGACAATCTCTGCTATGCCTCATTCCAAAGGAAACACACACTCTGGGTAAGTGCCTGGAACCCCTGGACTCTCACACCACTTGGAGACTGGGGTAGTGTGCCACAATATAAATCTCTGCTGAGTTGTTGCTGATTCAGTTTATGCTTTTAAACTTCAGTTTCCACAGATCAGTGTTTCCTATATAAAAGTTGCTTATGCGCTCCTCCGGTTTACTCAGCATTCATCCTGATTTGCTGGGGAAAAGTGTGCACAGTAGTTAAGTTATACTGTATCTGGTCTTTATTATGCATTTGTTCTTTTTTGCTCATCCTGGCAGTTATACAATGATGAGTACCCATCTTGATTTGCTTGTCGGATGATTACACATCATCCAATTAATCATTCATTCATCCCACACTTTTTGGTGCATTTCCCCGTCACTTCCCTATGTTGGCTTCATTTAGTTTTTTAGGCAGGTTTCTTCTGCAAGAAAGAAACAGGTCACTTTGTGCAAGCCAAATTTCCATTGGGTGCTTGAATCCCTCCTGAAAAACAGTGACAGTCTGGAGGCACCCTGTGCCATTTAACTGCTCCAACATTGCTTTCTCCCCAGAAGTAAGTAGTTCCAGGGTGAATGTTTTACACCAACTCCACCTTTTTCTTTTTAGTATATTCATTAATTTATTACATTGAACATTCCAGGGTGATTTTCAATACAATAAGAGGGGCTGAGGAAACCCAGCCAGATGAGCGGGGTATTAATAATAATAATAATAATAATACCAGAAAAATACGGTAGAACGCAAATACTAAATGCTAAGTAATAACAGTAGCAGATTCTTGAGTAAATAAGTCTTCAGCAAATGGATAAAACCACACGCCTTTGCATGCATTCATCCTGGTATTCAGATGGCCAAATGTATGTTGGAGGGGGCTAGGCGCGCAGCCCAACGCATAGGGCGCTGGCTGCCTCCCTCCAATATTTGCGTGTTTAGCACGAACGTCTGAAGTTGACGGCTAACTGCCTTCGCACTCAGCGGACAGCTCCCACCGCCCACCTGCGACAAGGGGCTAATAATGAAATATAGTACCGTATATTTCCATTTTCACTGAAAGGGAAATGTGAACTATTCAAAACTAAAGGGGAGGGACATATTTCCCTACATGAAAAATACCGAAGAAGCAAAGAGTATGGACTTCTGTCTAGAGTGGGAGGCGGGGGACCACAGCATGCTGTATTATCACAAGGAAAGGTGATAGTTCACTATTCATTTTTCCTGGAAAGGTGTCATTTCAAGCCTCAGTAGATCAGAACCAGGCTTTCAGAGAAAACAGCTTCAGGCAGTGGGTGTGTCACTCCACTTATATATCTCTACTGACGACGGAGCTTGACTCTAACTTTTGTGTCTCTATAACTTCGTTTCTCTAATTATTTGCAGGCATTGTGGGTAATGTAGTTTCCTTAACGTGGCCTTTGGGAAGGGTATCCTGGATGGACGCGTTCGATACACTCGCGCGCCTTCGCACAATGCCTTCTGGCTATTGTAGTCCTTCCTGTTCCTGCTGCTCGCGTTGCCCTGCCTGTGTTAGGCGAGGTCTCCGCGAGATCAAAGGGCTATAGTCTCAATGTCCTTGATATATGTACTTCCGGTTCAAGATTGCTCTTAGTGGGATCCTCCATGTAAGGGGCAGAAGTGGTGGAAGGACACCAGTGCAGGCACCCGCATGAAAACAAGAGAGGGTTAGATGCTCCCTTTAGATGCCGTGCTCTTCAGCAGCGGTATATTTCATGGCTCACGGCTTTCCATTAATTTAGCCGCGCTCCCATGGGTGGGGAACTTCGATAGGAAACCGGAAGCAATATGCTTTCCTTACAACATCTCTTTGGGCGCCGAACTTTGCGGCTTCCTCCTCCGCACCCGATTGGCCGGGCGGGCAGGCAAGTGACGCGAGCGTCGGCCTCGGCGGCTTCTCGTCCAATTCCGACAGGCCATGTCGAGGAACGGCTCGACCAATGGGACCGCGGCGCTCTTCGACGCCGGCGGCTGGCCACTAGGAGCCCGGCTTGGCGCGGGCGGCTTGCTGAGGCGGTGGCGCGCGATTGGCTGGCCGCGTGGTTGCTCGAGTGGGCGGGGCGGGAGCCGGGGCTCCCCTCACGGCGCAGCGGCGTTGGTGTCTCTTCTCGCGGCGGGGGAAGGAACCCTCGGAGACAGGGATGGAGCCGGCCAGGCGGGTCGCGGCGCCGCCGCTGCTGCTGTGGGCCACGGCGGCGTTAGCGTTGTTGTTGTTGTTATCGGCTCCAGGCCTTGCCGCTGCTGGTCAGTAATGGCGCTCCTGGCGGGGCCTCGCCTTCCTGGGGCCGAGTTTGGGGAGGGGGAGGGAGTGACAGGCGGTTGGGAGAGGGAGGGGGCGGCCTTCACCACAGAGGGGCTGAGAGGGAGGCCGAGGGAGGGGGGCTTTAGCAGGGGAAACCCCCCCCCGTTACACCCCCACCCACCCCCACCTGTCTTGCAGGGTCAGCATCACCCTCATTGAAATTGCTTGTACGGTGCCTTGTCAAATAGGCTTCACCTTCGCCATATGTCATGCTCCGTAGGGCACCTGGCATTGTGCTTCCCGGTGAATTTGGAGAGCAATAGTTGGGGGAGACCAGCCTGGTCTTCTCATCCATTGCCCCGGAGAAGGAGCAGCTGCTGCTGCATGCAGCTTCTTGCTTGCACCTACCCTGCCATAGATCGCTAGGGAACTAAAAACTAGTGCCTGAGTTTGCTGCCGCTGCCGCCTCCCCCCTTTTTTGTTTTGCGGTAGATTGTAAGCCCGAGGGAAGGAGAGGTCTTGTTAATTGAGCTCTGTGAGCTGATTCGGGCTAGCGAGGGGGGCGAAGATACTTCAGATGTGTGAATAAAATGGTGGGACTGTTGTAACTTGGTTGCACCAAGAGATGCAACCTTTGGGGCCATGGCTGGCCCAATGCTGCTTTCCTTCTGTCTCCTAAATTACTTTTAAATTGAAATATTACTGCCTTTCTTCTCTTCTGCGTCCCATACACACACACTCACGCTGACTCAGGTGGGTTTATGTTGTGCAGCACAGTAGCACATTTGACATTTCATGAATTGACTGAAGGTGTTTTCTTCTAGTTCCCATGCATAATGCCTGTCACTTACCTACACTTGCCACTTACCCAAAGTAACAGAGCCCTCTTGCCTTTGCCCACTCCCTAACAGACGTTAACGTTCTATGCTAATAGATTGGTGGCGAGTGTCAGGGAGGCAAGTGCATTTAAACTTGACAAAGTGCACACGTGGAATGTGTATATGGGCAAGGTTTTCCTTGTAGCCCATATTCTGTTTAAATAACGGTTGCGTCTATGGCTTGGGCAGAAGAGAGAGAAGACCCTAGACTATTGGACTGTAGGGGATTTCACGTAGCAGGTAAGCCACTAAGCTGCCTTGCTTGGACCATGGGAGAAGATGTTGGATTTTACTCCCACATACTTATGTAGGTGAATTTTGGCGTCCCGGTGATTTCTTCATATGCCTCTCTGGTTCATTTGTTCCTGTGGGTGAGCTGGCAGGAGGCAGTGAATTCACTTGCTGGTGATGCAGCAAAGAGCCCAAATGAATTGGATACTCATAACAGGTGGTACTCAGAGATTCATAACACCGGTCAGTGGGGCACAGCTTTATTCATTTATTTAATGGAATTTGTATACGACATAATTGTAAAAACCTCGAGGTGGTTTACATAAAATAAAATATGCATTAAAGTTAACAATAAAAGTCAAAGTTAAAAACAATCCAACAAAAATCAAACTAAATAAAATCAGTAGTTAAAATGTATTAAATGATGTTTTAAAATACATGCTAGTGTTACATATCTGAATAGACTTGCCCAAACAAAAAAGTTTTTAGTAGGCACTGAAAACAATACAGCAGATGCATGCATCTGCCTAATGTCAGTGTACAGGGAGTTCTAGAGTGTAAGTGTTGTCACAACAAAAGTGATTCCTTACAAGTGCAGAATAACACTTTGTGTCAGATCAAAGTGAGCATTTATGGGGTAAGCAATCCTAAAGTAAATGGTTCCATGCTGTTATGAGTTTTATATATGAAAAGTAATCTTTTGAATTTCAGATTGGCCGTTAATGCAGTTTTTTGTACAGAGATAATGTCTGGATAGGCATGTAGCTGAGGAAAGATAAAGGGCTGGAGAGTGTCTGTATATTGAATAGCTAACCCAAGGGCAGCGGTTGCAAGTAACTGGTTATTTTGAATGCATAGTGTACCTTTGAATGTATTTTACATTTTAAAGCATAACAACAACCCCACTGCATGTATGTAGCTAAAACCAGAACACTTACTAATCCCTCTTTCATATGCACCATAGCTCAGTTTTATAGTTTTATCTCAGCCTAAAGATTCTTTGGTCGTTTTCTTTTCCCATCCTGTTAAACAATTTGATGTGGAAGTTCTAATTACTAGTACTATGAGCAACTTTCTGTGCCACTTGACAACTTATCTCAACCAAGGATATGATTAGCTGTTTTAAACTAGCCATCTGGACTTTTCCCATAAGTATTTTTTAGGATAATCAGTTCTGTGAAGCAAAAGAAAGGAATCAATCATTGTGGCTTGTTGTTTTATGCAGGAACTGTGTTTCAGGGTTCTCTTTTTATCCTTTACAATGACCAGGACACTAAAAAGGACAGTTATCCAACAATAACTTCTGCTCATGCAATGGAACTTCCCTTCCCTCTTCTCCCCTTCATCCCCCAATCTACTCTGGAGGGTTGAGGGAATCTCCAGAACAGATTTGTGAGGGTGAGGATGGCCACAGTTGGTGTATGGGGGGTAGAGAAGTTCCATGACATGAATGCAAGTGGTTCTGCAGATGCAATGACTTCATTGGATAAGCCCATTAACATGCAATGTGTCATCCTCCTGTCTTCTGGCACAAGCATTTTAATACTTGTGAAGTTTTGGTTGGCATACAGTAATTAACTTTGGAATGAGGTTTTTTTATGCTAACCTTTTCCCACAAAATAACACATTTTTATGTGTGGATGTAGATTTACATTACAGTCCTTGCATTTTGCAATTCACAAGTTAAACACACAGGGTGATAGCCAACTAAATTGTATTCAGAGTCAGCCAATTGAAATCTATGGACTTAAGTTCAAGTTCATTTCAGTCGGTCTACTTGACTTCATTAGATTTCACTCAAAGTATATTTAAAAAGACCAGTTGGCAAAAGTGCACAGCTCAAGATAAGACTGAAATCTGGAATTGGCTCTAGATATTCCAGAGTGTGTGCATGGTCAATTTGTCATAGGCTTCCTTGAATACTGTAATAACATGCTGACAAATACCTGAGATGGGTTTTGAAAGCATCAGTCATGTGATCCAGCAGGAAGTCTGCTCATAAAGCCTTTCAGGGACAAGAACATCTAGTTTCTGTCTCTTCAACCTTGAGAAAGTTTATGGCACTTCCTGGAAATAAGGAATCAGAGACTGTAGCTATTTTGACTTTAGAGGTAATTTGCCTATCTTTGTTCCAGTTTTGGTTTTTTGTTGGGGGTTTTTTAAACAGCAATGTACATTTCAAGATGTCTCCACTGCTTCCCCACCCCCAAAAGAGCTCTCCAGCAGAGACAAACACACACAAACCCGAAACCCAGGCTCCCAACCTAGCCTGGGGAACATCTCTTTTCACCCTGCTCCTGACCACACTACAGAGAGCAGGTGGATTCAGGGCTTCTGAATGCTACTTAAACACATTCCAAGCAAGAAGGATCCCAGCAAAGCAGACCCCTGCAACTACCAAGACTGCACCCTTGGTGTGCAATTCCTGCAGTGCTGCTGCCCATGCTCGACTTCTATATTAGGCCTGCTTGGCATCCCCATTCTGGCATTCCCCACTCTCACATTGTTGCCCCCAACATGTCCCTGCTCAGTGTGGTTTAGGCCCCAGCTGTTTCCACAGCCACCAGTGCCACCTTCTCCCACTCTATGACTGCCACTTGCCCAACAGTTGGGCCACTTGCTGCATTATGGGAAGCAACCACTGAAGCTGGACCAACTCACTCACCCCTCAGTTGACACTAACATCAGATGTCACCACCACCCTGGAGGCCAGAGATTGACTGTCCTTTGGCACTGGCTCAGCACAGGGACAGTAGCCAGCTCTTCTCCTCTCCTGATTCTGGGGTTAGGTTTTCTCTTCCTGCAAATCCCAGCAGCTATTTTGTGCAGGGTTCAGTTCAGTTCAGTTTGACCCTGTGTGTGTGTTCCCCTGCTGGGAACAGGCACACTCAGTCAGAACTCCTTGAAAGTCCTCTTGCAGACAGCAGATGCTGGCTGACTCTCCTTCCCACCCAGTCCCAGATTGCTCAAGGTGACTTGACCTGGGGTTATCTTGACTCAATTTGGTCCAAGCCCAGATCAGCCTGTTTCAGTGTGGGCTTTGGCCGAATCCAGTGCACAGCCCTGTTACTTTTATGCCACATATGGTTACAGTATTTTCAGGTGTTGTCATTGTAAAATATTTTTAATATTATTTTCAAACAAAAACCAGGAAGACATTACAAGTACAGTGGTACTTTGGGTTAAGTACTTAATTCGTTCCAGAGGTCCGTTCTTAACCTGAAGCTGTTCTTAACCTGAGGTACCACTTTAGCTAATGGGGCCTCCCGCTGCTGCTGCGCCACCAGAGCATGATTTCTGTTCTCATCCTGAAGCAAAGTTCTTAACCCGAGGTACTATTTCTGGGTTAGCGGAGTCTGTAACCTGAAGCGTATGTAACCTGAAACGTGTGTAACCCGAGGTACCACTGTAATTGCAAGTGTAAGAGCACTGATGGGAATGAGCATGTTACATCATACTGCTGTCCAGAATGCAGAACAGACACTTCTCAGCTTTGAAAGTTTTAGCCCACCATCTGGATTCAAAATGTCATATAATGGTAACCAAATATAGATCACCTCTACGTTTCAGGAACTATTGTGCCAAATTGGGTGATGGTCTCTTCTGAGTTGTCTCAAACGCCACAGTTTGGACTCATCACACCAAATTGGGCAACAATACCTTCAGAGGCTAAAGAAGCACCTGAACCCATAGATGGACAAACCACTCCCCCAAAACATATAATGGAAAGTCAAAATAAATATGAGCAGAGTAAGCTTCCAAATAGCCGTATATCAATACTCATAATTATAGGGTCCCTCACATTATTTAAAAAGAAATTTACTTTTTTTGTTGGGCAGATAAAATGTCAATCTGTTTTCTAGGAGTTTAATGCTGGGAACAGTAACAGAGTCAATGAGCCCTTCTCCACCAATTTTTGTTTCACTTATCAATCAATTGTTGAACTTAAGGGAAAAACTGTATAAGTACTAAAAAAACAACTAAATAAACTTGACCTGTTTTTCTCCTTGCTTTGGAAAGAGCGTCTATTTGCTAACAATCAGCTGTGTTTGTCTACAACTTAATATAGAGCTTGTTCCTTCAGAGAGATGTTAACATGATGCAATGAGAATGAAACACTGCTTGCTTCACTCTTAAAGATACACATGAAAATACACTTACCAGTTCTGGTGGTTCAGTGGGTTCGATTTAAAATTATTTGTAACTTGATATTTTCTCTCTTTATACGTCTTCTTAATATTAGTCTGCTTATATATGGAATTTAATACATACAGTAATCACTTCAGTTTCATAGTTGTAAAGCAAATAAATTTTCAAAGAAAAATAGACCTTGTATCGTCATTGCAGTTCTCTAGCAGAGTTTTTTCCAGTGCAAGCAGAACTACTCATTAAAAATCTTGATGAAATCGTATCTACTTAGGATTTGCACTGTCTGCCACTGTTGTTGTTGAGTCGTTTAGTCGTGTCCGACTCTTCGTGACCTCATGGACCAGAGCACGCCAGACACTCCTGTCTTCCACTGCCTCCCGCAGTTTGGTCAGACTCATGTTTGTAGCTTCGAGAACACTAGGTGATTTCTAATAATGTGGTATGATCCCACCCCCCGCGCTGTTTCTACATCTTTTCCATGAAGACTCAAAATGACTGGCTTGGCATTAAGTAAAGCAGCAGGTTTAACTTTAAAAGTAAAACAAAACCAAAGTTCTCACTGCTAACCTGCAAGCTTTATGAAAACAGATAATATAAGATAAAAGGAAAGTATTTCTTTACACAGCACAGAGCATTTGGTGGATCACTGTAAGAACAGGATGCTAGACTAGATTCAGCCTGATTCAGAAAGCTCATCTTATGTTATCAGTGTCCTTTTTGCGATCTCTTCTATGAAATGCAATTTTTTGGCTCTTCTGTGACACGGGTGGCGCTGTGGTCTAAACCACAGAGCCTAGGGCTTGCCTATCAGAAGGTCGGCAGTTCAAATCCCCGCGACGGGGTGAGCTCCCGTTGCTCGGTCCCAGCTCCTGCCAACCTAGCAGTTTGAAAGCACGTCAGAGTGCAAGTAGATAAATAGGTAGTGCTCCAGCAGGAAGGTAAACTGTGTTTCTGTGCGCTGCTCTGGTTCGCCAGAAGCGGCTTAGTCTTGCTGGCCACATGTCCCGGAAGCTGTACGCTGGCTCCCTCAGCCAGTAAAGCGAGATGAGCGCCTCAGCCCCAGAGTCGTCCGTGACTGGACCTAACGGTCAGGGGTACCTTTACCTTTACCTATGATTAGTAGAGCTATAAAATTAAGAGCTTGTCTCTAATACAGTGTATTATTTCTTGAATATATTTTATACATTGCAGAGATCAGATGCCAATAAAAGATACCAATATCTACAAGCAATTTAAACTGTGGAGTGACATTTGGGATGGGAGAATAAGTGTTCTACCACACTTTTGATGAGAGCATGATTTGTTCAAATATTTTGTTGTTGAAATTGTAAAAAGTTACAAATTTAAACAGAGGCTTTGTGTGGCTGATACTTTCCAGTGGATTCCCATTCTGTTCAATAAAATTTAGGTGCCTTTGTTCCATCTAACTTCTATTAAAGTACTGTTTAATTTTACAGATGAAGAAGGAACTCAAGAGGAGCCTTTTGAATCAAAGGTGAGCACAGAATCTCCGTGTGTGATTCTTGCTGATAAAAACCAATATGAATTTTCCAGTTACCGACAGGTGACAAAAGAATTATTATGTGGAATGTAAAAAGTGCAATAAATATACATACAAGTACCTTAGACTATAATTATAATTGTTCCATGACATGGAGCAGAAACAGTAATTTCAACTTGGATTTTAAAAAATGGTGGGCAAGATCCAGCATTGCATGAATGGACATCCAATAGTGCAAAGAGTCTTCTTCATTCTGTCTTCCAAACCCTCCAGATGTCCCTGCAGTGGCAGGTTGGGATACCCTCCAGAGCAGATCGGGGGGGGGGGATGCAGGGGTTTGAGGGTGGAGAGGAGAAACCAAAGTTCTTTTGCGCAAGAAAATGGTCATAATCTGATCTCACCCAAAGAAAATTTGGGGCTGGGGTAGGATAGTGTAGTAGGAAATAGATGAGCTGCTGTGAGTAGAGAACAGGTTTACATGTTAAATGAATGCACTAGATTCTGAAAGTAAGTCTGAGTAAGTGAACAGGGCACATATTCAAAAGAATAATAATGCTCAAATCCTTTGACTCTTTGCATGCATTTAGTGTACGCCTAAATATGAAAAACTCCAGCTTTGTTTGCATTTGTCAAACATCTGCATATGAGAGGTGATCAGAAGCTTTTATCTACTTAATTCTCCCTGCTGCTCATTACCTAGACAACCTTGCCTTCTGAGGAACAGGTGAAAGACCATTCAGCTGGAACCCATGTGGTAGCAGGTCAGATCTTCATTGACTCTGATGAACCTGAGTCTCACATTGAAGATGGAGAGAGTTTCAGAAGCCAAGAAGAGGAAAAGGAAAGAACTTTGGAGGAACTAAATTCTCTAGAACTGTCATCCCTATTAAATAAGGATTTGGAAGAGGTAGAAGCACAAAAAGCAGGTAATCTTGGTTGGTTGGTTGGTTGGTTGGTTGGTTGGTTATAAGTTGCTTTGGGTTGCCCTGTGCAAAATAAAAGTGAATTAATGACTAAATAAAAAAATAAGTTTTGGGCTTGTGTTTCCCTGCAAGAATACTCTTTTGCTTGAGCTGTGTAATTGAAGTTTTATAACTTTTCACAAGTTGAATTTTAAAACTGGTAAATTTCCTCAAGAATAGTAGGAAATAGTAACTTGTGGTCTCAGCTTTTCACTGGCTTGATGTAGTTTATTCAGTCCATTAATGGTGACAAATACTATTCCTTGGGTTGCATCGGTTTCAGTGGTAGAAGATCCAGTTCTTCTCTTTGAAGTTTGTTTCTATTCATTATAGAGCATAAAGCTGGAATAAGTAAGGGTATGGAATTGTGGCATCAGAATTGCTAATATTTCCTTTTGATACAGGTTTAAAGTGGTACTGCTTTGTTTAGCTATGTAGTCAACCCCCTTTCATTCCTTGCATTCACCACAGGGCTACAGAATTGGTTGGTTTAGAATCATAGAGTTGGATGGGTCATCTAGTCCAGGAATCTCAACTAAAGATCCAGGGTTGCCATACGTCCGGAATTTCCCAGACATATCCAGAATACTGCAGTCAGCAGCAGTGTCTGGGCAGCCTGCCATGGAAATTTGGTCTAAACAAAACTGGCAAAAAGAGAATCTTCAAATGTTTAAAGACCAGTTGGCATTTATGAGGATTTGAACTTTAGGGGTAGGAATGGAAGGCTGTTTTTCAGCTTGTTAGTTCATGGTGAGGAAAAGTAAGACTTGTTAACTTTGTACAAAATGTTGATGGAGCCTACTTAAGGAATAAGTCTGCTTTTCATAGCTCAATCGTAGGGCTGCTTTGCACCAGTTCTAGCTTTAATAAGGGGAAGGCTTGTGGCAAGAGGCAAGCGGCTTGTGAGTCTGCAGAGCCTCTTTGGTTGCAATCTCTTTATATGAGAATAAAGCCAGCTGAAGATATAAGATTGCGCTGTTATGGTCTTAAACATGGAACTGAGTACAAGGAAAGTGAATGTGTATAAAACTCTCAGATTTCCCACCTCTAGAACATTGATCTAGAAAGGCATTAGAGAAGTTTAAGTGTAAAGATATGCAAAAATCTGTTTATTTCCAAAGAACAGTCAACGTTGCTTTTTTTATCATAGTTAACTGCATTCTACTCTTACGTTTCAAAACGAAACACACTCTACAGTATCTGTAAATTGATTCATATATGTTGTTGTTGATGATGATGATGGTGATAATAATAATAACAACAACAATAACTATAAGTAGCAGTAATAGTAGTAAAAAAAGGTAAAGGACCCCTGTAAGGTAAAGGTAAAGGACCCCTGGTTAAGTCCAGTCAAAGGTGACTGAGGTGTGGCACACATCTCGCTTCAGGCCGAGGGAGCCGGTGTCCACAGACAGCTTTCTGGGTCATGTGGCCAGCATGACTGAACCGCTTCTGGTGCAATGCAACACTGTGATGAGTGCCAGTGTGCACAGAAATGGTGTTTACCTGCCTGCCACAGTGCTCCCTATTTATCTACTTGCACTGGTGTGCTTTTGAACTGCTAGGTTGGCAGAAGCTGGGGCAGAGCAACCCTGTCGTGCGGATTCAAACCGCCGACCTTCTGAACAGCAAGCCCAAGAGGTTCAGTGGTTTAGACCACAGTGCCACCCACTCCCTGGTGGTGGTGGGTAGTAGTAGTAGTAGTAGTAGTAGTATACACACGAGTCACCATTGTAGTTTAACTGGCAAGTGGCTGACAGTTTTTGTCCATTACTGTCAGCTACTCAGTGCAAAGAATATCCAGTGTTAATAAAGTGTATTGAACCTGGAATCTCCCAGAGGTTTGAAACTGCAAGCAAAGCAGTAGTCACTAAACTGTAATGAAACCTTTTTAAATATCTAATTATAACATACTTGAGAATAGATGTGCTTCATGCATGATAAACACAGGATATATTGCCTGATTTTAACTTCTCTCCTAATGCCACGTCAACTATAATCACTGACTTTATGTAACTTTCAGACTAGCGTTACATCTGAAAACGACTCATAGAAACCTAAAGCTGCACAAATCCAAAGCTGTTTTCTCCTTCTGTTAAGAAACTTTGGCAATATCCATTGTCACACCAGCAGATGCAACAGGACTTTATCGCTTCCCCCCAACCCCCATCTGCTCCAGAGGGTCCCCCAGCCCTCTGGAGCAGGAGTTTGGGGGCATACCGGGAGCTGCAGGGTGGGAGGAGAAGAGAAAGTTGCACAAGTAGAAGTTCCATATGCCCAGATTTCATTAGATGCTAGGATTGAACAGCCCCCATCACAGAGGAGAGGTGCAGGGAGCTTCTCTCTTTAAACAATCAGTGGTGACTGATATAGGCACTTTTTCCGGTTTGATGAGCAGATTGCATGCCTGCACCTTTTCCTGGTCCTACCTCCACTTCTGCTCCTTAAATGTGGTAACCATTTCCGCCGCCCCCCTGGCCCCAAAGGTTTGGCAGGCCTTCCCCTATGTCTTTAGCACAGAAAGACCTGTTGAATTCAAGTAGATGTGGGAGAGGTTTCCTCTATAATCAACTTAATCAAGCAATAGCCTTATAATAGGTGTGTCAGTGAGAATTTCACTTTACAGTGCTTTGTTTCTCCTGGTTATTGAGTTCTTCTGAATGTCAAATTGCTTTTCAGCTTGATAATTAATAACAGGAAATATGTACACTGTATGTGAGAGTGTTCAGAGCTGCCTAATGTGTCTGAATCGCTATGCAACAGCAATGAGACATGCTGTAAACAACTTTGCACACATGTGGTCCTTTTGCTGCCAGGCGATAATTACTAATTAGTGAACTACCAGTCTCGTGTGTGTGATTTCCTGAATTATTGTAATTTCCAGAGCTTCTAACTAATCCTAACTATGTGTACGCCTATTGAATTTTAGTGGGGTTTATTCCCAGGGAAGTTGGGATAAGATTGCCATACTGAAAATTGATACTTTGATTTAGGTTGCAATCTTATAGACAGTTTCTACATTTTGAAAGGAAAATACCAAAAGATGCCACATGTTCTATTTTAACTAAAAAGCTGGGTAAAAACAAACTCTTAGCAGCAGTTGAGCTCCTTCCTTCAAGATATGTTAATAATGCAAGATATGTTGGGTTGTTGCTGTTGCTGTTTTTAGTTTTGACAGCCATTGGAGGAACTGCAGATGGTGAGCCATGCTACTTCCCCTTTCTTTTTCTGGAGAAGGAATACTCAGAATGTACTGCAGATGGAAGGGAAGACGGTAGACTCTGGTGTGCAACAACCTATGACTACAAGGCTGATCAAAAGTGGGGCTTCTGTGAAAGTAAGTATGGCAGCTATGCTAAGAGATTCCATTACTGACCTGCGTGAGATTAAGTCAATGAATGGTGCTGAGACAGAAATTGAATACCTGTTCTTAGAACAATAGGACTTGGGGGTCATCTGCTGAAGTTATTTGGGCCAGACAAAATAATAAGTGGATTAGGCTCCTCCAAGGTCTGGTGGTGGCCAGTGGCTTAGATGGCTCTAACAGGAAATTAGCCAGATTATTTGGGGAACCTCCAAGTACCCAGTGTTGAAAACAAAACAAGATGAGGTTACTGTTGCCTTTTTGCTTTGTGAATTTCCCTTGATCTAGCTGCTTTCCCACTGTTTCCCCCACAGTGGTGGGAAAGAAGCTGGAAAAGGGTGCTTTTTACTTAAGAAAAAGCTGTGGGGACAAAACTTGGAACTGACAGCAGCATGCAGTTTGATGTTAAGGAACTGTAAATTAACCTTTCTGGGAGAATAAAAGTTGCTCTGGTCGCCATGAAGTAGTAAATATATCTTCACATTAACAGTTAAATGAAAAAAGCGGAAGTAAGCGTGATTTCTTTTTTTCAAGAGAAGGATACGATTTTACTTTCCAGAGTTCAAGAAGATGCTTGTCACTCTTTTTAACATGACCACCAAACTCTGTGCTAGGTATACTTTTGACTATTTTCAGTTCATGGTTAACTTTGTTTCCTTCTGAGCCTTTCCCCTTTTGGCTTCTGCAAGACAAAGAAATACGAAGCACAGTGGTTTGTTAAAAGCACAGGAACCCAATGTGAAATATGTAGGTTGTGGCGTTCTGTAACAGTCCAGATAGCTGCCCTGAGAACAGTGTGAGCAGTGTCTTGGTGGCTAAAGTATTAATTACTCTTTTTTATACTTTTCTTTAAAAAAAAAAAGCTGAAGAAGAATCTAATAGGAGAAGACAAATGCAAGAGGCAGAGGATGTTTACCAGACTGGAATGAAAATCCTTAATGAAAGCAGTAAAAAGGCCCAGAAGAAAGAGTGAGTTACGTGTGTGAGAGAGAGAAAGAGAATTAGGCCAGTTTTTAAATTTATAAATGTGACTGGCCAACTTTATTTTATACTGCTAAAATTTTGTTTTCAATTGCAAATAATACATAAAGAGGAATGCAGTGGTTTCAAATCCAACTTCATAGAACTTTTGCACTTACTAGGAGCAAGTGAAATTTTAAAGAACTGTTGTAATGAGTTTAACTTGTCTCATCCAAGTATATGAGTAACTGTAATCTTGGATAGGTGGCAGAAAAGCCCAAGAAGGATCCGTAACCTGGGCACAGCTGCTGAGAAGGCTTCTTTCTACATTCTCACCAGACATGCCTTAGAGATAGTTGTTTACAGTCTCAAGTGGGAGCTTCCATGTGTAGGTCTTCCATGCTAGAACGGAGGAACTGCCTCCATACCCTAAAACTACTTGGGTTCTGGCTATCTAGGAAACAAGCAAAGAACATTTGTTGTATGATACTGGCTCCTTGGATCCTTTCCTGTGTAGGTTTTGGCCTGGTTTTGTGACTGAAACTTACTTTGTTACAGTGGTGGGTGGTCCATGCTATGAACTGGGCAATGTTGTGTTTTTCTGTTGGTTCTGCTGGACCTCTCCATGGCTCTCAGTACCTTCCACTATGGTATTCTCTAGGGCAGAGCTTTCCAAACTACGTGTCACAACATATTAGCATGTCAGCTGCAGTGTGTAGTTGTGTCACCTGAACGCTCCCCACACTCCTCCCGGGGCTGGAAAGGGGTTAGTTTAACCTCCAGTTTTCCAATAAAACTGAATTACTGTGTTGCGAAATGATGCCTATCTAAAAAGTGTGTCACCAACATGAAAAGTTCGGAAAGTTCTGCTCTGGGGGTATCTCACTGTGTTGGGAGAGGAGCACCATTTTATGCCTACCCCTACCTTGCATAGCAGATTGTTCCTGCTCAACTTTGTGCCCTTACAGGATTCTACAAAATTTTGTCTTGTCCCCATGCTGCTTACTATCAACATGAAATCGCTGGTGCTGGGTGTCTGTGGATTTGGAGTTGGGTGTCATCACTTTGCAGATGATACTTACTTACTTATGTTCACACCTATTCTTTTTCTTTAAGAGCCTATCAGTATCTTATGAGAGCAGCTGACATGAATCATACAAAAGCAATGGAAAAAGTGTCTTACGCCATGTTGTTTGGGGACTACTTGAAGCAAAACGTTCGGTCAGCTAAAGAACTCTTTGAGAAACTGACTGAAGAAGGGTCTCCTAAGGGGCAAACAGTATGTATACCTTAAAGTGTCCTCCTTTGTTAAGCAGTGTTTGAACGTTTGTAAAATTGCATATGACTTGCGTTGTGTGGTTTGTTCTAAGGAGTGTGCATTTCCTCTGCTCGTTGGCAGCCCTCCTTGCATGCAATCTGCCAAAAGCAATGATCAACCTGTTTTGCTGTCACTGTTTCTGTGTTATAAGGCCTCATATACCTCCAGGGCACCTATGGCTGATGTAAGGTTTGCCTGCTCGTTTGGTGTTACCTAAAATAGTTTGCTCGTATCAAAGCACATGTTCAACTATTCACATCGACCATGCTCAGTTGCTCTGAGAGGTATGGCAGCAGTTCTCAGGGTCAGCCAAGCAGGACAGGTGGTTTCAGTAAGAACTACGTCTGCGTCATGTTCATACCATTTTTAAAGAGCTTCATAGACTTCAGCTAGGTTTTTTTCCTCTTCAGAAAGGAAAAACGAGGTAGAATTACTTGTCTAAATTATACTTTTTCCTTAACGGCAAATTTATTACTGAGATTAGTAAAACCTGACTTTCCATTCCATTTTAATCTCTCAACAAGCATATCACATATTTTGGTATCCACCTAATCTTCACTGAGTTGGAGCCAAAATAAAATCCTGTGTGTAGCTTTTCTGTTGGGGTTGGCGGGGCAGGGGGTTAGCCCATTGAGGAGCATAAAGGTTGCATTGTTGTGAGGTTTTCCTCCTATTCTCGCTGCAAGCCTATTTTTAGATGGGCTCACAGACAAACGAACTCTAAGGGTAGTAATCTCCATAATAAACTTTTAGCTTGTGTACCGTACTATGTTGCTTTCAGATTTAAGATTCAGGTTTTCCTTTCCTGCGCTGCAAATGTTCTGCCTGGTTACTGTTGTGAAATGCCTAGTTTGTTGACACTAACATAAACATGTTATGTGGACAATATTTCAAATCCTTTTACTTAAAAAGCTATGTACTGTTGCAAAAATCCATATTTTCCAAAAGAGTAGTTGTGTAAGTTTCTTGTAACACCTTAAAGATTAAATAATAAATAAAAAAAACCTTGTGACTTACTCAAGCCAGATAAGCAACCCTTGCACTGTGCCTGAAAGGTCAGGTATATTGCATGGATATAATCCTGCTATCTGCATACTTTGTATTAACAATAAATATATAAGCACAGTAACCTTGTAAAGCAGGTTGTAATGGTAGTTAAACCAGTCCTGAAATTGCCAATTGTGAACTGTGTTCTTCCATTTCAGGCTCTTGGATTTCTCTATGCCTCTGGCCTTGGTGTTGATTCCAGCCAAGCAAAGGTATGGCAATTCTACTGATGTTTCCCCAAGTCTTTTTCTGATGAATATGCCAGTAAAAATAATGTTATTGACCAGCCTCTGCTTTTTTTCTGTAGGCACTAGTTTATTACACTTTTGGTGCCCTTGGAGGAAATTTGATAGCGCATATGATTCTGGTAAGTCCATTTGTCATCTAACACACAAGTAATTGAATAAAACCTGCAATGTATCATATTACCAAAAGGAAAGCATATTACAATATCTAAAAGTACAAGGTGTTCCGTTCTGAAGCATTCGTTTTATTTTTATGGCTTAGTCTGTTTTTAAGTGCAACATTTCCATGTTTAGTACTTGAGACCAGCTGCATAACTCAGTTGGTTGCAGCATGGTGCTGATAACACCAGGGTTGCAGGTTCAATCCCCATACAGGAGAGCTGCATATTCCTGCATTGCAGGGGGTTAGACTAGATGATCCTCAGGGTCCCTTTCAACTCGATGATCTCTTGAGTCCAAAGGTCTTTGAATCAGTCCATTGGTATTAAATAATTTCTTCAAATCCTGCTGTATAAATAGTGCAGTTGCTCCTAACTTAACACTAAGAATGTGCAGCTGTCCTCAACATCTCTCCTTAGACCACAGTTGAGGAGTCATCCCAGAGGAGTGCATGCCAGCAGTGGCAGAGGCTAAAACAAAAGTGGGCAGGGGAGCCACACAAAAGCACACTCACATTCAAGCTCTCTTTGGTACTGCTCAGCTGTTTTTCCTGATCAGCTGGACCACCAGGGGGCAGAGGTGAGGGAAGAGATCACTGTGAGAGGATGATGAAAGTTCACACCCTGGTTTAGCTATTATGGAAACAGCTGTGCAGTGGCAAAGAAGGGACTTGGAGAACTGCTGCTTCAAGGCACTCCAAGCCTGTGGAGTACATGGCTGTGTGTCTCCTCCAATGCTCACAATGCTGTGCCACCTCCCCCTTCTAGTGGTGATTCTAGAAGATGGCACTTCTGTGGCCTTGCTTGAATCTCTGCTACGGATACGTTGGTGGTCTGGTCCAAACCACCAGTTCCCCTACCCCTGCATGAGACTGCTTGCAGCACAGGCAGCCTTTTGTTCCCAGTTGTCTACACAAACATGTTAACTTTCCTCATTATTATTTTTTTAATGAGACATTCCTGCATGTGGTAGATTTTGGTCACATATGCAGGATGAGAAAGACGCAAACAAATTTGGTTTTCGGTGGGTTCTCATAAGCCAAAGCTGCAAGCTATTATGCAGGGAACCACTGTGTGGATGTTTTTAAGAAAGCCTTCCATGTTAAAAAATGCCAGAATTATAACTGTGTTCATAATTTTTCATGAAAACAAAATCTGAACCTAGGACATTGAATATGATGATTGTCTTTAACCTTTTCTCTCGTGTCACCATCTGCTTGAAATAAATTTAGTTATAAAACAGCAAGATCCATTTTTAAAATTTGTGTACTATTCCCAAATTGTGGTGGATTTTTTTGTTGTTGTTGTCGTCTTAATAGTAAGTTGGAATAACACGAGTGGCTTCTTTCTAGGGCTACCGGTACTGGGCTGGGATAGGAGTCCTTCAAAGTTGTGAATCTGCTCTCACACATTACCGTCTAGTAGCCAATCATGGTATGTGTATGTTTGTTTAAACATCTATTTATATATTTCCCATTAACTAAAATGTCCACACTGAACTGTGTGCTTGTCAAGGTTGATGTCAGTATGTGAAAGTATGGATATCTTTTTCTGTTCTTCAGTGTGCCTTGAACAGAAATAAGATTAGCCTCTTCACATAAAGTGAAGTTGGTACAACAGCCATTATGCATTTTTAGCAGGACCGGCCCATCCCGCTTCTCCACCTGAGGTGAAACAGAAATGTGCTGCTCCTCTCTGTTTTGCCTGCCCCACCACTGCCAGCAGAAGTGATGGACCAGGTGGGATGCTGCCTCTTGCGTTTCCACTGCCTGAGGTGGCTGCTTCACCCTGCCTCATGGGTGTGCTGGCTCTGATTTTTAGGTTGAACGGAGAATCTGCACTGTGGCGAAAGCATAGAATACAGTGGTGCCCCGCAAGACGAATGCCTTGCAAGACGAAAAACTCGCTAGACGAAAGGGTTTTGCATTTTTTGAGTCGTTCCGCAAGACAAATTTCCCTATGGGCTTGCTTCGCAAGACGAAATGTCTTGCGAGTTTGTTTCCTTTTTCTTTAAGCCGCTAAGCCGTTAATAGCCGCTAAGCCGCTAATAGCCGTGCTTCGCAAGACGAAAAAACCGCAAGACGAAGAGACTCGCAGAACGGATTAATTTCGTCTTGCAAGGCACCACTGTACTTTTTGTAGCTCAGCCTAGTTTTAAGAGATTCAGTCTCTACTGTCAACAATATCATATTGATTTAGGTTTCATTTCAGATTTATTGGCTGTTTCGAACACGCAAGGTATGGTTCTGTTACAGTTTTCTGTTTAATCTCTTGCAACCCATGCTTGGTAACTCCTCGTCCTCTTTTATAGGGCTTTTGTATATTTTTGAGGGGAAGTTCACACATTTGGGTTTTTTAGGTGTATGTGCAAGGGGTGTTAAGTTTGTGCATAAAAATGTGCAAATGTGTGCCGCTGAGGTACACTTATTAGGGCACACAGAGAGGAAGCTGCAGCCAGCCATTTGATTCTGCACTTGGTGGCAAGTGTGCAGTGCAGAACAGTTCTGAATCTGACTGGAATGGTTCCTCTCTGTTTCTTTTGAGCAATTGTATTTGAGTAACTGCTAACCAGGGTTCTTCTTCTCTCTCTAGTGGCTAGTGACATCTCTCTAACAGGGGGCACAGTGGTGCAGAGAATTCGTCTTCCAGATGAAGTAGAAAATCCAGGAATGGCAAGTGGGATGCTAGAGGAAGATTTAATACAATATTACCAATTCCTAGCTGAAAAAGGAGATGTTCAAGCACAGGTATGGTTAGATAGAATGGGAAATGGTTGTTCTTGGAGAATGGTATAACAGCAACATATAAGGAAAGTGCTAGAAAGCTATAGGCCACACATCAACGTCACTGACTTCATGATAAGTTTACTGCAAAGCGCTCTATGTGGAGCTTCCCTTGTTCTTAATCTGGAAGCTGCAGTTAGCACAGTTGCTGACATGAATGAGACCCTGTCATACAACGCCTCTGCTCAAAGCTCAAAGGACTGCACTGATTGCCTGTTTGATACTGGGCCCAGTTCATGGATGTAGTATTGCTATATAGAGGCCTTAATGGCTTGGGACCAGTTTTCTTAGGGGGATTGTCTTGCCCCATATGTGTCCACCCAACCTCTTTGATCTGCAGAACTAGCACCGTTACAGGTTCCGTACAATATTTGTTCCGCATTATAAGAAACGGTTCTTTTGTTAGTTTGGCAGCACTTTGGAACTCCCTGCCTATTGACATCAGGCAGATGCCTTCACTATATTCTTTGTGGTACCTGCTTAAAATGCCTGTCCAGACATACTAAAAATACGTGTGTTTTATTTCTTTTCAGCTGCTGTTGATTTTAATCGTTGTTTTTTAATATCTTTAAATACTCATTTTCAGCAACAATGTTAAAGTTTTATTTCACATTTTTTTGGACCGCTTACAGGATTTGGTACATGATATTTGTTTTTAAAAGGAATAACAATAAAAGGTTGACATTTTGGGGCAGGTGAGAAAGATTGTATCATAGCAACTAAACTGGGGATAGGAGTCTGTGATCCTCCTCTGCATATTGATGGACTCCAATGCCAATCAGCCCCAGCCAGTGTGGGCACTGGTCATGAATGATGGGAGCTGTAGTCCAGCAACACTGGGAGGATCATAGGTTCCCCAGTTTGTCTGTGGCATTGTGAGCACATGAGAGCTTTAGGGAGGAATGCATGACCTCTAAAGGTAGAGGAACAGAGACAATTGTGGGCTCCTTCACTTTTTCAAAATGTGAGTGACAGTCAAATTTAATTAAAATGTGTGTGTTGTCCTCCTGTAAAGTCATGAATGCGTCCATTTAGCGGCACACCTGTGCTCTGTGCAGCACACTTCAGAGTTGGACACATTTGTTTGTCTTCAGCACATTCAGTGGCCTTTTCTTATGTTTCTTAAGCAGGAGCTGCCCACCCAAGAGGTTCTTGTTGTCCACAGTTCACTGTGAAATTCACGATTGACCGAGTTTTTGGCAGATACATAATGACACAGCATTAACTGAACAACTTTGTATCTGAAAAACAACCAGACATAAAACTACACTCATAACCTACAGACATCCAACTTAACAACCTTAACAACTCTAAAACACATAAGTTTTCAAGTCATAGCATACTGGTAAAGCAGTGCAAGCCAGTTGCCTGTGTGTGATCTGAGGCTGTGTTCTACTGGAAGGTTTTCTTTAGTTAGGCTCTCAAATCTGATCATTGCATTTAGGTAAGTTTTAAACAGGCTAGGAAACAGTGGCTTGGATTGAAAAGGAAATTTGGATTGTATGGGTAGAACTCAAAGGAATTTTATTTTATTTTTTAGAAAGAAGAAGATAGGTGTGTTCAAACATAAATGTCATGTCAAGGCAAAACTGCTTCATCTTATGTGTGTGTTTGCCCACCTCTGCTCTAAAACATTCAGTCTGCAGCCCTAGGACGACACATGGCCCTCAGCCTAATTTCAAAGGCCCTCTGCAAGTGATCAGTTCAGAGTTCTGATGAGCTTGCTGGGGAGGGAGAAAGAGACTCAGGGCCCCATCCACTGCTGAGACTTGGTCCCTGACAGATGACCCCTGAGCAAACATGTCCCTCAACAGAAGGGTTGCCCACCCCTATTTTAATGTACAGTATCAGTAATTTATCACTGCTTGCTGGCTTCAGGTTATTGTGATTAATGAAGCAGGGCAATCACCTCCTCAAAGTATTTTCTTTCCCTTATTGCAATATGTTTTGCTCATTATATACATGACAAGTTTTCAATTAATGTTCTAGGTTGGACTTGGGCAGTTGCATCTGCATGGCGGAAGAGGCGTAGAGCAAAATCATCAGGTATGGTTCATTTGCTGTTTTGGTAATGCAGTGAATGGTTCATAGAGTCTTAGTTGGAAGGGTCATCTAGTCCAGTGTCCTACAATGCTGTCCCCCATCCTATTTGAAACTATCCTGGTCCCTGCTTAGCTTTGCAAATGTGCTGGCAGTTTTATTGCTGCACCATTAGTAATCAATTAACAGTCAATCAATTTTAGTTGCACATTAATTGCATTGTAATAGTATTATTAATTAATTAATTAATTAATATTCCGCCCTATACCTGGAGGTCTCAGGGCAGTTCATATAAAAAGTAACTGGGTGCATATAAAAAGTAACTGGGCTGAAACTGGAATGCTATATGTATAATGCAGCAGCTATCTGTTCTGTTGCTGTTTTATGACTGTTTGATAATAAGCACTTAAGAATTTCAGTACTTAATAGAAATCTTGAAGTTAGGAAAGTGAACATGCAAGGAGCATGTTAATGCACAAGGTGTATCTCAGCTTTTGTATTCTTAAGCTGTTTCATATATAAGATCATACATCTGTCTGAAATGAGAATCTAGTTTACATTGTGTACCTGAACCAAAGCCTGGCTTGGGTTGTTTCTGTTCTGGAAACATCCAGGTTAAACTGCTGTATTGCGTTAAATGTGGCACTGCCTTGAAAGATAATTTGGGACCTACAGCTAATGCAGAATGCTGCAGGTTGGTTGCTAACGGGGACAAGAAGGCTTGAACATGTAACACTGGTTTCTGGCCCAACTTCATTGATTGCCAATTTGTTTCCAGCCTCAATTAAAAGTTGTGGTTTTGAGGCTCTGAATCACCTTTCCCCATATAAACCTGCCCTGACCCTGAGATCATCATTGGAGGTCCTTCTCTGAGCACCACCCCCAAAGACGGTCCGGAAAGTGACAGTGAGAGAATAGGCCATTTTTGTAGTAACTTTCCCTACTTTTGTAATACTTTCCCAAGGGAGGCTTGCCTGGCACCAACTCTTCCATTGTTATGGCACCAGGAAAAACTGTTTTCATTTTCCTGAGCACTTGGGCAGCACCAATAATTGGGTACTTTTACGCCAGTTAGGTTTATGTATTCTTTACTGTATCATCATGTTTTATGCTTGTAAATTGATTCAGGACATTATGTTATGGTAAACAGTTTATGAATTTAGTTAACTAATACAAACTTGCTCACTTGGCTGAGTATTACTGCCAACTTTTCAAGATTGCCAGGTCAAACAACACAACAAAGAGCACATTTAACTGAGTTCTGCAATTATGTAGCAATAGTTATGGATCTTTTCTCTTATTCCATTCTCTAGCGAGCTTTTGAATACTTCAATCAAGCAGCTACTGCTGGTAACTCCCATGCTATGGCATTTTTGGGAAAGGTAAGACAGACACACAGTACGTTTGGGAAAATATTCTGTGTTGTCACTGAAATCAACTGGCTAACTGCTTTTTTAAAAAAAAGATCTAAAGGTGAACCTGGGTGCTTAAGATGGGCCTTTGGTCTAATTCAGCAGGGCTGCTCTTATGTTACATCCCCCCACCATGAAAGTTTTTCCTTTAAGTGTTTTCGAACTTTAGTTAGTTGGGCAGCAATGTTTCTGCTTTAGTTAGAGCGGAAGTTACAGTAAAGTGTACTAAAGTTTCATTATGCATGAAAGAGTCTCTCAGCTCATGTCTCTTTTTCTAAATAATCTTCAGTTACATTTTGTTCTTCCAGATGTATTCAGAAGGAAGTGATATTGTACCTCAAAGCAATGAGACAGCTCTTCAGTACTTCAAGAAAGCTGCTGATATGGTATGTTTCTACTAAATGAGCATTTTAATTTTCATAGTTGTCATAAAAGTACAGTGTTTGAGGTCCCAGTCAATAAGGCGCATGACGCCTTGTGCTGACGGTACATAGGCCCCCAAACTGTCTTCAGAATTATTTATAAAATCATTCTTGGATGTTGTCAGAGGCAGTTTACAGAAAAAGAAATAAAATACAAAATTGATAGTAGCAGTTATATAATCAATAACCTAAGACAGAGAGCAGTTTAAAACAAATAGAACACCAACAGGACCAGTGTCTGAAAAAAGGAAGAGTTTTTAAGGCCCATTTAAAAATCGGCAACTCTGTAAGGAGGCAGTTGCACATTTCTGTCTGTCATCACAGAAAAGGTTCTGTTTCTTGTGCCCCAGCTTAACTGCAGGTACATGAACAAGTCCTCTGAGATAGATCTTATTGCCTGCATAAGTTTGTACAGGTGTAGGCAGTCCTTCAGATAATAAGTTCTCAAACTAGTTGGAACTTTGAAGGTCAAAATCAGCACTTTGAGATAACAGTTCATTCCTTTTCACATGCCTTCAGCCCAAGAATTATACCTTCATCACTGCCTGAAGCTATCAAGTGTCTGACATCAAATTTGTCCTAGCTTTCGGTGGAATCAAGAATTTTACAGAGCACATACGATAGGTCTAAACTTGGCATTGTGATGCTTTTTTGAAGGCCTAAAAACATGTGTTCTTTTATTCTTCGGAATGTTAGAAATACGTGGTGAAGATCTAGATTCAAACTTGTAATTGCATTCCAATTTATTCCCTTTCATTTTTTAGGGCAATCCAGTAGGGCAGAGTGGCCTAGGGATGGCTTATCTGTACGGAAGAGGTGTTCCAGTGGTAAGTCTGCCTGGCACTTTAATGTGGCAGTACTAATCTTCTAGGAAAGAGCCGTTTATGTGTACAATAAGTGACTCCCTTGCCTTGAAAAATTAAAGCCGGTTGTATTTATGTAGTGCCATCACTCTGCATGGTGCTTTAGGGTGCAAGAGGGCAGGGCTTGAAGCCCATAATTTGACCCGGGGGTGAACAGGAAGAAAGGCAGAGGTAAACAGGGAAAGAACATATATTTCAGTTATATGTAGTTGTGATTAATTACGCTTGGGCATTGGGAATATGGGATTTTGCCAAAGGCTTCATAGAAAATGTAGGTTTTGAGAATATGAGGAAGTTCTGAGAATCAAAACAATAAAGTGCAGCAAGGGAGAAAATACAGAGTTGCTTAAGAGAGCCGGGTGGGGGAGTGGGGTTGGCTGTTCTGTGTGACAGTGCTGGATAACGGAAGGTCATATTTGAGGATGTGTTGGGAACAAGAAGGAGAGAGAGGGCTGTCCCATAAATCACAAGGAATCCCATTTAATCACAAGGAAAGGGAGCTTCTGCTAGATCTGAGACCAGACAGGAAGCCCACATAGAGTAACTTGAGATTGCCAGGGCTCAAGTTCAATATAGCTTTCCCCTTCTAGTATCAATATCTGTCTGCCGTGATATATCAGTTGCCCATTATCCACACTTTCCAGAAACAGCTGAAGACATTTTTGTTCTGACCGACTTTCCAAGCTGGACAAATGGGAATTTATCACAAGTTTACACTTGTTAGGGTCTTAGTTTTGTTTTAAATGTATTTGTTGTTGCGTTTTTAACTGTTTTAATTATATTGTGCGGAAATTGCCTTGAGATGCAGGCTTAGAAGGCAATTAATAAATTAACTGTAGTAATAATAATAATAATATAATCCAGTAATAGCTGTAAAAGTGTCTGGTAAAACTTTCAAAGTGAAGTAGAACTCCAACAATCCTGATTATCAGTTGTCTTTGTCTTCTTGCAGAATTATGAGCTAGCCTTGAAGTATTTCCAGAAGGCAGCAGAACAGGGATGGGTTGATGGGCAGCTTCAGCTGGGCTCCATGTATTACAGTGAGTGACTTTACGCCTATGTTCAGTATCTACAGCTTGGAGTCTGCAGTACTAGTTGGTGACCAAGAGGTGGCAGTTGCACTCAAAAAATAATAGTAATTGGTTGGGTTTTTAAGAGTAAAAATACTTGCTTTGTAATTTTTCATTTTCAATTTTGACATAGGCCAAAACCAGTAGACATATAATGTACATAAGTACCACCACCACCACCCCGGTGGCATCAAATTTATTTCCCCCGCTGTATTTGGTCATTTGAACAGATATCCTTCTTGCTGAAACCATTTCAAAGAACTGACCTGAGTACTTTCTCTTTTCTGTGAACAATAGGAAAGTAAATATTATGTTACTGACCAGGACTGGGGTGTGTGTGTGTGTGTGTAGAGACAGAGAAAAATACTACTGCACACATCACGTAAAACTCTGGAATTTGTTACCATGCAATGTAGTGGTCACCACCTTAGATGGCTTTAATAAGCATTTGGACAAATTAAAAATTTAAGAAGATCGCGAATAGGGCACAGGTGGCGCTGTGGGATAAACCACAGAGCCTAGGGCTTGCCGATCAAAAGGTTGGCGGTTCGAATCCCCGCGACGGGGTGAGCTCCCATTGCTCGGTCCCAGCTCCTGCCAACCTAGCAGTTCAAAAGCATGTCAAAGTGCAAGTAAATAAATAGGTACCACTCCAGCAGGTAGGTAAAGCGGCTTAGTCATGCTGACCACATGACTCGGAAGCTGTACGCCGGCTCCCTTGGCCAATAAAGTGAGATGAGCGCCACAACCCCAGAGTTGTCCACGACTGGACCTAATGTTTAGGGGTCCCTTTACCTTTAAGAAGATCACGGGGGTGGGGGCAGAAAAAAGCTCAACAAATTTTTGGATGACCTCCCCCCCAAAAAAGCTCAACATTTTTTGTTGAGCTGCTGATTTTCTGGATTTTCACTTTGTGAAATATGGCAACCCTTGTTTTAGTTCTGTACAAGGCCTTGACATTTTGTGTTGGGGCAGTATAGAAATACTTTTATAAATGCATGCAATACATAAATGCATAAAATGATGGCTTTGTATGGTCTTCAGTGCCAGAGACAGTATTCCTTGGAATACCAGTTGCTGGGGATCATGAGCAGAGATAGTCATATCGCACTCATGTTTTGCTTGTGTGCTTCCTGAAGGTATCTGTGGCCACTGTAACTAAACGGGCCTTTGATCTAATTCGCTAGGGCTCAGGTTCTTGTTATGGGTTTATTCAAGGTTTTTTTGCAGATTGGGACTCCTATCACACTTTGAATAAGGATTGGAGGCAGTGTATGTTGCTTATTTTAAAGATTGCAGACCTGTTTATCAAGAAGTAGGCCTTGTTGAACTTGATAGAACTCTGGTGTGAAATTTTTTTTAAATTGGGCTGTGTGTTGGGTTATCCACCTTGGTTAATGAAGTGAAAGGCGAGATAAAACTTCTACAAAGAATCATAGACTAGTAGAGTAGGAAGGGATCTTGAACTAAAGCATCCATGGCAGATGGCCAGACAAACATTTGCAGCAGTATACTATAATCAGTACAATCCTTGTAAGAAACTCACTACTTTTAATGCCCAGAAGGCCTAATACTTAATGCTCTTTCAGAACTGAATGTGCTTTCCCGATAAACAGTTAATATTTACTAGTGTTGTATATTTAAAAGTTACTTTTTACACTTTACAATCATTTAGCTTTTGTACTTTTGGATTTATGGGGAGAACACTGGTAAGCCAAGTGGCATCAATTTCAATCCTTCTAGCTGCCCCTAATCCTGTATTGTCACTTCTCTCTTTGCAGATGGAATTGGAGTCCAAAGAGACTATAAGCAAGCCTATAAGTATTTTAACTTGGCTTCTCAAGGAGGGCATATTCTGGCCTTCTATAACTTGGCACAAATGCATGCCACTGGCACTGGTGTCATGCGCTCCTGTCATACTGCTGTGGAGGTAAGCATTAACTCCCTTCCTTTGCAGACTTACAGGCAAGGCCTTAGCAAAGTCGTTGGAGGTACAATCAAGCAGCAGTCTTTGCTCATGGGGTTGAATTTGCTTTAAGTGTTCTGACTGCTCTGGGTGGGATTCATCTAATGAGTTCCATCAGCAGAAGCCCACATGAGGACTTCCACTTGCACGGCGGGGCTTCTCTCCCCCACATGCCCTCTGAAATTGTCTCTGAGAACTCCCAGAACAGCATCCGGAGGATGGAAAGAGGGAGACGTTGCATTTGGCAGGTTGCAATGCTTGTGCTGATGGAGCAATCCACATAGAGGGATGTTGAATTCCTCCCTCTTTGTTAGATCTGTACTCTTTTCGGTGCATGCTAAAAATAATTTTATTTATATAGTCTACCCATATCCATACAATGTTGATATGTGTTTTAACCTGTTTTTAGTTTATTGCTGATTTAAATTATTTGAATGTACAGTAACTGTTTTACCAATAATTTTATGGGTTTTTTCCCTCTTTGAGGGTTTTTTCACAATTAAGTGGTGTCTAAGTTTTATTTCAGTTATGCTTTTATAAGGATTTATAAAAATTATTTTTAGCAGATTGCTGGTCTTTGAAGAATAAAGTCTATTCTTCATCTGAGTTGTACAAGGTTGTCCTTAAATTTCAGTCCACTTTAAAAACATGAACACTTTCTAAGTTAAACACTTTCCACTAGAATTTAATATAAATTAAGATGAACACTTCTAAGTCAATAACTTGAGAGCAACAAAATATGGTTATATAAATCTGAGGTCTTTAAAGCTGGGATGGGGAATTTGTTACCTTCCAGATGCTGTTGGACACCAATTTCCGTCAGTCCCAGCCAACATGCCCAATGGTCAGGGAAGATGGAATTTGTCATCCAACAACATCTGGAAGGCTGTATGTTCCCCATCCCTGCTTTAAAGTAAACTTGGCAGATAATTTGTGCAACAGGTGAATTCCTGAATGAATTTTTATGTAGTGTTTGTCACTCGTTTCCCTGCTGAATGGCTGTGCACCCTGATCCTTTTATGCCTTGATGCATTCTGAATCTCACAAATGAAGGGTCTGCAGGAAAACCTGTTTGTGTCTCCTCAATGTATTCTAAGTGGTTAGCTTAAAAAGTTACAGCTGTATTGTGTGTGTTCTCTGCAGCTGTTTAAGAACGTGTGTGAACGAGGCCGTTGGTCTGAGAAGCTTATGACTGCCTACAACAGCTATAAAGATGGCGATACGAATTCTGCTGTTGTTCAATATCTGCTGTTGGCGGAACAAGGCTATGAGGTTGCACAAAGCAATGCTGCCTTCATTCTTGATCAAAGTAAGGGATTGGACTACATCTTGTATACATTACTGGCTTGGTGCTGATTAGCTATGCTGTGATTTTTAGCACCGAAGGTGGCTTCAAATGTAATGATACGCTTCTGGGGTTAGAAATAACCAACCTGAAACAGCCAGCTTCTTGACAAATCATGAGTTATAACTTAAACAGAATAATTTATATATGTTCCATTATGGATAAAATCATAGAATGCTATAGTAAAAATGTCCCTTCATTCCCCCCAAATGCCTGTCCAAACTGAGACCTTGCACTCAGTGAAGGTTGGTCCATTAGTGCAAATGGGACACTGCTCCACTAAGCTCAGCCAACTTCCCACCTGCTTGCCTTCTTCCTTACATCCCATCCAGGGAGCTTCCTTCTCCTTAATCTCAGTGAGGATGGGGACAAACCTAGAATGAGTTAACTCTGCCTGCCTTTGACTCTGGTTCCACCTACTGTTGGCCCCTCTCTGCCTTCCCCCCTACTAGTTTCATTGGGCACCAACCATTGGGCTTGCGCTTCTTCAGAGATGTCCAGGAAGTCAGTATTTTGCATGTGAAGCAGTCACAATGCACAGATTTCATATGCTCTTGCTTGTTGAAACTTAATGAATGGGTGCTATTGAAAAGACGATCTGTGTTAATCTTGGGCAACGTAGTGGGATTGTTGGGCTTTTTAGGTAATCGCTGAAGTACATAACTGTTTAAATTGACCCATTATCATGCCACTCTTAAGCAAGCTTCCTATTGAAAACTAGTATAGGCACCGTGTGTGTTCCATCACCATGGCATTCTATCCCAGTGTTTTTGCGGCTCTAAATTTAAAGTAAACCACAGGCCAAAATATCAGTTATGGAGAGAATTCTTCTCCCACTGGACCAGAATTGCAGTTTTGGGAGGAGGGGAAGAAACAGGATTATAATATATTATTTTTAGAATAGAACCAGGGCCTGCTGTTTTTCAGCATTTTTCAGGTCAGTAAGGAAACACTGGGAAGCCTCCTCTCCAACCAGGGAGGGTAGGTGTTCTTGCTGCCTTTGGATATTTGAGGGTTTTCAAGCCTTGCTCTTACGGGATTGCTTCCGAAGAGAAGATTTCATGAGTGGAAACATTTGTTTTATTTTTAAATATGTTTTTCCCCAGGCTGTTAGATGCAGAATGGCATCTTGCACAGAGAACACAGGGGCAGAAAATCAGTCCCATGAAGGAAAGTGTAAAACACAAACCCACCATCTATGCTTGCTGGTGTGCGGGGGCCTAGTGTAAGCTCCTGATTTTGGTAGGTTCTTGCCACCAACCACTGTGACCATCAGGGTCTGGCAGACTAGATGCAGGCAAGGGGTGGTGACTGTGTGATGTGAATGACAGAAATCATTTGGTTAACTTTGTGCAGCAGAACTAGGAGGCTGTGCCCACCCCTACTCACCTGAATCATGTGGGTACTTAATCCTTTGGAAATTAAATATGACTTGTGTGTTTAATTCTCCCAACATTTATTCTAATTCCTCAGAAGAGGCCAGCATAATAGAAGAGAATGAGACTTATCCCAGAGCCTTACTGCACTGGAATAGAGCAGCCTCCCAAGGTGAGTCATAGCTCAAATTCTCTGGTTCCTCGGCCATAGCACACATGAGGAATCCTTGTGGCAGTTTCCTGATTAGACTGGTATTGCTGCTGTGTCTGTTCAGTAGCTGGAAGCAGATCGTGAATAGGTTAAAGTCTTGCTTTGTGCCACCTGAATCCTCTCTTCCCTGCAGCCACATTTCTCTGACTATTGCAAAATACATTCAGATCTAAGAAATCTTGCATATTACAGAGCTGAACTGATACTGGGTCTGCTTTTGCCATGTCATTGCACTTGGCTCATTGCGCAGTAGCTGCTGTAATCACCTAGATCCCAAACTTAGTCATTTCTGAAATGAAATTTCTGAAGGCTACCGTATTCTCAGGGTGCATTTGCATAACGGGGCACGTGTGTTCAGCTAAATACTGCAGAATCAAATTCTGTCCATAGTGCCAGAAAATCTTGTGGTGAAATGAAATTCCCTGTACAGTTGGTTATTGGTCTGGGACAGAAACCTACAAACCCTGGCTAACTGAAAGAAATGTGCCATATAGCTCACTCTTCTCTTCATCGTGGTTGTTCTTTTGCTGATAGGTTACACTGTTGCTCGACTGAAACTTGGCGATTACCATTTCTATGGCTTTGGAACTGAAGTTGATTACGAAACAGCATTTATTCACTACCGCCTGGCAACGGAGCAGCAGCACAGTGCCCAAGCTATGTTCAACCTGGGCTATATGCATGAGAAAGGACTTGGTATCAAGCAGGTGAGCCACCTTGGGAGACATGGTCGTTGTGAAATTTGTTGCAGCAAAATTTCCAGTATGGTCAGTTGTAAGAATCTCTTGCCATCTACTGAAGGCATTTGTACATAATGCACTGGGCGGCAGGTGGGGAGGGGAGGACTTTGCAACCTGACTAAATGGAGACAAGTTTACCATTAATGAAAGTGCCTTGCATATTTATTATGCAATATATTGGGGTGGGGGGGAATATCAGCTTCCTGCTGTTATTTAGAAGTTGGCACCAACAAGTTCAAGTTAATTGCTTTTGTCGTTCACAAATATATTTTAATTGTATGTATTTTGTAGGATATTCACCTCGCAAAACGCTTCTATGACATGGCAGCTGATGCTAGTCCAGATGCTCAAGTTCCAGTCTTCCTTGCACTCTGCAAACTAGGAATCATTTATGCCTTCCAGTATGTACAAGAAACCAATGTAAGTAATGCAGAGCTTTTATAGGAAAAGAATGATACTGAAGGTACTTGGATGGTGGTGCATTCCTGGTCATAAGTACCTCTCTTCCCCTTCTTCTGTGTGACTGGCTTGAAGTATAGATTTGTAATTGGAAACAGCTTTAAGGTGCAGGAACACTTGCCTGTAGATAGAACAGTTTCTGGCAATGTGAAGTTTTCAGGTTGGAGGTTAATGTTTGTCCTTGGCTTCTGTCCCACTTCGCCTGTAAAAGTGTTTCCTTGTCACACTTGCTCCCATTCAGCTAGCGAAGTAGACTATACCCAAAATTGAGGGACGTGGGTGGCACTGTGGTCTAAACCACTGAACCTCTTGGGCTAGGTGATCAGAAGGTCAGCGGTTCGAATCTCCATGATGGGGTGAGCTCCTGTTGCTCTGTCCCAGCTCCTGCCAACCTGTTGTTGTTGTTTAGTCGTTTAGTCGTGTCTGACTCTTCGTGACCCCATGGACCAGAGCACGCCAGGCACTTCTGTCTTCCACTGCCTCCCGCAGTTTGGTCAAACTCATGCTGGTAGCTTTGAGAACACTGTCCAACCATCTCGTCCTCTGTCGTCCCCTTCTCCTTGTGCCCTCCATCTTTCCCAACATCAGGGTCTTTTCCAGGGAGTCTTCTCTTCTCATGAGGTGGCCAAAGTATTGGAGTCCCAGCTTCAGGATTTGTCCTTCTAGTGAGCACTCAGGGCTGATTTCCTTAAGAAAGGATAGGTTTGATCCTTAAGAATGGAGCCTGCCAACCTATCACCAGATAAATAGGTACCGCTGCGGTGGGAATGTAAACGGTGTTTCTGTGCGCTCTGCTTTCCATCACAGTGTTCTGTTGCTCCGGAAGCGGTTTAGTCATGCTGGCCACTTGACCCATAAAGCTGTCTGTGAACAAACAGTGACTCCCTCGGCCTGAAAATGAGATGAGTGCTGCAACCCCATAGTCACCTTCGGCTAGACTTAACCGTCTGGGGGTCCTTTACCTTTTACCTTTTTTTACCCAAAATTGACCCACTGCCCCTGTTGCAGTGCCTGACATCCTGGTGTTACCCTGGTTGACTGAGTTCTTAGGTAGTAATCCAGACTGTTCATGTTTTCACAAGACCCTTATTCATCATTATACTGGAGAGTCCTTTGAAATCTGCAGGAGTAGCCAGCATGGTGCTGTTAGAAAACCCACAAGTGAAGCATGAAGGCAGTTTCCATCCCATGCTGTCCCTTCCCCCACAGCATCCAGAACTGGTATTCATTGTCATAACTCCTCTGACAAGGGAGACTCCATTTAGCCATCATTACTAATATCCAGCTATCTATGGGGTCCTTAGGCTGCAAAACCATCAAGCAGGTCAGGGTTATGACTCCTTTTTCTTGTTCATTTCAACTGGTAGTACTCCCATTGGATAGGGACTCTTAACTTGGCCTGTTTTCAGGAAAGCCCTGGGGCACTTCATTTTTGCCCCTTAGAAATGGGCCTTCATATTTCTCTTGCACTCTGCTACAGTCAACTGGGGTTTAATCATGAAGCAGTAAGCTGCAGGAATGCCAAGCTGAAGCTGTGCACTCATCCCACCACCTTTCAGACTGATCACTTTATATTCCTGTTGAGGAAGAGTGGGAGAGAAGTGTTCCCATGGGTGTTGCAGAGCTGTAGGTGGTGGTAGCCAGTGGGCAGGTATAAAATTTAACTCGAGTTAAAAATAAAACTTGCAGCACATGTAATACATGGGAGGTGAAATACACTAAACAGCTTTCCAGGGTCCTTGAAGAAAGAACATAACCTGGCTGCAAGGTTGCCACAGATAAGTTGCCCATCAAAAAGGCAAGGTTTGACACTCAGTAACATTCTTGTTCAGGGATGCGGGTGGCGCTGTGGTTTAAACCACTGTGCCACTTGGACTTGCCGATCGGAAGGTCGGCGGTTCGAGGCCCCGCGACGGGGTGAGCTCCCGTTGCTCGGTCCCAGCTCCTACCAACCTAGCAGTTCAAAAGCACACAGTGCAAGTAGATAAATAGGTACCGCTCTGGCGGGAAGGTAAACAGCGTTTCTGTGTGCTGCTCTGGCTTCGCCAGAAGTGGCTTAGTCATGCTGGCCACATGACCCGGAAAACTGTCTGTGGACAGACGCCAGCTCCCTTGGCCTGTAGAGCGAGATGAGCGCCGCAATCCTAGAGTTGTTCGTGAGTGGATTTAACTGTCAGGGGTACCTTTACCTTTATCTTTTAGCATTCTTGTTCACATAAGGGGCAGGAAGCTATTGAAATTGTGGACAGCAGCTGAGGACTGAATGCCTCTCGCTTTATCTGTTTTTTGTTTAGATCAAAGAAGTGTTCTCACACCTTGACATGGACCAGCTCTTGGGACCTGAGTGGGACCTTTACCTCATGACCATCATTGCTTTACTCTTGGGCACAGTCATTGCTTACAGGCAGAGGCAGCACCAGGCAATTCCCAGGCCGGCAGGGCCCCGGCCAGCTGTTCCTCTCCAGGATCCTCCCCCAGAGCATCAGCCACCGCAATAGCAGGAGCCTCAGCGAAGTGAACTGGATTTTCCAGCCGGGACTGTTTTGCGTGGTTTTAGGACACCCCATGAATGGGCCACATCTGCAAGGGAGGTGCAAAAGAGTGTTGCGTTCCGAAAGTCGCTTAGGACTCTTACCTTTCTTTTTTCAGGGATATGTATGTTTTCTCAATGCGGAGTTGAATGTTATTTCAGTGCCAGTGGAATAACGAAACAGCTTTTGTGAAACACGAGTGTGTTACTTCAGAAGTGATGCCTGCTGTACCAGATTGTTCAGTGCCCTTTTTCAGTTGTGTCTCAATAGTTCAGGTGATGATTGTGGTGGAGGTTGGCCTACACAGTAAGGAAACTTATAGTCGAGTCTTTGTTCCAGAAAGTCAAGCCTCTGCTTTTCTTCTAAGTAAAAAAAGGCCATGTGAGTATGTTTGCAATTGTGATAAACTTGATTTATTTTTCTGGTTCTCTTCCCAATTCTTTCGATACCATCTTAATCCCTTAATAGTATTTCCCACCCTTGAGTGTCTGTGGGTGCTTTCATTTGGATATATCAGTCCATAAGAAGCAGATAAAAAGACTATCAGTAAATATGAATATACTTATTCTCAGTGATCTGTGCTTACCCCTCCCCACTTGGGCAAATTCTTCCTAGCAGCAGTGGATGAAGTATGATTGCACTTATAAAATGACAAATAATTTAACGAACAAGTCCTCTGCAACGTGTGCAGAATTCTGATTTTTTTGAATTATGTACACTGCAAGAGCCTGTCTGAGACGTGTAAGGATTCCACCCCACCCAAGCTCACTCAGCCTCTTTCCTTTTCTTTTCTTTTCTTTTCTTTTCTTGTTCCACAAATATGCCAAGATTAGCCGAACAGTGGGCTGGAGAAAAAGCCAGTGCTTTGTTAAGCTTGGACGGCATCTTTATGGCAGTCTTTCTTTTCTGTTGCTTTTCCAGTCCATCATAATTCAGGTCTAATGAGCCGGATTTGTCTTAACCTGATATTGCAAATTCTATTCAAGCATTCAGTTCTAAATGCATGAAGGGGCCCTGCAGGAATGTATGGCACTAGCCCTGGCCCCATGGCAACACAGGCATTTGCAGCATTCCACAGCTCATGTGTGATCATCTCTTTGATGCACATAGGATTTCATCCTCGGAGGCGGGAATCCAATCTTGTCCCTGTGTTGGAAAACCCGTGCACATAGAAAGCAGCCCCCTTCAGACTGAGCTGAAAATGGCAAGACAACGCTGGCATACATTGTCTGAAGAGGGCATTCCCACAGGTTTCAAATGCCCAAACAGGATGATTGCAGTAGGTGTAGGAGACTGTGCAACTTTGGGTTATTAATGTAACCTCAATCTACATATCTAAAAATTGGTTACTACCATTTCTGTTGCATTAGCTATCGTGAGATGCAAAGCACTCAATTAGCATATAGTAGTCGACTCTAAATGTATCAGTTAATAACACCCACACCATTTATACCAGTTTGGCTCCAGCACACATTATTTTTAAGCTCCTTAGAGAGTAGGATTATGTTTCAGGGGTGAGAGGATCCCCAGACTCTGATGTCATATAAGAGCTGTTGTAGTACGAAAACAAATCTCAACATGTTTTTCCTTTGGCCTCAAATCAAACAACATGTTCCAGGCTATAAGACAACTATGGACACTTGCTGTTTAACCCATTGCTCTTTTAGTAAGTCACTACATGAAGCAAAGATGCAAGGATAATTTTCTGGCTGAACGGATGCACAGAAACATGTTCCTTTTTTAACTACTACAGTAGCATATACAGGTGTCTGTTTCTAGAGCATCATTATATAAGCTGTTGGTACCATTGAAAGCAATGTGGTATTTAAATGTTGTTTAGAGTCTGGACTTGCATACGTTGCATGCTTCTCAAAAGCACCTTATCTTGCCTTGTTCAAATGCCAACAGTCTTTGTTAGTAAGCAAGTAGACAAGCATAGTTGGAGTAGCAAGGGCTTCCATTAAAAGAGAGACACCGTATGGCTCTGAAATCTTAGAATATTATTGAGCAAGATTTTCTTCCATTAACATGTCTTGGAATCTGTGAGAGGAGCTTCTAGAAGCTGGGTGTTGTGCGGCTTAACAGTATTATGAGGTTGGACGACTTAGTAGGTGGTCCGAAAGCTTTTTTTCCCCCAAAATGTGCACATCAGATAGACAAGGTGCAAACGAAAACTAAAACCTTACCATAGTTTGGGTCCTACATACAGGCTGCAATTCAAAGGAACAACAGGGTGGGGGGGGGGATATTCCTTTGGCGTTTCAGTAGCTTTCACAGCCCTGGAGGCAAGCCACAGCTTTAGCAAACTGCTTGCCTCGTCGGGAGTGGGAGCTGTAAACTGAAAATGTTCAAGGCTCCAGTTGCAAGTGATGGTCTCTGCTCGTGCATTTGTTAATTACTACAGGGTAAAATCCAGAAAAGTGTGCTTGATTTCAAATGAGACTAAATTGTGATACAGTTGTTTCCTATGTTAAAATCAATACTTGCTTTGAAATGAACAGCTTAGTAACTGCATAATTCTTCAAAATTTCCAAAATATTCCCCTCCGCTATCTCATTTTATTGCTTCTGTGGAGCTTTTTAAAGAATTGCTAATTGTACCACTTTAAATTTGTTTTGATTCACTTGAAGAACATAATAGTTGACTCACTCTTTAATTTCCACTTGATATAGCAACTATAGCCCTCATAACCACATCCATACTAAAGCTAAACCTTGAGATAAGCAAAACACATGATCTTCCCTTTTGAATTATTTTCCTCCTTTAAAATGCAAGATAAGTAATAAGTGTGTTTCCCTTATGGATTTTGCCATTGCTGAAGCTATTTAAATAGCATCCATTTAGATTTGATGTAGCTGACAGCAGGTTATATGGGGGAACCATCAAGCAAACTCAGGGATTTAAGAAAAGAACAGTAGGTCTAGGTTATCCACATATAGTATCTTTGAACATCCTCTTGTTTTGAACTAACCTTTTAATTTTCCTTTTAAATTAAGACTAGCATCTATCAATATAAAATTGCTTGCATTCAGTTGGTGCTAGTAAAGCAGGCTTTGCCTTTTTAACTTTTTGTCATGGGGTGTGATTTTAGAGAGCATCCTCTTGCTATTTAGAGGGGCAGGTGGATTTAAATTATCTAAGCTAAATGGAATTGCTTGACATGGATCAAATTGTTGAATTCAAATTGTGATTCTTTTATCCAAGATAGATCAGAACATAAATGGACTTGGCTAAGGATCTGCTGAAACTTATGTCTTTCTAATCCATCTCTTTTCTGAAAATTGTCACTGTACCAGATGTTGTGAACGTGAACAGCAGCATGTTTCAGAGACTATAATTATATATCGTTGGAATTTTGCTTCCCTGGATGTAATTAGTGCTATCCATATGTATGAGAAATTTCTCCTTTCACACGTTAAGTGACAGTGTTTGAGTGAAGGGTTTACTCGAGTCTTAAATCACTAAACCAGGAATAAACAGCATATTTGAAGTAGCAATGGATGTCCCACCACAAATCTGTGTTGGGTTAGCTCAGCTCTGCCTTTCTCTTCATGGTAGCTGTCACAGATGCTTCTTAATCTGCTTTTCCATAATGTGGCTGTATGTGTGAAAATACTTCACTCTGTGATTGACACCCTTGGGGAAATAAAGTAGGGGAAGCTTGCCTTCTAATATTTTAACTACTTACTGGGGGATGAGAAAAATTGAAAGAGAGTTGTTTCCCCACTATGTTTTAACAAACCAAACAATACAGAGCACCCAGTCCATCATCTCAAGGTAGCCATCACTGTTGAGCCCAGTTTGGGTTTTCTTTGACACAAGGTATTTTAAACAAGCCCTTGCTTAAACCAACAAATAAGAAGTTAGTTGTGACTGATCATTACACGAGGCTGGGTGGTATGTATAAACCAAGGCAGTAGTGCTTGCACACAAAGCACCAGCACACCAGTGTCATGTACCCCTAGCCCACACATCCCTGGTGCAACTGACTGGTTCCACTGATTTAAGTGAAACTTAAGTTACAATCCTATGCACGCTTGCCTAAGAATACACCCTGTTGAACCGAATGAACTTAATTCCAAGTAAATAAGCATAGGATCAGGCTGAAAGTCCAACGTAAGATGGATTGGGGCCAACAGCTTGCACTCTGTTAATTTGCTGTTTCTAAAACCCACATACCCAAGTTACAAGAACGGAAGCTTACTTTAGCAATTCTTTAATATTTTAAACAGCATGACAAACAGGTTACTTTCCACTTTTTTTTCTTTTTCTTTTTTGAAGCGTTGGCATGATTTGAGAACTGCAACTGAATGCATACAGTTGGAGAAGGCTAGTGAGAAGAGTCCTTTTGTCTCACGCTGGCCTAAATCACAAAGTGAATAAAGGGTTTTGTAAATTTTCTTTTGTATTTAAGATGATGCAGTATAAAGGCTGGAAAAGTGTAATATAACTGTAAACACATCCTGTTAATAGAAAGATGTACAGATTCATTTTGTACTATATCTTGTTGAATAAAGATGCCACTTTTGTGATTGGCCTGTAATGATGTAAGAGAAGTTGTGTTTCCTTTTTACGTTTAAAAAGAACTGGCATTTCTGACAAAAACTATGACCCATACAGCTGAGCGAGAAATCCTCCCCCCTTTTTTTATCAATTAGTGCCTAACAATACAATAAAATTCTTGCCTACTTGGCAGTAAATGCTGATTTCAAGTAAATATGCATAGGATTGCAACCTTAGGGTACAATACTATGCTTATATACCAGGAAGTAAGTCCCACAGAGCTCAGTGGGGCTTAACTTATGCCTAAACTTGCATAGGACTGCAGTGTTACCGTCTGAGTCAACTTTTCCACCTTGGGAGGACTGAAACGCCTATGTGTTGCTTCCCTGTTTCACCTACCTCTTCTTCTTCCCTCCTCTTGTTGCTTCCCCTGTGTTGAATGCTAGATTGTGACTTTTGTGAGCTTTTATTTTTTGAGGCAGGGTGCCTGCCTTATATTTTGCAAAGCAGCAGGTGCACTATGAGGAAGAGAAGTTGTGAAGAGTGCCTTTTTTTGCATGTAAAGAGAGCACAGGAAGAGAAGAGTCAGGAGCGCTGTCACATTATCATAGTAATGTGCAGAAGAACGGGAATATGTCCTCCACCTACTGTCCATGACCTGCACATATGCAGCTATGCATCAACAGAATATATTCCTCGTATGCACACAGTTGATGAATGGGTGTGGCAGAAGGAATATGACCGTGTGCATGGAGATGGGGCCAAGATTGGGAGAAACATCACCACACACACTTCTATATGCATCTCTCTGTACATGTTGCTGTTCATCTGCCAATCACCATGGGAACTAGATGCCATGATTCAATACCTATTACAATCTCCCAACCCCCAATCCCACCCAATAAAATAAGCACTGTTGTATAGCCTTGTTTGTACCTTTAGAATTACATTGCAGAAAGGGGGTTTGTTAAATCTTGCCAGAAAGAATGTAATATGATTCCTGCAAATGCCTAGAATATTTAGGATTGGCTTTGAGAGGGAGTAGGATAGCAGTCAAGCACAGGAGCAAATCACCTGTGAATTCACTGAGCTCAGGTAAGCCACTGTCTCAGTCTCCATCACCTCCAATCTGGAATAATGTAATGACTTACCTTACAAAGTTGAAAGAGCTATAAAGGTGATGTACTTGAAACTGTCTGAGCACAGGAAAATTGCTATTACAAGTGCTCTATTATTATATAAAAGCTGTGTGACTGTTATGAACCCCTACCGCTGGTTTTGTGGCCAGCAATTTTCATTTATTTTGGCATGTCAAATCAGGCATAATTGACACTTGAAAAGAGAGCAAATACCTTCTACAAAATGCCATGCTGCATTTGGTGTAGAATTCCTTCATTCACATCTTAAGATCAATTTATTTGGCGGAAGCTTAGCTAGTAATAATGAACTGTTCTGGGATTGTTGTTGTTTTTAAGATGGTGATGGTAATGATCGCCACTTTTCTACATAGTTATACCTAAAGTGGCTTATAACTAGGGACAGGGGAGGATTTCAATTTATTACACGTTTAAATATGAACCTACTTTTCAAAACAATGTTGAGACGCAAAAAAACAGCCATGCATCAAAATTTACACATCTCTGAATTTGGCAATGCAGTTCCCCAGCCAAGTAATGTGTACAAAAATAGCATATCAAAATGCATTATATTGGGAGAAATTCCTTTGCAAAAGTGTGTATATTAAAAGAAATTAACACTAAAATGCTGGTGGACTTTTTAAAAAAACCACAAACTGTTGAGAACAGAAGATTAGAAATGTTGAGAGCTGAAGATTGGAAAAGTGAGGAACCTGAGAGAAACCAAAATGGGAAGATTCATCCACCCTGAGAAATACAATAAGAGGAATTCATAGCAGAGCATAATTACAATACTACTTGCTCATTTCAAGACATAATGTTTCAGGCCACTCCAGTCTGCCAAGTGGGGAGATTGCCGGAGTCTTGGCACTTAACCAGGGTTTGTGTTTCTTTGGGAGGAAATGCACAACGGAGGCTAGGGTCTTCATGAAATATTTTTATTCACAAATATTTACACCTGGGGTTTGTGGAGAGTTGACAGCATTTACATCTCAAGAGGGGCTTCTCCTTCCCAGCAGCACTTGCAGAAAACACCTTCCCTTCTGTCTCGGCCAGCCTGCTAAGAAGTTCCACTTGCCCCACATCCTCCAAACATTTGCTTTTAAAATATTTTTTTTCTGTGTGACATCACGATGGCTGTAGAAGAAGAAGAAGAAGAAGAAGAAGAAGAAGAAGAAGAAGAGTTTGGATTTGATATCCCGCTTTATCACTACCCGGAGGAGTCTCAAAGCAGCTAACATTCTCCTTTCCCTTCCTCCCCCACAACAAACACTCTGTGAGGTGAGTGGGGCTGAGATACTTCAAAGAAGTGTGACTAGCCCAAGGTCACCCAGCAGCTGCATGTGGAGGAGCGGAGATGCGAACCCGGGTTCCCCAGATTACAAATCTACCGCTCTTAACCACACTGGCTCTGGCAACCCCCCGTTTGTCCAAACTCCAAGGATCTTCCTTTGATGTGTTGATGACTTGTTCTCCTTAACTACTCCCCACCCCACCCCAGGCATTGATGCCCTGGACTGGAAAAGAAGCTTAACCTGCCTTTTTGCACTGTTAAATATGAAGCCTGTTAGCTCACCTTAATTCTGTTCAGGAATTCTGGAACTGTGTATAGCAAACACAGGGAAAGAGGCACATGAATGAACATGTTAGCTCCACCCTTCTCATTTTTGTAGCCCTCCATAAGTTTGAGAGCAACTGTGAGAAGAGGCTCCTTGCATGTTTTAGAACGGTGCTTTCCAAAACATGTGGGGACTCTCCACATACTCATGGCTTACTAATTCACACAGTTGCCTGCCTCTTTTGGAGGGCAACAGTAGCATGCACATCCCTGCAACACCTCCCTCCCCCCCCCCCACTTTATTATGCTTAAAGCCAGGGGTTCTCTAGTTTTCTGCTCCCAGGATCCACTTGAGCTGGCTAAAATGAGACTGAAGCTCACCCATCACAAAATGGCGGTGCCAATAACAAAATGGCAGCAGAAAGGGGTTGGCAGAATGAGCTGGCAATTAAAGACTCCCCCCCCCCTGCCCCATTGCTAAGTAATCCCTTGTCTAAATTGCTAAATTCTTTGCCCACAGTTCATCTTTCTTGAAGAAAAGTACAGACTGCATGAGACATTTTGTGACTCAGCCTCCCCATTTTATGCAGAATTGCTGACCCAGAAGTTCTTAGTGGGGAGGGCATTTTATTTTTTATTTTATCTACCTTCCACCACCACCACCCTCACCCAATATACACATACTCCTCTCAAAGTGGTTGGTGTTTTTTGTTTTTGTTTTTAACCGATCTGTAATTTTATCTCATTCTTTTCACACTTAGCTTTCACTTATTTCCCCCCAAGCTGCCGGTGTCTTTCATTCCTTTCAACCTACTTCTTTCACATTCACATCTTCCTATGAAAGCTCTATCTCTTGTCCCCAGTTTCGTTTTCTTTTCCCAGTTTATTAGATTACTCTTTAAAAATAGTAACCTTTTTGGCTCTCTAGCTTCCTTCAATGCTGCCTCTAGCCCTTGCCCTTAAAGGGAGGGTGGAGAAGCTTCTGGGTTTGGCAGGAGATGGAGAGTGGGGGGAGAATTAGGATGTGGGGTGTGAGTCTGCGTGAAGTGGAAGGGTCAAAAGGATCAGCAGCAGATCACAGGACAACTTCTCCCTCAGTCAGTCATTCTGTCTCCCTCCTTCCTGTTTGCTGTCTTCCTTCCCTGACACTTGTTGCCGCATCCGTTTCCTCTGCTTCTCAGATGGGCGGGTATGTCAAACTCAGTTTTCTTTCAGTTTCTTCACATTCTTAATTTCACTTCTTTACATTTCTACATCAGCTTGTAGAAAAACATTTCTTTTTTTAAAAAAAAACAAACCTAATTGAAATTCAGTAGCGTTTTAGTGTTCATTTATCCTAATGTATGCACTTTGATACGCAGTTTTCCTGCAAATTCCCTGAATACGTTTTTTACCATGTTCTATGATTCTATGTATGTATTCAATGCACATTTTACCATAGCATTTGCATTTTTTTAAAAAAATTCCCTCTCTCAATAGAACATACAGAGACTCAGTTTTCAAATCCTAGAACTGTTCAGACAAATTAGCCATACCCAAAGCATGACATGGCTGTTATAGGCAATATAGAGATTGTGAGAGAAGAGAGAGAGGAATGGAAAGGTGGAGACAATAAATTTCGTTCTTTTACATTTTTGTACCCATTATTTGTCTGGAGAACTACACTGCAGAAATCGGAGAAGTGTGAATTTCAGAGGCTGAAGGTCCGCATCTTGTTTTGCAAAGTGCGGATTAGGTAAATTCACCTTTAAATGTGAAGTGAATACAATTTCTCCCGCATCCCTAATTCCCACCCTGACACACTGCATGCTGCAGCTTTACTCTCTTACCAATTCATCTCCTACATATTCCTGTGCACTGTACATGCAGGGAAATGCTGCGACCCACCGCTCAACAAGAAAGCCACGGCATGACAAGGCAGGTGGGATGCAGCGCTGAAGTGTCCTGGTGGTCTCTGGAGCACAGTTTGAGAAATGCGGCTGCACATTTTCCAGCCCCAGCACACCTGAAGGAGGGCTGTTAGCCAACTGCTCAAACTAACACATTCTCAATGTATATTGTTTATCAATTGCCTAAATACATAAGCCAGATAGTGGCAATGCTAATGTTTTGTGGTTTTTAAAAATAATAATCTTGCATTGCTGAGATTTGCTGACCATAAATTCTGTCTGTCTTGTTTTCTTTGGTGCTTTCCACTCAAAATAAATTGGCTTTGGGTGAGTTTGTGTTCCTGTTTGTTTTGGTTCTGTTTATTGGACTGGCTTACGCCGGTCTGAGGTTTCCAGTGTTGTTAGATTGTATTTGTGACTAATATCTTTTGAGGAACTGAATTCTTAAAAGTGATTTGGGATGTGTTAGGACTGTGCAAAACAATCTATAGGCACAAATCAGCTAATGCTAGGCATTTTCTGGGTGCTTTTCTTTGAAATGGGAGATTTAAGCATCTGCTTTAAGCCTCTTCCAGAGAAAAGAATGTGACTGAAAGGTGCTCAGCTTCAACTGGATTGTGCCAACCAGGCTTACTTTATTTTTTATCATGAATATGTGTCGACTTTGCTCCTGCCTGGAGAGAAAAATGCACAGAAGGGAGTGGGATATAAGAATGCTGAAAAGAATGACATAATATGACCTCACTCTACAGCTGTCTGCCTTCCCCACCCGCTTTTGCTAAAGATTCCCCATTGAGGTTCTTAGTTGTCCAGTACTCAAAAAATACTCCTAAAAGTAGTAATAATGCTTATGTGGATTCTCTCCTCCACCCCACCCCCCGAATTAGCAGGAGGTTAATCTCAAAGTATTGCTGCCTGTTCCATCTCCAGCATGAACAAACCCAAACAGACGGTTAGCTAATGCTCTAATTGTGTGTGGTGGCTGAGAAGTGTTGGAGACAACATATAATTTCCAGCTTAATTGTGCTCTTCCTCAAGCTGGGCTGAGAACACAGGAATGCAAACAAGAAGTATTTAGCAGTGATGGGAAGTCTATATTTCAGGTGAACCTGGGCTGGCCTCTGTCTGTCTTGGGAGAAAATGGAAGGGTGCACTGTTGGGAGGTAAAGTCAAACCGTTGGAGAATTGCAGCACCTGCTGTGGCTGTAGAGACCAATATGGGAGAGACACGTTTTGTTGCAGGTGGGGCAGGTGAAGGCATCATTCCTCCTCTGGTCACTGCTGTGGATACACGACGTGGCTGATTGTCTCCAGGTGCTGGGTAACTGGCAAACTGGCCTTAGTTGTGGACTAACAGTTTTCAACCTACACTAATAATTCACAATGGCAATAACTATTTAATTCAGTGGTTTTTGAACTTTTGGCCTACAAGGATCTTTTCCCATAAACACTTGCCTGTTGATGGTGATTAAAAGTGTATACTGCCCTTCATCCAAAGATAATAGGGTGGTTCACAACATAAAAGACCTGTTATGACTATTCTGGGGAGTATTATATCCAGTATGCAGACTCTGTGTAGCAAGGTCACATGCTAGACCCATTGGCTTCATTGTCGTTAATGTCTCTGCTTGAATCAAGCGCATTTTGTAACCCAGCTCTATTTATTATTTTCATCAGGTTCAGGTGAAGCAATGGATATGCAAAAGCAATGTTTTAAGTTGCTTAATTATTGGATGAAGGCCAATAAACTAAAGACGGAGGTACTGCTGGTAAGATTCCAGCTGATCTGGAAGATAATGTTCAGCATATTGTAGATGATACACTCGCCCTAAAAGATCAGGTTCACAGTTAGGTATGGGAAAGCACCAGCCCACCCATGAGGTGAAGCAGCTGCCTCAGGCAACAGGATCCACCTGGGCAAGGTACTGTGAGGGCCAGATGAGGAAGCTTGGAGTGTGGAATGCCGTTTCTGAGGACCCCCCAGCCCCTGTGACAGATGAATGGACGGCACAGGACTCAAGAGCCATGGGGATAATTTTGCTCTCAGTAGCTCCTGAAAAGTTAATCACCCTGGCTGGCAAGGCAAGTGCCCGTGAGATGTGGGACGGGCTTAGAGCCTGTCATCTCCGACAAGAGGCTGGGTCTGTGTTGCTTTATTTCAGAAAGCTGCACAGGAAGCGTTGGGAGCCCGGCGAAGACCGTAGAGCCCACGCTGTCCATGTGCAGCATCTCAGACAGGAATTGACTCAGAGAGGTTTCAATATGCCTGAGTCACTGTTTGCAATTCTCATCCTGGACTCCCTGGATGAAAGCTACCATGCCGTGGCAAGTCAGCTGGCGACCCTCCCTGCGCAAGACTCACTGCTACAAAGGTCTTGGCGACTTTGCAAAATGAATACGATAGAAGGAATGCAGCTGAGTCGGCTTGTGCGCTCCAGGGGAGCAATGTGGGACAGCATTCCAGCCTCCAGGGGAGCCAAAGCGCTGGCAGCTGTGAAGTGCTGGACCTGTGGGACCCAAGGTCACACTCAGAAGTTTTGTCCAAAGACTGGAAATAAACAAAGGAAGAAGCCAGGAGATGGCAAGAAGCAGAGGGGGGGTGGAAAGCCCAAGCCAGGGAAAAACAATGCTTTGTTTGCTGGCACAGCCTCACCAAAGGCTAAAGGCAAGTCTGATGGCTAGGAGCAGGGGGGCAAGCTGCAAAAGCCCACGCCGGTGGAAAACAAGGTTTTGCTTGCTGCAAAGACTGCTCCAAAGGCCAAGGCCAGGTTTGTTATTGATTCAGGGTGTACCCGCCATGTGTCGAAAGACTGCCATCTCTTTATCTCCTTCAAACCTCAAGAAGGTGAGATCCACCTGGCTGACGGAAAGACGTTGCGGATCGCAGGAGAAGGGACTGTGAAACTGGCAAGTCTGCACACTACCATCAAAGATGTACTATATGTTCCAGGTGCTGCAGACAATTTGCTCAGTGTCCCACAGCTTACTGGGCGTGGTTTTGAAATTTCCTTCAAGAGGAGCGTCTGTGTCATCAGAAAAGGCAAAGAGGACATTTTGCATGCAAAGTTTATGGATGGCTTGTTCTGTATAACTTATGACGACAATGGTGCTGTTGTGTCTAATGTTGATTCTTGTTGTGTTGCACAAACTAACAAAGTTCTTCATGCAGGATGCATTCACGATGCACATCGAAGGTTTTGCCACCTCTCTTGGAAGGCACTGGCCAAGATGCCAGAGATGGTTGAGGGTTTGAACATCAAACCCTGTAGGTTTCACATGAAATGTGTATCTTGTGCAGAGAACAAGGTGAAGGTTGCTCCAAAAGGCAAGGAGTCTAGCAGGCAGGCTTCCAAACCCTACCAGCTAGTGCACGCAGACCTGGTTGGTCCACTTGCGCCCTCTTTGGGTGGAGCAAGGTACTTCATGGTTCTAATTGATTCTTTTTCCAGGTACATTCATGTGTTTATGCTCGAGCAGAAATCGCAAGCGTTTCCGAAGTTCAAGGCATTCTGTGCTTGGTTGGAGAATGTTCACGGTAAACGTATTGGCTGTCTGTTTACTGATCGAGGCGGGGAGTTCACTTCTCAGCAGTTTGAAGCTTTCCTGACTGAGAAGGGAATCCAGCATGACTTGTCAACGCCTAGATCGCCATGGATGAATGGGCTTATGGAGCGAGCAAATCAAACGTTGCTGCAAGGAACGAAAACATTGTTGCATGATGCCAATCTCCCTGATAAGTATTGGGGGGAGGCTCTGTCGAATTTTGCTTACACTTATAATCGCAGGTTGTCATCACCTATTGGTTGTACCCCCTATGAGAAGATGTTTGGTAAGAAACCCAACATCAAACACATGAGAATCTTTGGTTCTGACATGTGGGTACACACCCCACAGAGCAACAAGCTTGGGAAGCGTGGGGCACATGGTTTGTTCATGGGGTACGAAAAAGGTGCATACAGGGTATGGATGACCGACTCTAAGTCCATTAAGTTCACAAAGAGTGTTGAGTACAATCCTAAGTGGGGGGAAAATGTGGGAATTTTCCAGAGTTACCCAGAGGAGGATGAAGGTGATGTCAAAGAAGCAGCTAAAGCTGAGGAAGCTGCTGAGGATGATGATGATGATGATGATGATGATGATGATCAGAGTTCAGATTCCAGTTCAGTGGGCGGCGCTGCTGCTGGTGTCAGTGACAGTGATGACACAGCAGACTACAAGAGCGCAAAGGCCTCAGTCAGACCATCTGATGCGTCTGACAATGATCTGGAAGAACCACTGTTCACCATTGGTCATTTTTCTCCTAAGAAGGAGGAGATGAGTCCAGAAGACTTGCGTCTAGTACGCAGATCTGAAAGAGCCACAAAGGGCAGACCTCCAAAGAGATTTGCTGATGAGTTTGCTAAGACAGCAACTGCTGTTCTTAGTAGCTCAGAGAAGGTGTGGGAACCTTCAAGCTTCAAAGAGGTTCAGGAGTCAACCTCTAAAGATGCTGAGCCTTGGCTTAATGCCATGAGGGCTGAAGTTGATTCCTTGAATAGGAACCAAACTTGGGAACTGGTACCGGTAATCCCAGGAATGAGACTGGTTGGCAGCAAATGGGTCTTCAAGGCCAAGACAGACCAGAATGGCAAAGTTGTCAGACACAAAGCCAGATTGGTTGCCAGAGGTTTTTCACAGGTACCAGGACAGGATTACCACGAGACCTACTCACCCACCGTCAAATATGAGAGCATTCGGCTGATGCTCAAGATAGCTGCAGAGGAGAAACTGCATGTTTCCCATCATGACATTAATACAGCATTTTTGTACGGGATTTTGGGGGAGGAGCTGTTTATGCTTCCACCTGACGGGATGCAGATACAGAAGGGAATGGTCTGTAAACCATGGAAATCCTTATATGGTCTCAAGCAGAGTGCCAGGTGTTGGAACACAAAGCTCACTGAGACATTGCTTTCTAGGTTTTCACCAGGGCAAAGCTGATCCATGTGTGTTTGTCAAGGAGGAGGGCAAAACAAACTGTATTGTTTATGTTTTGTTGATGATCTTCTGATGTTTTGGAAGAATCAGGCTTTCTACCAAAGCACCCTAGCTCAGCTGAAGGAGCACTTTGACATGAAGGATCTTGGTGAGGTATCCAACTATCTTTCTCTGCAGGTGGAGAGGGACCGAGCAGGTAATTTTCTGGTACACCAAACACAGAAAATTGCTGATGTATTAACCAGGTTGAATTTGGTTGATGCAAACCCAGCAGACACACCGATGGTGACAGGTTACCAGGTAGATAGTACTGCTGAAGCGTTTTCTGACACAACACTGTACAGATGCATTCTAGGCAAGTTGAATTTCATTGCTAGATGCTCAAGACCTGACATAGCTGTAAGCTGTAACCTGCTTAGCAGACATGCTAACAATCCTACTGTTCAGGATTGGAAAGCTCTGAAGCGCATAGCCCGCTATTTGAAAGGGACTTTGCACTACAGGCTGAGGTTCACCAGTCAGAAGACTGGAGGTCTTGAAATCTTTGCAGATGCAAGTTTTGGAAGTGACACCACGGATGGTACAAGCACTTCTGGGTATGCTACATGTACAATCACTGCCTGTTTGACTGGTTGTGCAAAAAGCAGACGACAGTGAGCCTTAGTTCCTGTGAAGCAGAACTCAATGCTCTGTCATTTTCACTCATGGATTGTGAATGGTTGATGCAACTGTTTAAGGACATCAGAGTTTCTGTGAAATGTCCTGTACAAGTGTATAAAGACAATAGATCATGTTTGGCTTTGCTGAACTCGGAGAGTTGCAAGCAAAGGACCAAGTACTTGCAGATTAAGCTACATCGTGCAAGGGAGTGTATTCAGAAAGGACTCATTCAGGTGTCCTACATGCCAGGAAATGAAATTCCTGCTGATCTGTTGTCTAAGGTTGTTAACAGAGAACAACTTAAGGTTTACGTACAAAGGTTGCAATTGGGTTGAACCACAGGTACTACAGGTTACACGGAAAGGGGGAGGATGTTAGGATATTTCCGTTCCACCTTAAAAGGGAGCAGGCTTTGTGAGTCAGAGTCTGCGTATTTCCTGTTCACAGGATGTTTATGTTTTCTGTTGCTTTCGTTTTCTCTCTGTGTCACAGACACTAAAAGCAGGCAGTCATGTTTTTCTGTGTTCTGATCAACGCTGAATAAACTTGTAAATAATGCTCTCCTGAGTGCAACTTTTGGCTGTGCTAATTGCTGATAGAGTGTGCATGAGCTCTGGAATGTGTACAAGATATTTTCTAGAAACTCATGTCGCTGCGTGCCTACGGGAGGTCGATGGATCGTCCGGCAGACGGCTTGGGGGCCATGATGGACTTTATCTCCCTGGCAGTATCCCAACATTAACTACTGAACTAACCACAGTTTCCATTATGTCCAATCTCAGGGAACTGTGGTTAAATGAAGCAGGAGGGTTTGCAGATACAGTTTTCCACAGCTTCTGCTACTTGATGTGAATTGCCATCTGAATTGCTGAAATGTTAAACATGCAAAAACATGCTGTTCCTCAGAGCAATGGCACCTTTCTAGCTCACTAGGCATTAAGACATCATCTTCTCCTGCCCTCTCACCTAGTGCAAGTAGCCCAGTTACAAGTGCTAAATAAAATGTTGTGTATGGTATGCGTTATGCTTAGCCATGACCTGGCTCTAGACACGGAGTCCTCAGAGAATGATCCAGACATGCCACAGGTCAAGGACCTAGAGGAGCGGGCAGGAACTCCTGGAGCCAGTCCTGAGGATTTCCTCTTTTGGGAGGTTAGTGGAAGAATTCTTGGATCCAACAGAGGAGGTGGAGCCACCCCTCAATGCTTGAGAATGCTGCTGTCAAAAGGCCCTGGTTGAAGCCAAAGAACTCATCTCTGCTTTTCAGGCTGAGGGAGCCAGCGTTTGTCCACAGACAGCTTTACCAGGTCATGTGGCCAGCATGACTAAACCACTTCTGGTGCAACAGAACACTACGACGAAAGTCAGAGCGCACGGAAATGCTGTTTACCTTCCCGCTGCAGCGGTACCTATTTATCTACACACGCTGGTATGCTTTCAAACTTCTAGGTTGACAGGTCCTGGGACAGAAAAATGGGAGCTCACCCCGTCATGCGGATTCGAACTGCCGACCTTCCAATCAGCAAGCCCAAGAAGCTCAGTGGTTTAGACCAGAGCACCACCCATGTCCCACACCTTTTACCCACTGGCAAAACAGGAGACTTCCTAATCTTATGGGCTACTGTGTAATCATATGTGGTCAAAGGATAAAAACGTGCAATTTACTGTGTACCTCTTACTGTAGGGTGAAGTATCATGTAATTTTTAAAAAAATGTTGCACAATAAGGAGGTGGAAATTCTGAGAATAAATTGCCTGCATTTTCACATTAATGTATTTTGTTTTCACAGCAACACCAGCTGCTTGTAATGAACAGAAGGGAATCTTACAAGATGTTGGCATTGCTGAAATAGAAATTAAAAAAAAATTCTCTTTTCTCCTAGAATGCTGATTTAAAGGGCAAGAAAGTGCTTGAATGGTTGAGCTCATAGGCAATGTTGAATTATTCTAGTCTCTGAGCAAATAACATTGTGCATGGTAGAGAATACTCGATCTTGTGGTGACCAAGAAAAGTCAGTAAGTCTGTGTGCATTATGTGGTTGGCATATAAAGCGGAATATTGATTACTAGCTATAATGGGAACATTTCTGATGAAGGAGGAATACTAAACGCTTAATAGAGTGGGGGCAAAATCCTTGCTCACACATGACAACCTAAACAGTTGAAACTACAGCCTTGACTTCAGTAACTGGATTCCAAACTTCTTACTGTAAGATGAGCTGTGGATTGTACAGGACATTTTTTTCTTGGTTTTCAACTGCCTTCCACCCCTAAGGTCAACTGCAGGGATAATGATTTCTTTACGAATCCTATTCTGGCATAGCTAAATGAGGGTGTATACCAGGTCTGCCCCAAAGTATTTTGTCATGTGTGATTCAACTCCAATTACCGTATTTTTCACTCTATAAGACGCACCAGACCACAAGACGCACCTAGTTTTTGGAGGAGGAAAAGAAGAAGAAAAATATTCTGAATCTCAGAAGCCAAAACAGCAAGAGGGATTGCTGTGCAGTGAAAGCAGCAATCCCTCTTGCTGTTCTGGCTTCTGGGATAGCTGCGCAGCCTGCATTCACTCCATAAGACGCACACACATTTTCCCTTACTTTTTAGGAGGGAAAAAGTGAGTCTTATAGAGCAAAAAATACGGTAACATCTTGCTGTTCTAAGTTAAAATAGAAACTGAAAGTGACTTAAAAAATGTATGTGGACCACTTCACACTTGACACTTCTCCTGTGTGGAACAACACAAGAAGGAAAAAGAATGTGTGGTGCCATCATTACCCCATTATGGTATTGATATTGAACTTCATGAGCTGTTGTTAGCACTTTATACAGCAGCTGGCACCTTGTATTTGTGTTATCATCTATGTTTCATATTCCACCAAAGCATCTTATTGTACTGTATGTGGCGCTCTTAACACAACTTAAACCAGCCTTGTTAGATCTTAGTAGTACCGTACTGTCTTTGTACTAGAAGGGCAGAGAGGCCACTGAGAATTGAAGAATATTTTTTATGCTCTCCTCCTTGTAATATGCTGTATGGATTATATTACGGGGGTTGTGGGTGGGGTTGTTTTTAGGATCTTAATTGTGGTTGTATATACTGTAACCTGCCATGGGACCTTCTGGTGAAGGGAGAGTAAGAAATACAATAAATAACTGTAGGAAACACTGTTGTTGCCAGAAAATTGTGTGAACATTTGTTTTTCCCTGTATCCAGATGTTTGGAAGTCATTGCAGTTCTTAACAAATGTTTTCAGTGCGAAATTGGCTTTCATGTAGCTGTTACATACAATCATGTGCATGCTATGTCATAATCAGTTTTACTTCTTTGTCCATTTATTCATTCGACAAAAAGTATAACCCACTTTTCAACAGCTGTTCTCAAAGGCTGATTACCACTGACGAAACGACAATAATCAGAAACACTCCAGAAATTAGAATACAGCATCAATCATGGACAGGGTCAGTCGAATTAAAACAAAGCTGACATTAAAACATCTTAGCTGTAACGATGCTTGCCTGAAGAGAAACACTCTTATCCTTGAATGAGTCGCACCAAACTTCGTTTAAAAAATTGTTCTGGGAGGGTGAAAACGGGCTTTTCATATGGTCTTCCGTTCTGCTGGCTGGTTTCCTTGTACAGCGCTGTTTGCTGTTAGCTTTTTTGTGGCAGAGGGCAATTGATTTGCTTGGCTGGTGTGCTTCGGTGTGACACCTCCAGCATGCGGTCGGGCATCTAACGAAGGTTTCTTATTATTTCGTTCTATTTAATAATAACATCTTCGGAACACATATCTCTATTTCTAATCCCATTGGGTTTTTTATGTCACTCTGTGAAATGTTATGTGCATTTATAATATACCACCGATGACGACGCCGGGGGAGGATTGCGCGCGGTTGTTTTGCATTTTACTGTTAAAGCCTTCGATGAGAATAAAAATAGACGGTCAACCCTTCGACATCTCCGAGGCTGCACTGGGCGGGTCGAGTGAGCGAGGAAACACCCTGGGACAGCCTTGCCACACCCTCCTTCCCCGCCAGCCAATCCCGATCATCTTTTGCTCTCCCCGGCTTCGGATCCTGCCCAATGGAGGCTCTCCCCTGCGCGGGTTCCTTCCCTCGAAGGGAAGGGAGGAGAGCGCCAGGAGTGCAGCCCTCTCGCTCCAAGGGGGGATGGCAGAGCTTGGCTTCCTCCGCTTGGATCGCCTGCCGCTGAACTTTCCTGCCGGGATTTAAATTTCCCCCATCTCCCCACCACAGCCTTTCTCCCTTTCAGCACACACACCTTTTTGCTGGAGGGAGAGAGAGAGAAAGACTGCGTGGCGCTTCCAAGGTAACCCGATCTCTTGCTGCACACCACGTTTGTATTTTCTGATCTTCTCCCGCAAACCAAACGAGGCAGGTGGAGGGCAGGGTCAGGCCAAGGAGGCAGCGACGGCCGCAGATATTGCCGGTGTGATCGCAGCCTCGCCCCGCCGTGGGAACATGTGCGCGTCGCCGCGTCCAGATCTCCGCCCGGGTTTCGCCTGGGCTCCGCGGAGCACTTTCAGCCTGCGAAACTGCACCGGCTGCTTGGCGGGGACCTGAGAGCACCACGCTTGGAGCGTGCAAATCCCTCGCAGCCAAACAAAGAAGACCGAGATACTTCGCCTGCCTCGAAAGTAGCTCGGCGAACGCCGCTGGGTAGGGCGCGGTGGAGGTGAAGGAAGGGACACTGCGTTTATAGAGGGTGTTTTTTTACGCTTGGCTTTTTTTTACCCCCTTTTGTAAATCATTTGCTAGAAATCGGCACCGGGGAAGACCCGGTAGCCAGGGAGATCCGTGATCGCCCACGATCGGCGGTGGGAATCGCTCTTTGTATTATATAGCCTGTGACACAGGGACGCTGTTGGGTTTGTCTGTCTGTTGCTTTTAAACTCTCCTAGGGGACGGCGGTCAGTCTGGAGATCGGGTGCTTTTGGAGGGGTGATCTTCCCCCTGTTCCCTCACCCAAATGTTCCCACTTTAGCTGCGCTCTGTTGCTCGCGATTGATGGTGCCCCTTTCAGGCACTCTCCTCTCTCTTCACTCTGTACTCGAATCTGCTCGAGCACCTGCTTAAAGGGAAAGCGGTTATTTCTCTCGTTGGTCCTAGCAACCCTTTAGTGTCTCTTGTCTCTTTCCGGGATGCATTATCTTCCCAGACATTAGCACCCGCAGGGCTTCAGAAAAATGCAAGTCGATAATGTGTTGGGAGTTCCTCCCCTTCTCTTCTCAATGCATCCATTATTGACTTCTATACTTTCACATACCAGAGTTTTTAGGTGGTGTTCCTGGAGTTTAGCGAAAAGGAAAAGGCAGTTATATAATGCAAGAAATTGCCTTGGTTCTATTTCGTGCTGGGAATCAGAAATATCCCATTTAGGCAAACTAAGAAGGTAGAGATGGGATTGTGTGTGTGTGGTAAAACTGTTGTTGTCTGGATTGAAGTTGAGGAGCCATTAAGAAGAACAGGCAGATCTTACCTTTGGAGCACAATCCATCAATAGGTCATCAGTCTTTTGTACACGTCTTGTTCATGAGTTTTGCCCAAGGGAATTTCCAGGGAGCTGTGAGCCTCATGTCAGTGGGAAAGTGGGGTGCTGTGTGGATTTTCCATCTCTGGTACCTGAATGACTTGCAAGAGCCAGCCCTGTGGCTAGAAAGTTCTCACAGTAATGTGAATAGTATTTCTCACATTAACTTCTGAACTAAATTAAACAGGTGCATTCCAAAGATGAATGAAAGCCTGGTATAGAAAAAGTAACAGATAAGTATCTTTCTGAGAGAAAAACGCTCAAACTCCTGCTGTGAGAAAAATAGGGGGTCTCCCAATAGCTCTCTTCACCCTTAATTAATTACAGTTCCCATGATTCTTTGGTAGAAGCCATGTCTGTATGGTGCTGCTTTCATTTACAGTGCAGATGGAGCCTTAGACTATGAACTTACAGTAATGGTCTAGGGACAGGGGTGTTCTTTAGGTGATGGTGCATTTAGATTTGAATACTTCACTTCAAAATGTTTTAAGCTAGCCCTAAAAAACGTGGGAGCCCCTCTTGCTCATTCTTCTGAGTAAGGCCTTGGACTTCTGCCCCAAAGCACGACCTTGACAGCACTTGTGATAGCTTAGTATTAAGCCTCCAACTGGGAGCAAACATTGGTTCAAGGCCATGCTTTAAATGTACGAATGTAAAAAGAGCCATCCTGGGTCAGACAAAAACTCCAGAATCCAGTCCCTCAAAGCTCCTCTGCAGTAACTTGGGGTCTTGATGATCCACAAGGGCCAGCCAGATGTCTCTGGGAAGCCAACAACCAGAGCTGGAAGGCAACAGCTCCCTCTACCAGTGCCTTTGAACAACTGGTATTCAGCTCCATGCTCTTTCAACATGGAGTCTCCATATAGCCATCAGTTTGTTTGTTTGTTTGTTTGTTTGTTATATTTTTATCCTGCTTTTCAGCTAATTATTGTCCCCTCTCCCAAGTGGCTGAAATGAATTAAAAATAAACAATACAAGCACTACCATTGTCTGGAGGTTCTGTAACTGGCCCTGGCCCTATGGTTTTGGCAGGTAAGGCAGGAGCCATGGCAAGGTGTTGGTAGGAGTAAGCTATGCATGCCGTGCTGCCCTCTGGTCTAGGGAAGAATATTACCCTATTACCGGTGTTGAAATAAGATTCAACTGCCTGTCAGGTCAGCTTCTATGTGTGAAGTTGGGGTTGAAGTACAGGTGGCACCATGTCATCCTTCGCCTGAGGCAGCAAAGGATTTTGAGCAAGCCCAGGTCCTACTGATGGTAGCTCAAGACTCCTAAACATTCCCCCAGATTGAGACATATGGGGAAAATGCATCTCTCTAGTTCTTCAGGACCTGCCCATGCAAAGTTGGAATGTCCACTCCCCTTCTGGAATTCGTCCCAAGTGGAAAATAATAGGTTGGCATCCATCTGTCTCAGGAGACAATGGAGGAGTGACCATTGTGGGTGAAGTCAACCTGTTGGAAGGTTACAGGGCCTCCTGTGGCTGTAGAGGCCGATATGGGAGAGCCATGTTTTGTTGCAGCTGGGGCAGGTGAAGGTGTCTGGTTGTGCTTCCCTCTGTGCTCCTCCCAGCAGTCATTCCTCCTCTGGTCATTGCTATATGACCTGACTGCCTCCAGACAGGGATTCCCGTATGGCGGGGTTGATGTTACCGGCCTTCATGTCACGTTTGGAGAAATCTTTGTAACAGGTCTGGTGTCTGGTTAAATAAGGAAAATAAAATTACTGCATATCTTGCTTGCATCATAGGTCTGTCTTGTTAACCTCTGAATATCAGTCAGCCATCTATCCCTGGCAATGGCGGTTTTAGGGGAGCACAGGAAAGAGGGGTCTCCTCCAAAATGCTGACAGCTCCTTCAGTCAGGGTCTGCAGTTCACACAGGAGAGCAGCTCTTCAGACAAAAATGTTTTCAGTAGGGTAGGAGAAGGCTGCTCTTCACGAGGCATCGCCGTAGCATTCTCAAGGGAAGGAAAACAACTTCACAGCCCTGCCTCTTAGCTGTCTTCACCAGCCCTCTCACAGCTGCCCACTTCTCCACCAAAAGGGAGCAGGCTGGGCTTACCCTCTGTTATTGCTAGACAAAACATCTCACAAAGACTCTCCATGCAACATTCCTCCACCACCCCAGATGGCATCATTCTTGGGCCAATAGGTACTTTGCACATGTGTAAACTTTTAAAAAAATCACTTTCAAAAAGGATCCCTTGGCCACAAAATAGTACTTTGAAGGATACATGTGGGGATTTGGTTAGTTCTGTAGGCGCATCACCTTCAGTTGTGCAAGATTCGTATATATCTTTCGTCAATGTAGTGGTTCTGTTGCAAAGAGATTAACCTTTTGAAAGCCCTCAAAATAGCAATATTGTGTCACTTTCAGAAATTCAGCCCTTCGTCCTACTGGAACAGCTTGGGGATTTAACCATCTTGTTAATGATTGGGTAGGGATGTTATACCGCACCTCAAGAGTGCAAAAAACCCCTGACAAATGGGGTGTTGCAGCGTTCTTTTCTTGACCTGTTGTTTTTCAATGTTCCAAACAACTTGGAGGAAAGAATTGAGGGGGTGCTCATCAGATTTGCAGATGGCACCAAACTGGGAGGGGTAGCTAATGCCACAGAAGACAGAGTTGGGATTCAAGATGACCTTAATGGATTGGAGAACTGGGCCCAAACTAACAAAATGAATTTCAGTAGGGACAAAGGTTCTGCACTTAGGCAGGAAGAACCAGATGCACAAATATAAGTTGAGACACCTGCATTGCCAGTAGTACATGTGAAAAGGTTCTAGGAGTCTTAGTAGACCACAAGCCGAACATGTGTCATCAGTGTGATGCATCAGCACAAAAAGCTAATGCTATTCTAGACTGCAACAACAGAAGATTTGTGTCCAGATCAAAGGAAGTCATAGTACCATTATATTCTGCTTTGGTCAGACCACACCTGGAACACTGTCCAGTTCTGGGTGCCACAATTTAAGAAGGATATTGACAAGCTGGAACATGTGCAGAGGAGGGCAACCAAGATGATCAAGGGTCTGGAAACCAAGCCTTGTGAAGAACAGTTGAGGGAGTTGGGTATGCTTAGACTGGAGAAGCGACTGAGAGGAGCTGTTTAAAGGGCTGCCACATGGAAGATGTAGCAAGCTTGTTTTCTCCCTCTCTGGAGGATAGGACCCGAACCAATGGATTTAAGATACAAGACAGGAGAAACTGACAAAACATCAGGAAGAACTTTCTGACAGTATGAGCTGTTTGACAGTGGAACAGACTCCCTTGGGAGGTTGTAGACTCTCCTTCCTTGGAGGTTTTTAAGCAGAGGTTGAATGGCCATCTGTCATGGATGCTTTAGCTGAGATTCCTGCATTGCAGGGATTTGGACTAGATGACCGTTCGGGTCCCTTCTACAATTCTGTGATTCTAAGAGTAGGTACGGTCATCTGTTGCCACCTGAGAGCTTTGACTTGCTGCATATATTTATGTTGTTGTTCCCCATTTTTACCCAACAAAGAGAGAATTTTAGATCAAGGACTGTGAGAAATGAATTGGTTATGTAACAGTGAACTAGTTCCCCCCCCCCTCCTTGACAGACTGTCTAGTACAAAGGCTCCCACCCACCTGCCACAGGTGAGGTTTTCTCCCTGGCTGCAGAAGACTTTGAGAAATGCAGTTTTGCACATACATATTTTATAACCACCAAATTTACAGAGGCTCCCTTCCATTTGCTTTGTCAAAATGTTCCGTGTGGGAAGCATCACATTCTTTCGTGTTTACTACTCGAACTGACTTTTTCTGCTTGCAGTCTTTTCTGCTCAGTCCTAGTGTGAAGAAAGTAATTTTGCATGAATTGTAAATGAAATAAGAAAATGCCCACAAGCACTGCCAGGGAAGAGCAGGGAGAGGGAGACTGAGACCGACCATTAGTGAGGAAGGATATGCCTCTAGAATAACCACACCTATCATTTTCTATGCATTTTTAATCCATCATGTCCATTATCCCTCCAAGCTTACTAATTGTTGCAAATTAATAACACCAGTGCAGGAATGTATATTGGTATCTGACTTCATCATCTGGAGATATCACTGTGTAGCACTGGTATTTGCGATATCAGACCAAGTGCCAGTGACTGGTCACGTTGGGCAGTGGCCAAGGGCCCCAGAGGCTGAGAAGGACCTCTCACCAGTCCATCCCAATGGGCCCCAGGACTACCATCTTAGCAGTAGATTAGCAGCCATTTTTGAATGGGAGTGAAGCTTCCATCCACAATGGCTTCCCACTATCTTAATTTGCTTCCACCCATGGATCTATAAATGTATAAAATCTGGAGATTTTGTCAGTGCTATTTTCCAGAAGAAGAGATGCCATGAACACCTTCCTTGTTTTCTTAGAACAGTAATGGCACCCACCTGAGAGATGACAGAATTGAGTTCCGGCAAGTTCCAGCTGAAAGAAAGCCCTGGTTTTCATGGATATATAGGCCAGCATTGCTGCCCACTACTAAAATGCCTTCAGGGGATCTGGCTGTTGGCGTGCAACCAAGGAAACGGGGGCAGTTGGCAGGTCCCCAGCTGCTTCCAGCCCACCGGCCGGTGTGCTGGGCGATCTCCAGTCCTTGGTGCAGCATCTGCAACCCAAGCTTCAGAAGCTAGGGCATGCTACACAGCAGAGTAAACGCTACGCAACAGAAGTGGTAGGAGAAGTTGTGTGAGCATATTTACAAGCAGTTTATTCAGCATACATCAGGACAAAAGGAAACATGTCTGATCTCCTTCGTGTCCAAAGCAAGGCAGCAAAAGCAAAAGCTGTACACAAACAGAAGTTCCCAGCAAGCTGTGCTGGAGTGTAAACAGACATGTGACATACAACAATTCCACACGTCTGTTCTTAAGGTGGAATGGAATATCCCAACACTGGCAGGGAGTGGTGTTGCTGCTCTTGCAACAACAGGAGAAAAATACTGTGTGACCTGTGATGGGGGGCAGTATTGATGAAGTATTGCTTCAAGCCTTCAAACGATCTTCAGGAATGAGGAATATCACAGTCCAGTGTGTTTTCTCGTTGAGCAGGGCAGTAGGAAAGAGAACACAGTTTTTCCCAAAGCAGAGCTGGATCTGCCAAGTGTGTAAGGGAAATAGGAATATATCTCAGTTCTTATTTCATGTGGTAGAGTGGCCTATTCCTGTATTCCACCATGTGCATAACCTATGTGCCCTGGCCCTGTTTGCATAGCTGTCAACATTTCCCTTTTCTTGTGAGGAATCCTATTCGGAATAAGGGAATTTCCCTTAAAAAAAGGAAAATGTTGACAGCTATGCCTGTTCGATCTTGCCCTTGGTTTAGAGTAGCCATCCCCAGCTTGTTGCCCTCCATCTGCCCTGGCCAGGGATAATGGGAGTTTTAGTCCAAAGTTATCTGCAGGTTTGGGAAGGCTGGTTTAGAGCATTTTAACAAGCAAGGTTTATACGTGGGTCTACAATCCTCTCCATGCCATTGATATATGCCATACAGCAGTAATCCTATTTGAGCTTTGACGAACCAGCTGTGCATTTGCTACGAAAACCGTCTTTTAATTTTCAGTGCCATTATGTAATGGGAAGATGTGCTGTAATACAGCATCAATGTTAAAACGCTGAGACTCAATAAGTAATGTTTCAAGCTGATTATTTCCATAACTGGATTTTCTTTTTAATGGTCAAAGCAATAGTTTCCTGCCATGTCTCTAATGGGGCTTTTTCACTGGAGAACACTGCTTGCTGTGAAGTAATACGTTTTGATTCTTATTGTGCTATGGGACCTGGTTAAATCTCAACAGAGCCATAATTCTAAACACAGTGGGGTTGAATTCTCAGCAGATCCACATCAGTTAGTGCTGTAAGTTGTCGCTTTATGTTGGCGGTCAACCAATGCAATGGAAACAGCTGAGACTCTTATGGCACCTTGAAGACCCATAAATATAGGGGGGCATAAGCTTTTGTGGCCAAAAAAGATTGTTTCAGCTTCCTGCTCTTCAAAGAGGCACCAGATGCCAAAAGTCTTATGCTGACAGGGCCACCACACCTGCAGGTACTCGTGTTTTTCATGCACACCCACCAAACCTCAGATCAGTGCAGTATTTCAGATATGGGCATGCACAGTCCCATGCCATTTGAGGCTTTGCAGGAAAGTAGTAGCACCTTTAAAAGCCCAGAAATGAGTAGACAAAATAGGGTGAAATTACACTCTGATCGCCCAGTCTCAGACCTTTCTCATTTCATTTCACTTTTAATTTGTATACCTTCTTTCTATATTGCTGTAAAACATGGTGGCTTACAAGCTGAAGAAACAACAAAATAGACAGCAGAGATCAAGAGTTTGGCAATGATATTGTGGACCTTTTGTTATACTTTTCCAGTTCTGTAGAGCATGATGACAGTGGCCAAATCCCTTTTTTGAGAAAAGGGTGAAACAGCCAAAGCTTGTAAAAGGCACTGATACTCAACCATGTAGGTGTGCCACATCAACAAGCGCTAACAACCTGTGAGACTTAAGGGGAAGTGCGACACCTAACCCTGGATCAGATGATTCGCTGAACCAACAGCATTTGCATCTTAAATGGATTAAATTTCATTTAAGTGCACATCTAGTCCTTTATTGATATCAAACATTAGTTTAGGATTTCTAGTCTTCTTAGAATCTGATGAAAGCAAGAGGTAGGACTAGGTGTCAACTGTGTGCTGGCTCCTCATCCCAAATCTCTCCTGATAATTGCACCAGAAATTTCATGTTGCTACTTCACTTGCTTTGTCCGATGGGTTGTCTTTTCCACATTATAAAATATTTGTTGTTTTGGAATTTTACAGACTTGGGGGCAGGGCTTTGCTTGAAGGAGAGACTAAGACAGTAACAGTGAAGTGGGTACAGAAATGTGCTCTTATCTCTTTACCTCTTCCTGCCACCACTATGCATTTTTTTCATTGCCTCTCTGAATTCCAGGTAGGGCTGCAGGGGAGGGAATCCCGTCTGAACCCTGGAGAGCGGCTGCGAGTCAGTGTAGACAACACTGAGCTAGGTGGAGCAATGATCTGACTCAATATAGTGCAACTTCCTGTTAGGATATTTCCATTCCACCTTAAAAGGGAGCAGGCTGTGAGTCACAGAGTCTGCGTATTTCCTGTTCACAGGATGTTTATGTTTTCTGTTGCTTTCGTTTTCTCTCTCTGTGTCGTAGACACTAAAGCAGGCAGTCATGTTTTTCTGTGTTCTGATCAACGCTGAATAAACTTGTAAATAATGCTCTCCTGAGTGCAACTTTTGGCTGTGCATTATCTGCTGATAGAGTGTGCATGAGCTCTGGAATGTGGCAAGATATTTTCTAGAAACTCATGTCGCTGCGTGCCTACGGGAGGTCGATGGATCGTCCGGCAGACGGCTTGGGGGCCTTGATGGACTTTATCTCCCTGGCAGTATCCTAACACTTCCTATGTTCCTATTACTCTTCGGAGTTGAAATGAAGGGGTAGTTTAGCTAAGAATCTGAAAATGCACATCACTCGGTGACCGAAATCTCAAGCACATGTGAAATGGCGATAAACTCAATTGACAGCCTGCTGACCTTGCAGTTTATCTAAAATTTGCTGCATGTAGGGCCTCCAGCAAATGATTACTCCAGAGTGGTAAAATAATATTACTTTTACCACTATTGAGGGCAGAGACAGCTCCAGGTTTGAGGGGGCAAAGAGCCCACAAGTATTAGCCCCTTGGGGGTAGGGGCAAGAGCACTTCTCATTTCCCACAATGCCCCTGATGTAGCATCACTGTGCAGCATATCGGGAAAATTAATTGGCAGCTTCCAAACCCAGGGTAAGTATTAGTGGTTGACCTTACTGAGATGCTGGGACTTTGACAGCTGCCTGACGACAAGAGCAGCTTGCTGATTGTTGTGGGAGAGAGCACAATTTGAACTGTCTGCCTTGGGCACCTAAATGACTTGGGTCTGTCTGTGAAGGAGTGATGGTTTAGGACACCCCTTGGACAATCCCCCTCTCCTGCTGGGGTGTGGGCCATCAGCAGGATGCATGAACCATGCTGACTTTTGACACTGGCCTTAATTAGCATTGCAGTGGCTTGCCTGCTAGTCTCTTGAGTTAGATCCCAGGGTTTGCAAAAAGAGGAAAAGTTATGCCCTTCTTCTTTGCTGGGACTCTGCCATCCAAACCCTCAGAGCTACTGTATGGGCGTTCAGTGACTCATAGGGTCATTAGGGTCTTGCTCATATATTATGAGTTGCTTCTGTGGTTGGATACTCCTCCATTAAGACTATTTTGGGCACAAAGAGCTGTTTTCATTTTGCAGATGAAATACCCAACCCTTCTTTCAGGCATGGCCTAACATGAAGATGAATCGTGGCACTCAGTCACACCTGTTGCTCACTTCAGCCCAAAAGCAAGGAGGAATACTGTCAGAATTCAGCCGTTAAAAGACCAAGAGTTTTGTTTTCCATGTTTAAACTCTCAGTCTTGATGAATTTTCATTTGGTTGTGGGAGGGGATATATTTGGCATGCTTTTTTTATGGAATTGGAAAGGGAGTGGTGACAGGTAAACACGGTCACAGTGAGGAGAAACAAATCTACCTCCGCAACGGGCCTGCTTCATCCTCTCTCCTTTCACAGGTTTTTCTTGGACACTGAAAGAAAAGAGAGCATTCTCCTCAGCTCCCTGAGCGTGTGAAACTCTTGATAAAGCCTTTTGCCTGTTCACGTCCTGCTCTCTTCAAATTTCGTTCAGGACTTTCTCAGCTAGGCTGCATTGGGAGAGGGAAATGCTCTGTTAAAAAATTACTCACATTACAGATGTTTCAGCAAGCCAAAAGAATGGTTCAATTGGTCAGGTGGGAAAAACAGCAAAATATTGAGGTCAGTCTATCCCTCCCTCTCTCAGGGGCAAACCCAAAAAGAGCACACGCTGCCTGTGACCTTAAATGTCTTGAAAAGAGTTTTCTGTAACTAGCCTGCCTGTTTAAACCACAAGTGTGAGCCACGGCTTCTGGGGCTGAGCTCTGATTAACTCTTGACTCAAATTAAGTCCACCTGGCTAGAATCCACCTCCTCCCACTCCCACATTATCCATCCTTATCCAGCTTCCTTGTCCCTGGCAGGGAACAAGCTGGCAAGTTTTCTTCGCAGTTGTGAAGTTTTCAGTAAATCACTCTTCACTCTCTTTTCCCATCAGAACGTTACACTGCCTTAAAGTATTGAGTACACACACAAAAAGTTCTCGGTAGAAATAGAAAGATTATTAAAAGTAGGGGCCAGGAGATCTGGGCCTCCTGAAAAACGGGGCTTGGGCTCGCTAGGAAACCTAACACTGCCCCTTTCCCTGTGACATGTTAGTTACGAGATTATTTTAATAAGTGATACTGCAGAGTTATGGTATTTATTTTATGTAGTTCAGAGAACAATTACCTACCTCTCCAAGGAACGTACAGCAATTCATTTTTTTAATGCTGACCCCATTTGCTAGTTGGTTTTGCAAAACTCTCCCAGTGCTTTCTACTCTGCACTTTTAAACTCTTTAACACTGGATAGCTGGGCAGCATACACAAACAGGGCTGTGGTTTCAAATTCAGTTTATCAGTGGAAACCTCTGGTTACAAAGGGGGCTTCCTGCTTAAATTGTGCTATAAAAAAACATGCATTTGGTATTGAAATCTGGTTATGGAGGTTGTTAGGAAGGAGCTGGGTTTGCTCTTGTAGCAAGAAACCTAGGTCGCTTATTTGGTATTGTGTGCTTGCCATAAGATCAGGATGGTACTTGAAGATGGTTTGTTGTTCCATAAGGGTCTTCTTTGAAGACCAGCTTTATTTAAGTCCATGTAGTTATTGGAACTGGAATTTCAAGATCGAGATTTTTCCAAGTGGAAACTCTCAACTTCAGCAAAATAAATAGAGGTAAACATTCCCTTTTGAACACTTTGATACCCGGAGCAAATAGAGAGAAAAGATTGTGGCATAATCCAACTATTTTAATCTCCACTTAAATCTCTTTAGTCTAGGACAATATTCCCCAGCTTGGTGCCCTCCAGATGCTATAGACTCCAACTCCCATCATCCTCAGGCAGCATTGCCAGTGGTCAGGACTGATGGGAGTTGCAGCCCCAAAACATTCAGAGAGCACTATATTTGGGGAAACTTTTGAATTTACTTAGCAGCCTTAATCTCCCTCAGTTTAAATGTTACCTGGTCAAAAGAGCCAAAGTCCCAATTCCAGAAAAAATAGGTTGCCTGATTTACACTTACACTTACTTACACAAATTCCATATGCAAGCAACAGTAGACCGCCTTCAGAATCGCACAGGGCCAGCCCAATCCATTTTGTCATTTGAGGCAAGACTAGTAATAGTTGGTTTTTATCCCTGCCCAGCCAAAACATCTCAAGGAATTTCACAAGAAGTTACTGAATCTCCAATAAGATTGGCATAACATCTTTATTTCAAGGAAGTTACTTTGGAATAAAACATGTCCAAACCAGCCAGTTGTGTTTTATTCTGCAAAGGCTGCAGACTCGGGGAATGAATGAAATAATAGAAAAGTGCTTAAGCAAGCATACCCCAATATCCTTCCCTGTCCCTCAGAAATGTCCGCTTCCTTTTTTAAAAATGAAAGCTAAGATTATACCCAACTCCCAAATCCTACCCCTTCTACCCATTTGTCAGGAGCTCACAAGCCTGAAATTTGCTCTCTTCTGCTGTAGTTCAGTAGCACTTTCCTGTATGTTTTCCACAGCAAATGGTATTCAGAGACACTAATCTTTACTAGTAGCCATTTATACCCTTGTACAATCAAACTGTGGATTTCTAATCCCCCCCTCCTTACAGCTGCTGTGTCAGGAATGAAATGAATTTTTTAAAAATGACGACTTTGCAACAAAGAGGGCTGTCTGCTGTCTACTGTCTGCCGGTGATGTGAAGATGAGTAGCGACTTGCAGCGAGCATGACATCACTAGCCAACGTCATTGCTTCCCAGCAATCAGAGTGGGTCTCCTTCAACGATGGGCTGCTGCTACCGGTTGCCTCCCAGGGTAGGCAAATTCCTTCCCTCTGATGAAATAGGCTGTTGCTGTATCTTGATATAAATAAGTTAGTCAAAGGAAACAAGGCAACTCTTTTACTCCAATCCAAAGTCCTCTGTGGGTTGTACTTAAACATAAGCAGTTTTTGTTTTTTGTTTTTAAGAAGTGCAGCCTCTTCTCCATTCATTCAGGATAGACACAAACGGATGGGTCTTCCTCCCATGGGGTTTTGTGTTTTCCCAGTTGCTTGTTGCACATGGGCCTACTAAAATGGAGGAGCTCCTTGCATGAATATGAATTGCTTGTGCTCAGGGGTGGACCATCCCATTTCACTGCCTGAGGTAAAACGGGAAGCTGTTCCACCACCCTGCCAAAGCCTTGCTTACTGGGATCTCGCAGCAGCTTCTGGTGAGATATTGTGAGAGCTCACAAAAGCACTGTGAGATCTTGCCAGAGTTCCATGAGATTTTGCAAGATCTGGCTGGAAGTCACTGTGGCACAGCCCCACCAGCAACAGTACCCTACCCATGGGATTCTGTGACCCAAGGCAGCAGCTTCAGTCTACCTCATGGGCAGGCCAGCTCTGCTTCAGCAGTAGTTGTGACTTTTACTAGCATGAGTCACTATAGTGCAAATCCAGTGTGAAGTAATGGATAGAGCAGGGATGAAGAGCCTGTGGTCCTATAGACGTTGCTGGACTCCAGCTCCCATCGGCCCCAGCCAGTTTGGCTGATAGTCAAGAATGATGGGAGCTGTAGTCCAGCAATATCTGGAAGGCCACAGGTCTCCCAACTCTGGGATAGAGTGTTTCGGACTCAGAACTAGGTTGAATTCCTTCTTCAACTCACAGGGAGAACTTGAGTAAAATCTCTATTAACCTATCCTACCTTAAAGCATAGTTATGGAGTTAAAATGGGGTCACCCTAAGCTCCTTGGAAAGACAGGCTAGATGAAAGTAGCTAAAGGATTCGATTACATGTGGGTAGCTATGTTCAGTTTTTATATACCACCTCAATGTGTTATAAGAAATTTGACCTAGGGAGGGGAAGCAGCCTTGTGCCGAACTTCTCCTTCTCCTATGTAACATCTAGTTCAGGGATGAGGAGTCTGCAGCCCTCCAGATATTGCTGGTCTACAAGTCCCTCACTCCCAAGACCAACCAGCCCCAGAATGAGTAGTGGAAACTGCATTTAAGCTGTGTATTTGCCCACCCCACCTTCACATTGTTTCAGGCAGGGATGGATACTTGCTCAGTATAATGACAATGGGACACAGTATTGCATTACAAAGTCTCTTTAATGGTGGAAAGGAGAATGACTCAACATGGGCTGCCATGTTTCTTATAACAGGTAGTTTCACTCAGAAGCATACAGCTGTAACATTGCCCTATACACATTGAACATTTACAAATGATGAAAAAGGATGTTTAAAAATTCCTTGTTACTTGTACATTATATTGTGATTCTTCTTGCAGGCCAAGCTGGAGAACCTCTTGAAAGGTTTCTGTCCTCCTCTGATACTTCTTCTGAAGGCATCCAAAACCTGGATGGAGAATTTCAGACACTTGCACATGCAGAGCTGGGAGATGGAATGGACAAAACTGCTGCAGACTCTGTGTCCGTATGTTTGCTTGAAAACCACCCGTCTCCAAAGCCTGATCTGTCTTCATCATTCAGCACATGGGTCCAGTTTGAAGATGCACCCTGGCCTAGCACTTCACCAGAGAATGCACATACAGGTTGGGATGTCACACTAAACCAAAGTCTATTACAGTAATGCTTGCAAATGATTCCAGGTTCAGTCCCTGGCATTTTCAGGTAGGGCTGAGAGAGGCTCTTGTCTGAAACCCTCGAGAGCCACTTCTTGTGAATAACACCGAGCTGGAATGATCCTGTGATGGAGTAGCAAGAGACTGCATTGATGCAGCTTGCGTGCGCTTAGATCGTTGACCTCAAGAATAATACCCAAGCTGACAAAGTTTGGGGGCTTCTGTGATATTTTATTGAGGCTTCTACATACCAGACCTCTTACGGCTTTGTTCTGCCGGGTAGTTAGTCCCTTGCTAAAATAATTAAGAAGCCATCCCCTAGGCCTTGCCCCCACGCATTCCACAGATATTTTGGCTTGTTTATTGTCAACATCGCAAGTGAATCACATACACACACACCACATGCACAGAGTGTCTAAAATACTATCTGCTACTCCATATAAACCTACCTTTTTAACTGTTTCAGAGACTGTGTTGTTACTCCCTTCAAAGTTGAGATGTTGGCAACTGGAGAAAGGGCATTTTCAGTAGTGATACCCTTGTTGTGAGATTTTGCTCCTCCAGAGATACTTGACTGGTACATACTTTGCTAACTTTAGAGTACTGGGTAGATATATTATTATTATCCTGAATTTTTAAGGGATGATATGATTCTGATGATTTTTACTGATAATTTTAGCAACACAGGAAATATACTGAGTCAGATTATTTGTCCATCTAACTTACTGTTGTCTTCTCTGACTGGCAGTGGCTCAACACCTGCTACCTGATCCTTTTTTAGGTGATGTCAGGCTTTGATCCAGGGGCCTTCTGCAGGGGAAGTGTTCCACCACTGTGCTATTATTTTTATTTAAAAAACCCTGTTCTGTGATTTTAATTCTTTTTTTAAATGCTAATTGTTGAATTTTTAAAGCTTTGTTGTTGGTTTCTTTGAAAGAATTTGCTAAAAGTGTTATTTTAGAAATAACACTTAATTTTCCCCCCTCCAAAAAAATGTTTAATTATGCAAATGTATTGTGACACTCGTCCTGGCAAGGGTCACCAATGGCATGGGAAATAGCCATGTCAGTCATACAACTCATATGGTACCCTGATTGCTTATGCTACCAGTGCAGCAAGGAACTCGGCCCTGTTTCAATTCTCTCTCATATTGACATCACAATTCAATCAGATAAACTGCTGGGCAAAGCTGCACCCTGGAATGTAGCAAGGTATGAAAAGTAGAGCTAGAAAAGGCCTATTGTGACATCTGGATCACACTCCTCTCAAGGACTTTGTCTGCTTCTAAGTGGCTCAAGTAACTAGGACTTTATCTCACATTCTTGGGGAGGCATTTTCACAGCAGAACAAACTTCACATAATGCCGATTGTGCTATCCGCTCTGAAACTGGCAATTCTTGAGTAAGAGAATCGTACAGCTGAGGAAGAAGGAAAGCAATAACTGAAAATGATGAGAGCTTGATGGCATGCTAAAATTGGAACAAATTGTACTATCTTCGCTGCTGGAGGAAAAGTTTGCTATAAGCTCAGGTAGCTGAAGATTGAGGATGTATGTAATATAACTGGAACAAATTTGGAGAGAGAATTCTCAAGCAAGCTATTCTAGATCTCATCCACATCATACATGTAAAGCATTGCTTTTAAGAGTAATAATGAATCCTGGGAACCGTGGTGCTAACCTCATAGAGCTGTAATTCCCAACACCCTTAACAAATTACAGTTTCCAGGATTCTCCATGACTGTTAAAGTGGTATAATAGTTCTTTAAATGTATGGTGTGAGTAGAGCTTGCTTCTAAAGACTATGAAGGTACGTTCTTCTAACTGTGATTTTGGACATTTCAGATTATAGATGCTGTTTGCGCTTGAGGCTTATAAGGAAACATATCTCTGTTCAGACATTCTGAAATAGTGTGTACAGAGGGGAGATGAGGATCCCAGCCCTCCTCGCATCCCATGTATTAATAGTCTCTTTGCAGAGCAGGCAGGTATGCGGTTTTCATAGGTTTTTGTATACACATGTATAGGAAATGGGTTCCCTCAGTTCCTGCTTTCTGTAAACACACATTTAGGTATTTGCACTGCTTATATAGAACCAGCCACTGTAACTTAGGGTGAAATTCAACACTACACTACTATTCTGTCAATGCAAATATTTTTGCTTGCTAGATGGAATGTTCTTTCCCATCTTCTCCCCACAGGCTGATCTCCCCAGAGCAGATTTTGGGGAAATGCATGGGGGGGGGGAGAGCCCTGTTACACTAGCAGAAGACCTCTTCCAAGACTTCCGCTAGGTTAGTTGAATCTGGCCCATGGAGTTCTCCAATGTGACCCTTTTCTGCTGGCACCAATTCCCTTAAAACACTCTTAAAACTTCCTGGTAGCCTGGCATTAGGTGTGAGATTGTCACCAGTACTGGGGATGGACCAAACTGTTAACTAAGACTGTTTGTTTATCAAAGGGCTAATTGTGTACATAAGGAAAAGCTGATACATTGAGATCTACACATGCTTGATGATGGTTTCCAAGGACTCAAGAGATGCTGTTGCTGAGACCTGCCTCTAAAAGGCTTTTACTGTAGGGGTTATTTACCTCAGACCAATTTCCCTGACATTCCTCCCCAGCCAAATTCACTCACAACCCAGTTAACTACTGGGTACAATCTGCCTCTGACCCCAAAGCTCCTCTGGTTGTACTTCTGGCTTCTTGGACATTTCCCCTGTTTTAAAAAACCTTCATGTGTCCTCTTCCGTTAAAATCTTTACACAGTGCAGCCTATTAGCCTAACTCAGCCACTGACTGCCTTCTTCTGGTCACAGCCACCAAAGCATTGTTAACACACCGGGGAAAAATATACCATAATATTCAGGATTTCGCTGTCCACTTTCACCTCAACTTTCTGTGTTCTTCGCCTCACACCTTCCTCATCAACTGTCGTTCCTGACTGACAGGTAAACTGCCCATTCTTCACTGGCTAGAGCCTCCAACCAATCAGAGCCTCAGACCCATTGAATTTACTTGATCCCGGGCCCGTCTATAAATATTAAAAGCAATTATCTCTTTCCCCTTTCGGAACTTGTCTCCAAGCAGCTACTGCTAAACAGTCTTGCAGCACAGTAAATAGCACAAGGCCTTGGACTTCGACATTTACGTTCTGACATTAACAGAGGTTGCAGAAAGCACAAAACTCGTAGACAGACATACACCGCATTCCTCAGTATACAACATGGTAGCAAGTGTTTTGGTTTTATATTAGAAGGCTTATAGCAAATGGGGAGCACTGATAGCATCAAATAACCAGCTACCCTGCAGAATACTCAGGCAGCATTTCCTCGCTTGAGGGAAACTTGATATAAGATGGTCTGCACCATCCAATTCCCTCTTTTGTCATGACTCACCTTTCCAGAACCCTTTTTATGCTGCCTAGTTCCACAAATTTCTTTCTTTTTTAAAGCCTTCTCTCCAAAAACATTCTGCTGGACATGTCCCTCTTCGGGATCTTCTGAGAGAAGGCCTCTCACGTCAGACAACAGTTGGACAACTACTTCTGAGAACACCAGCAGCCCCAGTTTCACACCTTCCTATACTGACCTGCAGTCCATAAACACTGAAGACCTGACCAGTGGCAGAGCATCTGCAGCAGACTCAACCGGTAAGCCAGCTTTGTGCTTCCTTCCCCTTTCATTGGTCACATTTCCCTAAATAAACTGTTAACATTGGAATCTAAATTTGCAATGAATCCTGGATCAGCCTATTACAAATGCAGTATCATGATATGATCTTCAGAAGATGGCTTGGTCAACTATAAGTTACCTTATTCTTGGTGCTCTTGCTGAACCCATGACTGGCCTACCCATTTTATTAAGTCTTTTAAAGAACAGTTTAACCAGACAAACATAAAACAAGAATAAAAAGTGAAATAAATAAAAGGTATACTATATCATTATATGAGTTAACAATTACAATCCCGTTTATACGTCTCTGATGTGCAGGTTTTATTATTATCCAGATGCATATATGCTTATTTTTAACCTACTATATTTTGTGTAAAAGTGTTCCAAATGTCTTTATACTTGTCCATGCAAAGTCTACATCTCTAAGCAATTGGTTCATAAGTTGCAAGTGCAGTCATATCTTCAGTCCACTGATTAAATGGAGCCGTTCACTTATATTTCCGGTGCATCAGTATCAGTCTTTTGGCCCTAGTAAGGGATGAGATGGACTGAGGCAGCCATCTTGGGTGGCAGAATCCCACGGGGCAGTGCCCCTGTGTGAGCCCTGCCCACCCCACCACCACAGGAGAAGCTGAGAGAAGCAGTGGTGGCTTCCAGTGAGATGTCTCCGGAAGCCACCACTGCATGACCCTGGTAAGCAAGGATTTGGCAAATGGGAGGCAGTGAGGTGGCACCTACCCATTTTGCCTCAGGGCCACCCCAGCTGTGCCAGTTGTCAAAGAAGACCACTCGTGAGACTTATGAGAATGTTTTACAAATCAATTTAATCTGTAGTTAAAATATTCTAGTTCCTTCAGCACATTCACCTTTCCTTCACTGACAAGGAGAAACTTCTAGCTCCCCGCCCGGGGGGGCAAGAATCTTTTTTTAAGAGCTAAAGAAGACCTGATAACGTTTATGTCTTTAGCCCTGATATTCCTGCTCTGCCCTTTCCTAGGCCAGATGAGGACTGTGGCCCTGGGGGGACTTTAACCTTTCCCCCCTCCCAAGATGGCTGCTTATTATGGGAGGGGGAAATCATGTACCCCAGGGCTAAAGGCATTGCATAACTTCTCATGTACTGTTCTTTGGCCCTAAGACAAAGGAAAAAGCAGAGAGAGAATCAAGACAACCTATGGAGATATGTGATGAGATCTTTTGACTTTTTTAAAAAACAACTTTTACTCAGCTGTTGTGGGGGGCAGACTTTTGGTCAAAGCAGCAGATCTGAGGGGGGAGTTCTATAACCCTTTCTGTCTGTGCCATTTTTGTAATCTAAATCCCTCCCCCCCCCAGCTGATATGAGCCTTACCTGGGGGGTGGGGTGGAATACAGATAGATTACCTGCTTCCTCCATAGATTTTGCTCCTGTAGGATAAATAGTAGCTGGGGCGTGATAGGGTTAATTAAACACCCCTCCACCCATTGCTGCTGTTCTGATTAAAATCTGAGTCCTCCACAGCTACTTTAAAGCTACATCTGTTTTGGTCAAGAGAGAGAAACAAATTGGCAGACCTGTGTGATAAAAAATAATCTGAAGTAGATTCTGCCTGCTGGAATGTTAAGCTGTGCCCCTGATATGCCCAGAGGTGGAAAGCACAAATATTTACACTAAAGCACATGAAGCCTGTGTTTGATCAAATTAAAAGCTGGACGTGGTCTGTGGCTAATTCATATGTGGCCTACTTCAGGGCAGTGAGGTGAACTTTTGACAAGCTTCAAGGATAGCTGTCCTAGGTTTAGACCTTCACCTTTCCTAGGTAAAATTTACCCAGTCACATACCAAGCAACCAGTGCTATCTGAATATTGTGGGAAGGATTTGCAAATAGATAAAAGTGTCTTTACAGGATTTATCATGCTGACTTTGGGTCTCGGCTCTGCCATGCGATGTGGAAAGTCAAATATCTTTGCAATGGGCGGGAGTTCAGTTTGAAGTAGGGCACAGTTGTGTCAGACTTTGTATGGAAATTCTTGGTCTTCTGCTTCTGATTGAGGGGGAACACAGCACCGAAGTGTTCAGGTCCACAACTGCAAGATACCGAGCACCCTGGAAAGCTGGTTTAAATCCCCAGGAACTTCCTTTTAGCATTACTAACAAGGAATTGGAAAATGTGAGCAACAGCCACTGAAAAAGTAGCCTGACTTCTAAAGGGTATATGGTTTCAGTGGCTCAAAAATGACTAAGAGTAAGCCAGGACTCTGCACTATGCAGGGCAGAAATGTATGTTTGAAGAGTTTTAGGGCATCACAGTGAGCTGATTTCTCATGGTGAATTAAATACACGACTGAGAATCTTGCACTCTCTTGATGTGATCTTTCAAGTGGCTGGAGATCAAATTGGTGAGGTTTTAGCAGTAGCACTAACAGCTCTTACTTGTAACTCGTTTCATATGCTCGAGTTATTGGAGTGGGTGCGTTGCCAACTATAAACACAAAGGTGGCATTTCCCATCATAATCAAGCAGTGCTTGATCCTGCTCTATCCTTAGGAATGGGCAGGACCACACATTGGGTGGGGGGGAGGGAGGGTTCTCATGCTGAAATAAGAGATTCTGCTTCTTTGTAATATAATGTGGTTGCCTCAAAAGCATGGGAAAGGATGAGGAGATTGTACCGGTAAGAAGCACAAGAATGTGGTTTAGCGATGATGAGAGGTTTAGAGGATCGGTTTTAGGCCTAGCTGTTCTTAAGCACAGGGGGCTAATTGGAAGCAGATTTAGTGTAAAAGGAGAAGGGAAAGTCAGGGGGAAATCTTGTAGGCTCAAATGTTGGCTTCTCCTCTTGTATGATTTCTTCCTAGATGCTCAGACAGGATCTGTTGCAATGTTTTTTCCACTTGGGGGAAAAATGTCACTAAGATTGAGTATCAGTGTGTGTGGTGCATCATTTTAGAAGCCCAGAATCCAAGGTGGCCATGAGTGATGGGTATAATAATGCATTAGGGATGTCCAATTTAATTCTTGCTCTGTATGATAGTTTGTATCAAATATGAATCATTCTAACGTACCTGTTTGGAGAGGGAAAAGCCCTAATATATAAATCTTTGTATTTATATGTCAAACCCAAAGTTTCTGATCTTATTATTGAAATCAAATTACCTCTTTTCTTTCTTGTTAAAAAACAGCCAGGGGACCATGCAGTGTTCACACTTTTAAGCTCCCTCTTTTGCTGGATTTTAACCCATTTTTTAATTGTCCATTCCTGTAGGTGGTCTTTCTCTAATGTTGCTCATGCATAGCCTCCTTTGCAAATATAGTGTTTTTCACTCTGAGGCCAACTACTGGACGTATCAATGGCTTGATTCATTATAGGGCATCTTCCTATACTCCAATTTTCCTAGGAGTTTGCTTCATGAGAAAAGGAGACAAGAGAGAACAGAAATTAAGGATGGGAGGAAATGCCCTTTTTGCTGTAGAGCCACGAAAGTAGGGAAACAGGGCTGTTACGACCCAGAAGAGTTCGTATGGAACTCCTAGCCAGTTGGAAGGCTTCACAGTCAGAGCCTGTTGGAATTGGAAAGAAGAAAAGTAGGAGACTCCTCACTCTTTCCCAATCATCTTATGCTCATGGAATGGCTGAATCCGCTGCTTCCAGTGGAGAGATATGAGTTCTAGTTCAGTGGCAATAATTTGGTTCCCTATGACTTTTATTTTAAATCCTTTGGGCAGTTCTTACCTCAAACTCCAACACTTCACTGTTTTTGTTTTGTTTTTGTTTTTAAAAACTTGATAGCGGATTGGAGTTAAGAGTGGGTTAGCTATTAAGAGTGAAACTTCAAAGAAATTCCTGTGCGTGTTTACTGCAGATTGGGTGATCTCTACATTGCATACACAAATGGCAGCAAAGTTTGAGCTTTTGCCTACTATGAAAGAAATGCAGCGCTACTAAAGAGGATCTGCTGCTCTGATCAAGAGTTTCTCTGGTGGACCTGACTTTGGGTTATGTACGAGCATGTATCCCATCTTTACACTGGCACACAAGGTTATGGCATGCCTGTTCACAATATCACAATCAATAGGGTTATTCTTTTAGTGCAAGGTGCATTTTGACTTGTTCTTGGTGACTTGTGTTTAATACAGTTAGTGACTCATCTATATTGTTATGCTTTTATAGATCCTATATAGTGCAATAATTTCCTACTTCCCCTTCTCATTAACAAGCTCACACACTCTGGAGGAGAACAAAGCAATGTATTTTGTCACTGGGATTCTGGCTTCTTTGGCTGAAATCACCAGTTGGCTTGAAATCTGAGTTCCAGGCTCCACTAGAGTACGTAGGTAGGCGCCTGTACAGACACCTACTGGCTCCAGCCTTGAGGCTTACAGATAGTTATCGCAGAGGCGCAGAAATGGGAATGGAAATTAAAAAGAGCACTACTGTAATTTCCTGAAGTGCCCTGAAGCAGGTTTTGCAGCAAAGATATAATTTCATAGATCTGCATGAATGGTGTGAATGCAGACAATTTAACCCCTGGGCTGCTTTCAGCGATTTTGGAAATGGGAGAGAGAACCTTCCTGATGCTATCATGGAAATAATTGATCACTCTTCAGATTTAATGCAGAATTGAAAGCATGTTTCCTCATAAGTGTGACCTGTTGAATTCAGTGGAACTTTTTTTGAATAGTAAAATAAGTGTGCTTAGGACTTCAGAGCACACCAGGCACTTCTGTCTTCCACTGCCTCCCGCAGTTTGGTCAAACTCATGCTGGTAGCTTCGAGAACACTGTCCAACCATCTCGTCCTCTGTCGTCCCCTTTTCCTTGTGCCCTCCATCTTTCCCAACATCAGGTTCTTTTCCAGGGAGTCTTCTCTTCTCATGAGGTGGCCAAAGTATTGGAGTCTCAGCTTCAGGATCTGTCCTTCCAGTGAGCACTCAGGGCTGATTTCCTTAAGAATGGATAGGTTTGATCTTCTTGCAGTCCATGGGACTCTCAAGAGAATGTTGACAATTCCTGATAAATGTATTGAGACCTGGGGCTGTAGGAGGCCACTTTAAACTGATTCAGGCCAGTGATCCACCTGCCTCAGTATTGTCTCCAAGGTTAGCAGCCCTCCAGGATTGAAGATGGGAGTCTTTTCCAGGTCTAACTGGAGATGGCAGGGGTAGAATCTGTGGCCTTCTGCATGTGCTCTTCCACTGAGCTACAGTTCTTCCCCACCAAAGTCCTGCATTTATTGCTGCATTTCCTTACTTGTGAGCTATAGACTAGTAAGTGCTCACAGTCTTTTTAAAAAACAACAACAACATGAATATATCCTCTGGTATACCTCCGTAACTCAGAAAAGGTCAAACTGCATATCCATGATTGGATTTTCCTTCTTTGAAAAAGCTCACAGGAGAGGAGGGATGTTATAACCTTTTACTTGTTCACCGTTTCCCCAGGCTCATCTCCATCCTTAAGGTGCAGCTAACTCACATTAAGGGGGGGGGGGGAATAGTCAACAAGTACATACAACTGCTGTTAACAGCAACAAATTTGGAGCACAAACTGTATTAGTGTCTCCCTTCACCTGTAACTCTCTACAGTTCGCAAGAAACACTGCTGTGCAGAGTGTTGACTTCTGCATCCATGTTCAAGCAGATTACACACCTTGTGTTTTATATACAGATTAAAAACACATGCCTTGTGTTTTATATACAGATTCTAGCTAGTGGAATTGCACTTGTATGCCTCTGAGTGAGAAAGTAAATACTATCTGTATAAGGACTAAGGACTGGGTGTTAGAACGAGGTGGGCAAAAGCAAGGTGATGGCCATTATCACTGATTCCGAAGCTCTGCAAAACAGACCTTTCCTGTACTGCAAAAAGACTTGGCTCTGAAAGTGGGGCAGTTAGATTCCCCCATAGTGCTTTGCAGAGGCTCCTTTGTGGCAGGGTGTTCTCTAATCGTGCAGTATTAGGATCTGGTTGGGAAGCTTTGCACAAAAGAACTTAGGGGCTCTGGAGGCTTTGCTTTCATGAACTCATTTCTTCTCCTGCTCCCGGGCTGATTTGTTTGCAGAGGCTCGGTTGCCTCAAGCAACGTAATATCAGTGTGAACTATGGGGTATCCTTGGAGATCTGCAGGATTCCCTGCAAACCTTTTCAGCTATTAGCCTTTTCAGAGGATGAAACAAATAGGCATTTTCTTCAGTAGGAGCTATTGCTTAGTCTCCCCTTCCCTTTTCTTTTCTCTGCCCCACCCCACTTTTCTGAAGTATGTAAAAGCAGCTTGGTGTGTTTCACAGGCAGATACTGTGAACAGTGTAAAGCAATGCCTTCCATGCCACAATCTCTTCTGTTAGTCCTAATGCCTTTGCATCAGTCTTTAGCCTTAGGGAGAAGCAATGAGTGAACTTGCAATATGCCTGACACCTGCCCATGCCTCAGTGCTCTTGCTTTCTCCCTGAACTCCCCTTTCCCCATGCCAACTGGGACCATGTAGCGGCTACAGTCTTCTTGTTGCTTCTTCTGCTTGCCCCATCCCAGCAGATAGCAGCATGGGACTGGCAGTGACTACCCCCCCAAAACACACACACACACACACACACACACACACACACTTTTTTGCAAGGCTCTGCAAATCCTATCTTTTCTAGAATTGCAATTTTGTGTGGGTGGTGCAAGTGTTGTGATGGCGGGTGATGATGTTGTGTGAATATATTTGTGGTGTGGGGGGATGAATGGGTATAGAGGTTGTACCCTTGGGTTTATACTTGTCCTAAACAAGCATTCTTTTCTTCAGCATTGGAGCATGAATCGTAAACAACAGCTATAATGCCAAATGAGGGGAATTGCACCCTGTAGTGAGTGAATGATCCAGAACTCACATTTAAGCTAAGATATATAATGCCAAATTTGTTAACTAATTCTAACAAAGAGATGTTTTGGTGGGTGGGAAGGTTGTGAATAACTTGAAGTCAGTCATACAGGAAATTGAACCTGCCCCCATTGCTCATTTCAGTACATTTCTATTTATTTATTTTTTGGTCTTAAAATTGTGTATGGACAATGCAAATGGCAGAAGAATTTCCTTGGAAGGTGATCGCTGACATGATATTAGCCGTGCAAGTGAAAAAGACCTTGATAGTTATGATAGGGCCACTGAATATCTTTGCAAAGCTGCAATGCTTACTTCATTAATCAGTTTGGTTAGCCCAGGCTTCCTCAATCTCAGCCCTCCAGATGTTTTGTTTCCTATCATCCCTGACCACTGGTCCTGCTAGCTAGGGATCATGGGAGTTGTAGGCCAAAAACATCTGGAGGGCCGAGGTTGAGGAAGCCTGGGTTAGCCTTTTGGAAGACTGAATAGGTGCCCCCAATCAAAGAGATAGTAAGGATACATGTATCTAATTTATAAAAGCTTATGGTGGCAAGAGCAACTCTAAAAGGAGTATTCTGTCCTGGATGTGAGAGAGGGCGAAATGTCTCTTTTAAATGCTCTGCACGTGTATGCTTCATCTGAAAACAAAACAGTCCTTGCCTGTAGATTTATGCATATTTAATTGGTTAGAAACTCCTATGAGAAGCTGGAAGAACCCTAGTTATTTTTGTTACAACATTAAGAACTGACAGGCACTCTCTTATAGAGCCTTGTGCTAGCAAGATAAGAATTGTGGGAGATAAGAGTTTGTCTTATGGGTACAGAGTTTATTTTTCTGGAAACTGAAAGTAGCTGAGCTAACAGCAGTGGTGGAACCTTTTCCTTCATTTCTTTCAAGTTATTCCTTCCTCATTCGTAATTAGTTGGTTTATTATAAAAGTATCACAACCCAGTTATAATGCTTTTTAAGCTCTTTTCTTGCTCAGATATGTAAAACTTTGGAAAGAGGAGTGCTTATTCTCCGCTGGCGTGGTAAGAGGCATTTCTGTGGCAACCCATTAGCCAAAGCAAATGCCATCCTTGTCCACAGCTTTACACAGTGTAATTCCCTGTTATTAAATACAGCTGCAGGTGAGCAAACACTTCTTAAAAATGCAAACGCTTCCCTTTATTCAGTCTTTCTTGACTCTCCGTCTCTTAACCAAGGGATGAACTCTGTGGCACGGTTATGAATTTTAAAGGGAGTTGAGCAAAGCATTGCTTTGAAATTAGCCTCCATTGTGCCTTCACTGAAAAAGCAGTAGAGCAGCCCTTCTGCCTCGTAATCTCTGTTAATAAGGGTGACTGAGCACATCTTCATTAAACTGTTGGTGTTGCTGTGATGGGGGATTTATTTGGCCCCAGCCTTCTTTCAGATTCTGACCTCGATGAATCAGCCGTAATGCTCACACTCTGAAAATCTTTTGTTGCCTTGCTGCTGCTCTGAGAGCAATTAGTAGTAATGCACAATATATTTGGGGCTAGGGAAGAACCCCAACACATTCTTCCTTTTCTTCTCTTTTTTTAATGAGGGGGCCTAGCTGTCATAGAATTCAAAGTTCACTTGATTGATTGAGCACCATGTTAGCTCTTGTACCTAAAAACCACAAAAGACCAGGAGAACATGTAATATTGCCCCTGAATCATTTTCTTCCCCCATACCCTGTTTGCACACTTTGGTTGCCAAATGTAGTGAGTTCTTCCGTGTGTAAAATATAAACCGTTTACCCACAACGAAGGCAATTCTTGCAATATGATGGCCCATCCACAGATTGCAGTTCTGAACAGAAGAGCAGATATTGGAAGCAAGCCATGCTCTTCTAAGTGTTTAAGGAAATCAAGCTTATTGCGTTTTTGCAGGGCTGCGGCTTAAGACTGGTTAGAAGTGGGGGCAAAGAGATTTTCGGGTTTTGACATGGTTTTGACATGGATATACATTGATGTTCTGCAACCAATCTGTTTTGTTAGCCACTTTGGGCTTCCCTTGGGAAGGATAAGCAATAGGTAACATATTCAGAACATGAAATATGTTTTGAATTGCAAAACTGGAGGGTGTATTAAGGGGGCTAGCTATCGAGGGGGTTTGTTTAATACCCCATAATAGCCATAGCACTGTTATCAACGTATTAGAAGAACCATGGTATGTAGACCCATGCAATGCTTATAGTAAAAGCTGCTCTGCATGTCAAACCTATGAAGTGGCCCAATATAGGTCATGTGGTCTGAAGAACGCAAGGTAGAGGACGCAGCACACCACTGCTCTGAATGGCACCCCTACACAGATGTCCATAGTTGACCCTTTTTCTGGTATATTATGAGTCACACTACCCTCTTGTGGCCACAAGGTGGTGTTACCAAACTTACATATTCCACAACATGGGCTGAAGCTGCCTTGCATTGAGTCTGTCTTTTGGTTCTTCTAAGTATGGTCAGCACACTGTACAGCTGACACCGCCTCTTATTGCACCACAGTCAAATATTAGCCACCTTCAGACGTTCGTCCACAACTTTGTGCCTCTCTTCCATCCACCCCCTTCCCTCATGTGCTTGCTTTGGCGCAGAAGTGCTGGCTTGCATTAAGCCAAAGTTTTCAAATGTGGGACCATGAGAAGGGCTTCATCCCCGGATCCAGGAACTCCAGCATGCTAATACAGGGACGAGCGTTGCTCCGAGATGCTTGAGTCCCAAGTTGTTTAGGTGGCAGTACTTTAAATTCAGCCCAGAAGCTTATAGACACCCATTGAAGATCTTTCAGTATTATGTGATCCCTGATGGCTGCTCCAGGTAATACTCTGACAGGCACACTTGGCACTAATCGTAGTTTCCAGGTCAGTTTTAAGGCAGGTTCATGTTGAGTGTATTGCATTAATCCAACTGGGAGGTAGCCAGAGCACAGGTCACAGTGACCAGGTTATCTCTGTCTAGGGCAGCCATAGCAGACAAACTTGCCAGAGCTGGAAAACAGCATTCCAAGCCAGTGAAGCACCCAAGTCTCTGATGTCAGCTCCGTGTCAAGTACTTCCAGATTATTAGAACATAGGAACTTAAAGAAGACCCTTCTGGAGCAGGCCAATGGCCATTCTAGTCCATCATCCTGTACTCACAGCGGCCAACCAGATGTCCTTGTGGAACCCACAAACAGGATCCGAGCACTTGCCCCTGCTGGCTGTCAGTGTAGACAGTTCTGAGCTCCTAGGGATTAGATCTGGGACCTGCTGCAGGCAACAAGTACTTGTTCTTCCTTATCATTGGCAGAAAGGGATAGATACTGTGAATATACACGTGCAGTGTTTTCCCAAATGATGCTTTCGGAATCTTATGTATGGGCTGTCAGAATATCAGTAGTGCTAAGTCTTAAGTCTTGAGAGGAATACAGCATGAGAGCGCTGGGATCCCCTTCTGGGTCTATAGTTAAAAGTCAGCAGGTGGTTCTCTTCTAGCAAAGGTTTAAGACTGAAAAGCAAACTTTGGGAGAGTCGCCCTCTGTCTCTCTCCTAATATATTCATTTGTCATAGGCAGACACACAGCGTAGATCTTAATTCCTGATTTTAATTGAAGTTGTCAGCTGGGGGAAAGGAGTGATTGGTGCTGATGGCACTGTAAACAAAGCTGCTTTAAGATGTTTCTCCAAATGATTAGTGGTCTGTGTTTTAGCTGGAAGTAATTGTTATCCTTCCTCAAATATCATTTATCAAAAATGCCACCTGCCAGTGGCAGAATATAAGACGAGCTAAAAGACCAAGCAGGATTTATAATCAGTCCAACATGCCCAGAAGACAAAGTCGGAATTTAATGTTACCCAAGACAGATAAATTTTTAAGGGGGTTAAAAACTTTAAAAACTGAAATGAAAGAAATGCCTAGTTCCTCATAAACTGTCATTTGTGGCAATGGAATGATACAATTTGAGGGTGTTTTTGAGTACAGTGGTACCTCAGATTGCATACGCTTCAGGTTACATACGCTTCAGGTTACAGACTCCGCTAACCCAGAAATAGTGCTTCAGGTTAAGAACTTTGCTTCAGGGGACTTCCGGGTTGGCGCCTCTGGCAATGGCGGATTTCCTCCGATCGGGAGGAATCTGCTCCGTGGAAAACAGGGTCTGAACCGCCACGGCGAGGCGAAGACCCATCAAAAACCACAGGCGGGAGAAGCCTGTGGACGTGGGATTCGGCCGGTACCTTTGCGCCCCCCCCTACTCGCGGGGAAACCCGATTTCGGGGTTCCGGAGCGACGTGGGGTGAGTGGCGCGGTGCCTTGAATCGTCTGCTTCTTTCACGGAGTGAAGCCGCATTGCTGTTGCCGGAGAGCGCTGACTTTTTCCTGTGGAAACGGAACGGATTGGAATAAGAAATTTCCTTTAATTTGGCACTGAAGCGGAAAGGTATAAACAGGAAGTCTGCCTTCCGCTTTTTGTAAATAGATTGAAGCAAAGACACGGCAAGCTAGAGCTTAGAAAATCGTTTGTAAAGGATCAATTTTCATCATTTAAAATTACTGAACCCCCCTTGGAAGCAGGAGAAGAGGGGGAACTTTTCTGGACTGATTAAATTTGCAGAAGACAAGTAAAGAAAAGCAATTCTCCACCGTCCTGAACCTGGGAGCGGGGTGTCAGGACAGACGTCTTCGGGAAGTTCATTGACTATAGACAAACGTTTTTGACAGATAGTTAAAAGAAGAGAAACATATTGATTCCATTGTTCCCTTTCGCATTTAAAAGGAACAAAATATCGACAAAATATCTGAAAAAGGAAACTTTGTTGTTAGATTTGCTTTTTTTTTTTTTTAAAGAGAGAGATGGATACAATTAGAAGCTTTTTCCCCTAGAGGGAGCGTGTGAAACTGTTATTAAATTCGAACTGGGGAGCTTTGCAGCTGCAATAGATTAAGATCGTGGGAACAGACTCTGACCTTCAACAAGAATGTACTCGGAGGCTCTGGTGTTGGCCTTTTGTAAGACAAGTGCTTTATTGGAACAGTTACATGAGAAGATGGATTTGATGACTGTTGGGATTGGAAAGTTTGGACAGGCAGTGGGTACTTATTTAGAACCCACTCAGGAATTAACTTAGGAGTGTGCTTTGACAGATCAGATGAGGGAGGAGGTGGTTGCTGGACCTAGTGAGGCAGAGATGGAGGGAACTGTGGCCCAGCAGGAACATGAGTTGTTGGACTTGACAAATGAACCTGGAGAAAGCCAGATTTGGAGAGACAGAGTTCTGTTTGGCTTGGAGATGGGGGGGCTGGATAGACCCCCCCTATGCAGGGATGTTTTGACCTTTCAAGTCTGGCTTTGGGCCGGGAGGCGTTCAGAGTTGTGCGGGCCCTTAACTTTGGAGGGACTTTGAAACATGCTTTTAAATACCACATGGAGTTCAGTGTTGACTTTGGAAAAGGGGCTGATCTGTCGAGAAGGGACAAAAACATTGTCAAGCTGGAGTCTCCCGAGTGAAAGGAGCAGAAGACAAAGTAAAGCACAGGTATAAATATGAAGAAGATCTGCGGATGGGACATGGAAGAGATCCAAGGGCCTCGGATATAAGGTTACCAGGTTGATGGACTAGATGGATGGGATAGAAAGGACTGACAAAACCCGAGACCAGGAGAAAGAGACGTTGGATGAAGATTGGAAGAAAGTTTTAAACAAACTATTTAGGAAAATCTTGTAAAAGTAAAGAGTATTAGAAAAATGTTGGAATGAAATTATTTGGCTTTAGCAGAAATGTTAAAAAGAATTATGTAAGAATATGTCATGGTTAAGAGAATTTGGTATAAATGAGATTTAAGTTTTAAGTTTTAGGGCCTTTTATGGTAAGATAAGGTTAAAATAGATTAAGGTAATTTAATGACAGAATATTATGAAAGATGGAAAGGATTTGCTGAGATAATTAATAACTAGAATACAAAAAAGGGAGGTGTGAGGAGGTCGATGAAACAAGGTAATGACAGTTAATGATTTGGGAATATTGGATTTGTTTTTTAATTTTTTGTCTATTTTTCCTTTTTGATTCTGATGTATTATGTGTTTTGTTTTTTTCTCTTTTTGACCTTGTTTTTTTTTTATTGATTCGTATTGTTTAAATGCTACTTGTTTTTTCCTTCTTTTTTTTCTTTGTTTCTTTGTAATCTTAAAATTCTCAATAAATATTATTTAAAAAAAAAAAAGAACTTTGCTTCAGGATGAGAACAGAAATTGGGCTCCGGCGGCGCGGCAGGAGCAGGAGGCCCCATTAGCTAAAGTGGTGCTTCAGGTTGAGAACAGTTTCAGGTTAAGTACGGACCTCCGGAACGAATTAAGTACTTAACCTGAGGTACCACTGTATATGCAGAGTGCATCTCTCTCACACACCACAGGGCAACCATAGCCTGTCATGTTTGATATTAAAGCACAAGCTTTTCTATCACAAGCTTAAAAGTGGGGTTGGGGGGCAAACTGCCTTCCCTTCCCCCTCTTTCTGCCCCTTTCAGAAATTGCTGCACACATGCATGCCCACAACACAAAAGGTTATCCAAGCTCCAAGGATTTGGAGGTGGTTCTTTTGCTGCCCATTTCCTTCTATCCTCCACGGGTGTGCCTTGTTTGATTTGAGAGTAACCTGCTGCACTTTCCCTCCCTCCCTCCCTCCCTCCCCCCCCTTCTGCCCTGCCCACACTAACTGAGCAGGGCTGACTGACAGGCAGGCAAACAGCCACGGATCCTGCTCAAGCATGTATAATGCATACCTCCCCACACCATTCCCACAAGGCAGCCTCACTACGCAAGCAAAAGGGAGCCCCGGCTGGCTTGGCTGTCGTTCTAAAGGCTAAACTGACACACAGCGCCATCTCCCTGGGGTAAGAGCCACAAGGTCGCCTGGCTTGCTTTGATTTTAAACGGGGGGGGGAGGAGGCGGAGAAGGCTAGCAAGATGGGAAGCGGCAAAACAAGAAGCAGATGTGGGGGGGGGGGCGAGAAAGAAAACTTTTGAGTCTGTTGACCCGTTGCCTGCAATACACTTGAAGCTGTAGTGCTGAAAGACTTAACTGACTCTGTAACCCGAGAGCGTTGAAATGGGGTCTGGGCTGTTTGCTTTTAACTGGACATTTGAGCCGGGAACCCAGAAAGATGCGAGCGGGTTGCCCTTTGCACATTGACGCCGTTTTTTTACAAAGCTACTCTTCATGGATCTAGCATTTGAGAAAGTTAGCCTGTAAATGCGGCGGCTTTTAGAAAAGGAGCTCAAGGTGTTGTGGTTTGGTCTGGGTTTTCCCCAGAGAAATCCTGATGCTCTTAGCACACAAGACCATGTTGAATGGAATGGTCCAGGGTCTGTTTCTTGGTTCCTTCTCACCTTTAAAGAAGCAAGCAAAAAGAAAGGGGGAGGGGAGAAAAGCTGGCCTCTTATTACAGTAAGATAATTCCTGCTATAATGGCATTTGTCTATGTGTATGTTCATGGGGAAATCAAATGCAATTTTCACATGTTAAATCAGTTTTTGCATTTCTCTGCAGCTGTAGTCAAATGCTGATGGCCCCATTGACTAGAAAGGGTTATTTATTTATTTAAAAAAGGGCTCCGTCCACATTCTGTACTACCTTAATATTCCAAAGTGGTGCATTCCAGACTAAAAGGTGCTTTGGGTATGACTTGTGAGAACACCTTTCTGTTAGAGGTTTCCTGAGGGTGCAATGCTATGCTATGCAATACCTGGAAGAAAGGCTGTTTGAATTCAGTGAGACTTTTCTCTGCTAGCATAAAAGATAACTCCTAGTGTGTGAAAAAGAATGCAGGGAGAGTAATTCAAAACAAAAGTCAATGTAGATTCTAGATTATGCAGGGTTGCCTTCAAATTATAAGTATGAATAGATACACAGAGACACTTATATAGACATACTTGTTATTAATAATTGTAAAAACTCTGAAAACTTTGTTGGGGTCTTAGGTTTTGTAAATAAGTGAATGTATGAATTGGTTAGATCCCCTGACTGCATTATCTGGAGATGTAACTTCTGACTTTTAATATTTGTTGAACACTCATTGCCTTGGTTTGTGGAGTAATGAATCATGGAATTCATAAGTGACCCGAACTTTGCAAGTGATGCCCCAAGCAAGGAAAGGAAAGGAAAGGTCCCTTGAAGTCAAGCTCATGTTGTTAGGTTGATACTAGTTTCCTTCAAAAACAAGAAAGGCCTTGCCTGTTCTTATTTTTAAACAAGGCTTTGATCGCCAACCTGATTACCATGAAGAGCGTGGAAATTCTGGCAAAGCATTTGTGGACACTCCGTGGGGTTAAGATTTTAATGCACTAAATGATAACGCTTCTTTTTACAGTGCAAAAGTGTTTTGAAAATTCCCTAAAACACGGTGCCAGGTTTACACCACATTTTTGTGAATTTTCAAAGCGAACGGCAAGGGTACCGTTTATTTCTCCATTCTGTCACCTACTCTTTACCATATTGCTTTCTCAAACTTGTAATGCCACATATTTAATAAGTTGAGCTCCATCAAATTATGTGATCTCACCCTTAAAGAATTCCTTCCTTTTTGTCTTTTTAATAGGTCAGAATGTTTCTAAAAGAGAGTCACCTTAAAGTCAGTGGAAGGTTGTTGCAGAGTAAATAAGTACAATATACAGCTGGTGAAAATGAGCCTCCAGCTCCTGTGGCTGGAGTAGATATTTGAAAATAGGGGTGTTACATAAACTAAACTCTGCTCCTTTTTTAAAAGTGAAATGTTGGGTGGGAATGCACAATGTGAATCTGTAGTAATTGCTAGTGGCTTTAATTTGTTTTTGTTTTCAATTGGAGTCTGGACAGCATCCAGTCCTGTTATTAGTGCTAGGGCTCTGCCCAGGACCATGTAAATTACTAATATACTTCAGAGCATGTACAGAGGTGCATTTAAGTCACCACAAATCAGTGGTGCTCTCAGGGCAGATGCCCGGAGCCCCACTCAGCAGAACATCCAGAAGGGCCATCAGACATGGTGGGGCTTGTTTACCTAATTTTTAAGTAATGCACATGGCCAGCTAAAGAGGATGGGACATAAGACAGTTAAGTTCAGAGCCTAAAATTACCTAACTGCACCATTGTCCTTGCTTGACCACCCAAGCCAAGCCATCTCACCTAATAAAGCAAGGGTTCCATGCTAATAAGCCCAGCTTTCAGGCAAGCTTCAGTATTGTCTCATCGTTTCTGTGGAAGTTAATCTCCGCAGGGAAGCGTTTCCACAAGTCACTCCCAATATATGAAATCATAGCATGATAGAAGGGTTGACACACTTTTTTTTCCCCTTGAAGGAATTCTGTGCATATGCTGAGAATCAGTTTGGCTCTGCGTGCCTGAGTCTGCCCTATGAGGAAACAGGGATATAAACTCAATCACCATTTTGATTCTTATATTTCTCTTCCACCCTTCTTCCAAGGAGCTCAGAGTGACAAATTTGGATTTTGTTAAATGGTGGGAGCGACTCTTGGGAACAATACCACGAAGATTTGGTGCTTCTATCGGCCATTGCTTACACTGGAACACCCCCCGTCCTAAGAGTAACTCTGACGTTAAAAAAAATTACAAGGTGGTGCGTCAAAATTTAACAGTTGGAATAAATGTTTAGCATATTTAAGATGTTAGTCTCTATTTAGGACTACTGCTTTCTTTCGTTGATATTGGCTAGTTAGGCAAAATGTAGAATCAGCTGTTTAGTGCTGGACAGTACATTCTCAGATGTTATCCTCAACCCCTTCACTAACATCATTGTCATGCGTGCAGAGCGGGGGGGACTTGGAGCTGTTGTGGTTTTCCGAAGACAATAGTCTTACTCAAAGCCCTGTTTATATGTTCTCTAATTCAAGCTTTATTTTGAATCCTCATAGCTCATCCTCTGACATTGATGGATAATACTGGACTCTGTATTTGTCTCCTGATTTATTTAGTTTGTTGAGGTATAGATATTAATGCGTGCAGAGAACCCCGAACGCAGTATTGTCAAGCTTTCAGGTGTGAGGCTATATTAGTTCAGTAGTTGTGCATTGCTGTAAATCAGCTGATTATTTTTGGGAGAGAGTTTATAACTTTTAATAAAACCAATGAGCAACAGAATAGATGCACAAATGCCAGGGACAAATGGAAGCATTTTTTGCCCTAAACGAGGAAGGGATTCATAGAGGGTGAGGTGAATGGCAGCTTGGACCTGTCTTGACTCATACATTTAGTTGTTCATTCAGGTGGTTGCTTGCTAGGTGGTGGTGGTGGGGTTTTGGTGGGGATGGGCTGCAAAAATGGTGTAAGACATCTTTGTAAGATGGATGCTTATATCAGAAGCAGGTGTAATCCAGAAGTTTCATGAAAACAGTGAAGAGGCATAGAATGTTTTGTATTTGCAGGGGGTACTGATTCTTACAAACAGAACAATTGATGGCTGGAAGGAACTGTAGGATGGTGGGAACTGATTGGCCAGAGAACCTCCTTGTCTCAATCTTGGGAACAAAGTAAAGGGGCTTGCCAATTAAGAAGGAGAACCTAGGTCACGATAGCCAACGTGTGCCCTCCAGATGTTGCTAGACTACAACTCCCATCATTCCTGATCATTGACCATGGTGGCTGATGGAAATTAGAGTTCAGCAGCATTTGGAGGGAACCACATTGGCCACCCCTATTCCAGACTATCTGGGAAAATCAAAATCTATTCATAAGGCATATTCTTAGGTTTGGTTCATACTGTGTTTTCACCACATACTTTTGAAGAGCTGGAGGGGCACTGCATTGACTACTCCTGACCTAGGTGATGCATAACCTGCTAACCTCACATTTTGGGCCAAATAAGTTTTGGTAGGATTCTGAAGCTTAATGCTTGATGGTGTGGGTAACAGTGTTCCTCCAGTTCTGCTTTGAGAATCTTGCACCTAGTCACTCACTATATGAACTGGCTGAGAAGTGTCATTGAAAGAACAGCAGGCTTTATGGACCAAGTCACATGGTGTGTGATATCACAGCTCAGCACCTTCTAGAAAAACTTCAGAACGAAGGTTGGGCAAAACGGACGAGTTGTGATTTTGACCCATCTTAGAGAAGGCGGAAACTCAAATGATACTGACTTAACAGAATCAATTTCATGTCAGCCAAGGCTTACAGTGACTCTGTGGAGCTGAGGTAATGTTTTAGTGACTCAACATAGGCAGGGGCTGCACATGTAGGATCCAGCCACAGAAACAGGCACCCTGCCAGAGGGTTGGGCTATTTACATATTACACTATTCACATGGGAAGTGCTTGCAGAAAAGCAGCACCCACACAGCTGAGAGAATGCTTAAAGGGCCCTTGTGGTGAGAAAACCCTTTGAGCATAGACTGTGAGGGGACAGCTGTATGAGGTGCAAGGATTGTGTGCGTGCTATATAAATCCAGAAGGGACATAGGTGGCGCTGTGGTTTAAACCACTGAGCCACTTGAGTTTGCTGATTGGAAGGTCGGTGGTTTGAATCCCTGCGATGAAGTGAGCTCCCGTTGCTCTGTCCCAGCTACTGCCAACCTAGCAGTTCAAAAACATGCCAGTGCAAGTAGATAAATAGGTACTGCTGCGGTGGGAAGGTAAACGGCGTTTCTGTGTGCTCTGGTTTGCATCACGGTTTTCCGTTGCGCCAGAAGTGGTTTAGTCATGCTGGCCACACGACCCGGAAAGCTGTCTGTGGACAAACACTGGCTCCCTTGGCCTGAAAGCGAGATGAGCGCCGCAACCCATAGTCACCTTTGACTGGACCAGGGGTCCTTTACCGTTACCTATATAAATCCAGAATAATTCACTGTAGCTTATCTAGTAATGTTGTTGTTCGATTTCTACTTACAAAATGGTGCACTTTCCCTTCGTTTTTTGTAATACACAAAATACTTGTAGGCGTACCTCTGTAATGCAATACATTTCCTTCATTAAAAGACTCGTTAGGAGGAAAAGTAGTATTTTCTCCCTTTTGGGTGGTGGCTTGCTAGAGTTTATCCAGTTGGTTTTTGTGCGTGTTTGCATTTTGTCCTTAAAAAAGAAAAGTGTGAGCATGGTTAGTTCCAAGCTACACGCCCTTCTAAAATTTAACACTCAATTCTTTAGAAGCAAGAATAGTTTGTTTCTTCTCTCTTGTCTTTTTTATAGCCTTCTCATAGCCTACAGGGTCCGGTTGTGGCCAGACACATAAAGGTTGAAATATTCTCAGGAATGCTGATTTAGCAGCTTTTCTGTTCTGACTTGTAAGTGCTGGAATTCCTATAAGAAGAATTAGCCCAGCTTCCAGAATCTGAACAAAAAGTGGAATGTTATCTTTTGATTTGGAAAAAACTATTTCCTCCTACTGTCTATAACATAGTAGCAATGTTTAGAAATGGCATGTTCCAAGAATGTAAGGTGTTCTGAGGATGAATTGGAAAAAGTAAATAAACTGAAACAACTGAAGTTGGCCACAAGTCCTAAACAGGTTTAAGGTGAAAGCTCCATTAAATACAGTGAGATTTATGTTATGTACTGAAGTTCTCACCCTGGGCTAGCAGGGGGATACTGTAGATAGTTCAGGTCCACATATGCAAATAAGGGATCGAAAGTGACGTTCAGTGATTGGATAGTTACAGAAAATGGTTACTGCTGCGTTCTAGTGGAGCTCTATATAAGCAGGCTGGCTGAACCCTTCAGTTCTGTTCTGGCCTGTGAATAAACAAGAGCTGTTTGAAGAATCGCTGTGTCGTCTGATATGTTCACCCACAACTTAACAATTTACTTCTGCATAAATATATGGAGAAGGGCTGCAGCTGAGTGATAGAGCATCTGCTTGCATGCAGAAGGCCGCAGGTTCAGTCCCCAGCATCTCCAGGTAAGGCTGGGGGAGACTCCTGCCTGCAACCCTGGATTGCAGCTGCCAGTGTAGGCAGTGTAGGCAGTAATGAGCTAGATGGGCCAATAGTCTGACTCAGTACAGTGGTGCTTCGTCTAGCGGTTTTTTCGTCTTGCGAAGCAACCCTATTAGCGGATTAGCGCTATTAGCGGTTTAGCGGCTATTAAAGGCTTAGCGGCTTAGCGGCTTAGCTGCTAAAAGGCTATTAGCGGTTAGCGGCTTAGAAAAAGGGGGGGGAGCGAAAAAAAATCTCAAGACTCGCATAGGGAAATTCGTCCTGCGAAGCAACTCAAAAACGGAAAACCCTTTCGTCTAGCGGGTTTTCCGTCTTGCGAGGCATTCGTCTTGCGGGGCACCACTGTATATCAACTTCCTATGTACTGATGCACAGGATCCAGAGTTGTAAACTCATTGAAAATAATAGATGACATTTAGGTCTAGCACAAATGTAACACTGCCCAGTTTTCTAATACATTGCCTAAGTCTGAGTGCTTCACCCCCTGTTCTGTTCTTCCTTGCACGTGAATTCCTCCCCCTTTTAACTTCCAGTCCTAACCATGGTTAGCATTTATTTATTTGTTCATTGTTTAAGAAAATGTCTTTACCACTCAATTGTCAGAAAACCTCTAAGCGGTTTACAAAAAACATAAATAAAAGTTTATTGATAAACAGTTAGGAACAGGTATTTAAAAATATTCAAAAGATGATTATACATGCAGTTCCGTCAGGTGGAAATGTATCAACACCTACCCTGTGATGTTGTGGATGCACCATGTATTTTGTTGGTAAAGCTGGGCTGGCCTACATCTGTCTCGAGAGACAATGGAAGAGTGCGCCTTTGGCAATAAAGTCAAAGCATTGGAGAGTTACATCGCCTGCTGTGGCTGTAGAGACCGATATGGGAGAGACATGTTTTATTGCAGATGGGACAGATGGAAGTGCCTGGTTTGCTACTACAGGTACACCATGGCGTTTCTGCTCTCTGCACTCCTCCCAGCGTCATTCCTCCTCTGGTCACTGTTGTCGATACATTAATAATATATAATAATAATAATTTATTATTTATACCCCGCCCATCTGGCTGGGTTTCCCCAGACACTCTGGGCGGCTTCCAACAGAATATTAAAAACACAATAAAACCTCAAACATTAAAAACTTCCCTAAACAGGACTGCCTTCAGATGTCTTCTAAAAATCAGATAGTTGTTTATTTCCTTGACATCTGATGGGAAGGCGTTCCACAGGGCGGGCGCCACCACCGAGAAGGCCCTCTGCCTTGTTCCCTGTAACTTCACTTCTTGCAGTGAGGGAACCGCCAGAAGGACCTCGGAGCTGCACCTCAGTGTCTGGGCTGAACAATGGAGGTGGAGACACTCCTTCAGGTATACTGAGCTGAGGCTGTTTAGGGCTTTAAAGGTCAGCACCACACTTTGAATTGTGCTCAGAAACAGGGAACCAATGTAGATCTTTCAGGATCAGTGTTACATTACCTGTCTGTCTGTTTCCAGGCATTGCAATCATCTGCAAGGGATTCCCATACGGTGGGGTTAATGTTGCCAGCCTTCATGTCACATTTGCGGACAACCTTGTAACACAGAATTATTCTGCCAACAGGCCCGTAGAGCATGTCCTTGGGGACCCTGTCATCTTCTATTCTGTGGATATGAGCAAGCCAGCATAGACATCACTGAGACAGAAGTGTGAACATGCTGGGCATGTGGGCTTGGGAGAGCACATCTTTGTTTGAGACTCTGTCCTGCCATGTGATGCCCGGAATCTTCTTGACACATATTTAATCATGTGTTCAGTGGTGGATTGCTCTGAAAGGCTAGGATCAAGCTCCACAGTTGTACCAGCTTTTACGATCACCTACCATTCTGACTTCTGTGCAGAAGTGATGTCTTGACTTTAAAAATCTGGTTTCAAAGAACACGGAATGCAGTTCTAGATTTCAGCTGGCTTGCTCACTTTTGACCTGGGCTTATTCATCCTTTTCCCTTTCTCCTCTAGTGACGTAAAACATCCATATTACGTTCCCTCGTGGCTCAGCCATTACTTTTGCAGCACAGACCATGTAAAACAGTGCATTTCTTTGTCTTCCTATTCCACTTCCAATTCATTTCATAGAAAGAAATGAGGCTATTATAAGAAAGTCAATTCATTAACCTTCACAAGTGGCATTTTAGACTTTGAGGCCAACATTGTTCTAGAATTATGACAAGTACCACTGTTGAAGAACTAACTTGTCCACTAAAACTCACTTTTACCTGGGTGACTGCTGCCACTGCGTTTCTCCCCTTCTTCCACCGCCCTCTACTGCTGCCACCCCTGCAGCAGTAGAAGCTTACAGGTTCATACTCCATCCCACAGCTTCTCTCCTTCCTCTTCATTGGGCAGACAAAGAGGTGGGCCTTACTATGGCCACTTACCACTTCTAATAAGTAGGACTGCTGGGTTTTGGTTATTTGAAGAGGTGGGTGGCCCATAGCCAGACAGTGTACTCCCGATTGAAGCGTTTGAGAACCAGGACATTCGCAGGGATACCAAAATGCTTGTTTACAAAGCTATTGTACTACCAACCTTGCTGTATGCTTGTGAAACATGGACCACTTATAAACGCCATCTCCAACTCCTCAAAAGATTCCATCAACGGTGTCTCCCAAAAAAACTGCATATCACTTGGGAAAGGAAGACAGGTGAACTAATGCCAGTGTACTGGAAGAAGCTAAGATCACCAGTGTCGAAGCCATGATTCTTCAACATCAACTTTGTTGGACTGGTCATGTTGTTCAGATGCCTGATTATCGTCTTCCAATGCAACTACTATATTTCAAACTTAAAAATGGAAAGTGTAATGCTGGTGGTCAACAAAAGAGGTTTAAAGACTTTCTCAAGGGAAATATTTTTTAAATGTAGTATAAACACCGACAATTGGGAAACTCTGGCGTGTGAGCGCTCCAATTGGAGAATAGCCTTTACCAAAGGACTTTGAAGACGCTCAAACTCAGGACGAAACATGCTTTGGAAGGAACCTGTGGCAAACCCTCACCATGATCAGCTCCCGCCCAGAAACCTATGTCCCCACAGTGGAAGGACTTGTGGATCCAGAATTGGCCTCCACAGTCACTTACGGACTCACTGTTAAGACCGTGTTCATGGAAGACAGTTTTACTTGACCACGAGTGATCGCCAAAGAAGAAGAAGAAGTTGTTATTGTCAAGGCCTGACTCCTCCTTTACATTCCTGCTATTCTGACATGGTATGTGTGTGAGAGATTCACTGCAGAACACGCTCTATGATTCCTTATGTTCCAGCCGAGTTCTGCTTATTAGAGGAGGAAGGTAGCCATACCCTGGGGCAGGATGCTGCTTAGTCACACACACACACACCATCCTGCTGCCCAAGACATGTGCTCCCTCTTGTCTCCCCTCTGTCTGGGCCTGGTTGTTTGTTGCTAACACTGAAGCAGTCTGCATTGTGATATAATTGGTCCTAAGAAACTACCAGAGAATTTAACACATTTTTAGCTTTTCTGCTTCATTTCCAGTGGTTTGTGATGTGCCCCCAAATAAGGCATTTTATTTGTGATTTAGTTGGTGCTATGTGTGGCTCTATTCTTTTCTCTGTTTTTTAAATCTTTTAATTACCTCTCTTCCTCTTGCTACTGTGCAGCAGTTCACCCAATGGTGAACAGCAATGCTCTGCAACATTAGGAGACACTCACTGAGGGCTGGGTAGGGATTTGGAATTGATGGACTCATAGAACCAACATGGCAAATTGTTCCACTGAATCTTGTTTGCCATGCTGCTATAGCAACAGTCTGAGACCATTATTATTTTTATCCTGTGAAGTTGTTCAGAAGAGCCTGCCTTGCAGATGGCTGTGTTGTCTGCGGTATAATTGCTTTTCAATGAAGCATCTTCATCCTGGAGAAAAAGGAGCAGATGCAAAGCAGAGACTTGAAAGAGAACGTATAATTGTCAAAAAAGGAGGTATGGTGGAAGAACACTCCCAGTGTATATCGGATCAGCTGAGGAGTGTTGTCTTGCTTGAGAACACCGGGATAAAGCAAGATGTTTCTAGAGTTAATTAATCAGATTATCTGAATGATCGCTTACATCCATGTGAACCTGCTGACATGGCATTGACATCTTTGAAGGCTCTGCTCTCTGGTCTGTCACTAGAGAAGCTTAGGTTGGCCAGGTACTTCTCAATGGGGCCTCACAATTGGTGGAATTCACTTCTCTGGGAACTCTCATTGGTAACTCTCTTCCGTCTCCATCAAAACATCTTTAAGACTGCAGAAAGAATGGTACACCTGCATCAGCACAACCAGGCATCTTCAGCTGCCAAAAACATTCCTCTCCCATATTGGTTTCTACAACCACAGCAGGCGCTGTAACTCCCGCAACCATTTGACTTTACTCCTGAAGATGCACTCTTCCATTGTCTCCCAAGACAAGACAGATGCTAACCAATGCGTTTTTACTCTGCAACACCATATTACATTGGTCATACACATTTTATTACATTTTTTAAAAATTACCTGTTGTGGTGGTATTTTGAAATGTTATCACTTTTCTGTTAGCTTATTACGCCTCTACTCAAAGATCTGATTTGTTACTAGACTGAGAGCAAAGTGTTGTATTTAATATTGAAAGCTCTTAACAACTTGGGACCAGTTTCCTTGCAGGATCACCTCAAGCTATGTGTGCCCACACAACTTCTTTAATATGTGGAACTTAGTCTGCATCTGTGAGGAAACAATATTTTTGTGTGGCAGCACCCGTGCTCTGAAACTTCCTGCCTGTGGACATCAGGCAGGTGCCTTTATTGTACTGTTCTAGACACCTGTTAAAAATATTTTTGTTTTGGAAAGCCTACCCAGACATGTAAACTTAACTCTTCTTCCTTTATTAGCACCCAACAGCCCATTAAAATATTTTATAACAATTGACAGTTACACTTGATAACTTTAATAAAAATACACAGTAATACAGCTGAGAAACACAGAATTAAAATACTAGACCACACACACAATCAGGCAATCGTAAGAGGTCTAATAAGGAAAAACTTTGCCACATTTTCGTGATTATTTGGATTATTAGAGACTCAGAAGGACCAGTAGGGAAGGGTTGACTGTTGTCAGATGTAACATAAGTGGCACATGCTGCAGGTTTTCCTATCTGTCTTCAGCCTGTGCTGGTTGAAGGTAATGTCCATTGGAACAATTGGAACATTTCAGTGTTCTTGGCAAATCACAGCTGAAAGTGGTACAACAAATGACTGCTTTCTATAATACTATACCAGTAAGTTTTTGCTGTGGCTGAATGCCAGATTATAGATCAGGCATAGGCAAACTCAACCCTCCAGATGTTTTGGGACTACAACTCCCATCATCCCTGACCACTGGTCCTGTTAGCTAGGGATGATGGGAGTTACAGTCCCAAAACATCTGGAGGGCCGAGTTTGCCTATGCCTGTCATAGATAATCTGAACACTCCCAGTTGCTGAACAGAACAGGGTAGCATGGCAGTTTGTATTGCAGCTGTTGAGCCCAGTGGTCTGTAGCCAGGATTAAAAATCGAGGAGTAACATGTCTCCAACGCCTAAAAGGAAATTAGATGTCGTTGTTTGTGGTGTGAAATGGAGAAGGAAGCATGGATTTCCTGTCTACTTCTCACCATGCAGTCCCAAAGTAATTATCAGATCTTGTTCCTGGATATTATGAATTGCTCATTCTTGAATCATGTGGTTCTTTTGCAGGTCAGCTTTGTCCTGAAATCATAGGCTTGGTACTTACTTTTTCCTTTTCATGAACTTCCTCCCTTCCTTATGTGCTCATGTTGTCTATAGGAGAAGGTGAGCGTTGAATGTTGTGAGGGAGGAAACAGTGGCCTCTTGCCTAATTCCGCTTTCTGGATTTCTGTGATGTGACCCCTGGTAATCTGATGAACTTGTGTAGCTTTGTGTGCGCACAAATAAAAGGAAGCCAACAAAATCCCAAGTGACGAATGGAAGATAATAGTCCGACATTGGCTTCTGTTAATTTCCTGCCATTGTGAGTGGCTGCTTTAGTCATTGTGAGACTTTATTATTGAGGTTTGTTTGATTGATGGGCACCCATGTCAGAGAAGGGTCCCAAGTTAAGGCAAGAAGGTTGCCTTTCCTTCAGAGATGAAGGTCAGGGGATGAATAGCTCTCTTGTTATGAGTGTTGCATCATCAACACACATGTCCTTCACTCTTTTTTGGAGCCTTGAGGTCTGGGCTGCAGAGATTTCAGTAAATGTAAATAAGATGCAGTGTTTCTGTTCCCAAGTGTCCCAGGTTCCCAAGGAGGGGAATAATGGGATGCATGCAAGCAGCCTGGTTCCAGGCTCAATTGCTCTATAATCATGCAAACTTACAAGTAGTGGTTCCCAGGCGCTTGGTTTTGTCTGGCAGTAGAGAAAGCAAAATAGAGCCTCTTGACTTACATTATTGCTGCACCTTGCCCAAGTTGCCAGAGTGACTTCTTTTTGGTTCCGTTATCTCAATGGTTCTTAGACCCCAGCCTGGCTTCTGGAGACTGAGGAAATACATTTTCCCACCAACCAAGAAAATGTTCACGTTTTTGTGTTCTGAGAAAAGGTAACTGTCCCTTCAGTTGAAATCTTACATAATCATACATTGCTCCCGTGCAACAAAAAAGTTACAGTGATGCATTTTATGCAACAAGTGAGTAAAAACTGTGTGTGTGTGTTTTGAGGGAATGGGAATTTGGAAAGGTCCTCATTTCCAGGGAAGGTTCCTTCATTCTGAAACACTTGCTGTTAAGGAAGAAGTAACAGAAAGGTGGAACGGGCTAGAGCTAAGATGTAAAATATACATGTTGCAAAAGATCTCTGATTCGACCCCTGGGAAGTCCAAGAAGGAGATGAGAAGGTCTTCTGCCTGTGATCTTGGGGAGCAACTGCTAGTCAGTTTAAATAATGCCAAGCTAGATGGATCTGTGATCTAGCTTGAAACAGATTCATATAATTGTGTCCCGCTTATACCTATTAAGAAGTATCAAAGTGGTGCAGGGGGGAAAAATGCAAAATACAACAAAACAAAGAATAAAATTTTATAATCAATTTCATATCAGTCAAAATAAAGAAGAGGAGCAGAACAGAAACAACAGCAGAGCAAATCTCAGTAAAAACCACAATTACAATTGCAGGACTGCACTGGCTGCCAGTTAGTTTTCGGCCCAATTCAAAGTGCTGTTTTTGACTTATAAAGCCTTAAATGGCTCAGGACCACAAGACCTCAAGGACCACCTCTCTCCATATGAACCTACCCAGACCCTTCTTCATGTGCCTCCTCTATGTGAGGTCAAGAGGGTGGCAACATGAAAATGGGCCTTTTCTGCAACGGCTCCCACCTGTTTTTCGTTTGAGGTTCGGCTAGTGCCTTCATTATACACACTTAGGCACCAGGTGAAAACGTTCCTCTTCAACCAGGCCTTTGGCTGATTTGACATACAATGCCCTTTTAAATGTGTTGTGGGAGGGGAGATTATTGGTTTGGTTTGGTTTGGTTCTTATTTTTATCATGTCTTTTGTGGTTTTTATATTGTAATTTTATGTTGTGAACCGTCCTGAGATCTAGAGATGAAGGGTGGCATACAATTTTTAAAAATTTATTTATTTATTTATTTATTTATAAGTCAGCTTTAGAAAAGCAGTGTTTTGCATGCTGGTTAAATTTCCACTGCAGGGAGTTCCAGGCCCCTAGCAAGGCTACCAAGAGGACCATGTCTCTCCTGTGACAGAGAGCAAGGGGTTTGAAACTGATCTGAATGGCTAGGCAGGTTTATATAGAAGCAGGCAGACTCTGAGATAACTGGGTCCAAAGCTGCTTAGAGGCAGATCCTAGGGCAGAGATGGGGAAACTATGGTCCTACAGGTGTTATACAGTGGTACCTCGGGTTACAGATGCTTCAGGTTACAGACTCCGCTAACCCAGAAATAGTACCTTGGGTTAAGAACTTTGCTTCAGGATAAGAACAGAAATCACGTGGCGGTGGCATGGTGCCAGTGGGAGGCCCCATTAGCTAAAGTGGTGCTTCAGGTTAAGAACAGTTTCAGGTTAAGAACGGACCTCCAGAACGAATTAAGTTCTTAACCCGAGGTACCACTGTACTCCCAATTCCCATTAGCCCCCCCCCAGCACAACAGAGATGATGGGAGATGGAGTCCCACAACATTTGCAAGGCCACAGGTTCCCCATCTGTCCTAGGGGAACCTGCGTGTGTGTTTATGTACTGTTCCAGAAGCTTGAGGGCTACTGTGGGTGAGAAGTCAGGAGGGCAGGGGCTGGAATCAGTGGTTGATCAATAAAACTTCTGTTCTCAAAATGAATCACTATAATCTCCGAGAAATAGTCTGCTTCTGGATGAACTGCAGGAGCTGGCCACGAGCCCTGCACAACAATTGAGGAGGAAGCCCCTGCAGTTCAGTCCATGGCATACACATGCCCAATTCTGTGTTAAATGTGGGCTGGAGCCCAAAAGAAGATGCTACTGGTGAAATGCCTGAAGCTACGATGGTGGGAAGCAATTCCAGTATGTTTGTTCTAAATGACGTTCCACCCATGTTACCTGGCACAGGCTCAAAGCAGTGCGAAAGCTTCCCAGAGCAGAAGCAGATGGTCTCTGAACAGGTCTTCTTTCCCACTGTAAAGAAGACTTGGAAGGTCAGTCCTGCCCTGAGTCAGTTTGTTAAAATTGCCAGACTGTGCCAGAATTTTGTCTACGCTACAGCTGTCATTGGTAAATCTGCTGGTGAGATGTTGTTGTTTGGCTTTTGGACTGTGACCCAGGAAAGAAGGAGAGAACACAATGTGACAGGGATGGTTGCTTTCCAGTGGAGAGAGAAGCAACCATGAGGACTTCTTTTTTGGGTAGAACCATTATGCTTTAGTGAGTATTAGCCTTAGGTGTGGTTCAGATCAGAGAAGAAGCTCATTACAGGGCTACCTGAGTATGTAGAACTACAAATGTGACTATATTGTAGACTCTGAAGAGTTGGAAGGGACCCAACGGTCATCTAGTCCAACTCCCTGCAATGCAGGAATCCCAGCTATATCCAGTCCCAGAAAGAAAGAAAGAAAGGAAGGAAGGAAGGAAGGAAGGAAGGAAGGAAGGAAGGAAAACTGGGTAGAGAAGAGGTAAGGGTGGAGAAGCAGTGGAGAAATGCCCCAAATTGGGCTGGACTATATTTTTTTTGGGGGGGGGGATGAACAAATTCCTATGCCCCACAAATAACCCAGAGATGCATTTTAAATAAAAGCACACATTCTACTCATGTAAAAACACGCTGATTCCCGGATTGTCTGTGGGCTGGATTGAGAAGGCCATTGGGCCGCATCTGGCCCACGGGCCTTAGGTTGCCTACCCCTGTCATAGATGCACATTTGAAACCTTCACATGGGGAAAAGCTGCTGGCGAAGCAGTTTGGTGCAGGGAACTAGTAAACGAGAAAAGAGTCCAGTTCCTTCATGTTTCTGCTCTCAATCATTCCTTCCCAAGCAGCTTTTTCCAACCATGGGGTCAGGGCTCTATTGCACAGATATGTGGAGTCGAAGCACTTAATATCATTTTCCCCTACTACAACTGCATTTATGGAACATTTTCTGATTCTCTTCTGTGGTGTCTTCATTGTACTCTTTCTTCTTATAGACCCCATCAAACCCTAAGTAATTTCTCTGACATTTGGCTGTAAAGTTTTCATACATCAACACCATGCTTGTAAACACCACTGTTCTCATTATATGGAATAATGAGTTATATTTGTCCTGCTCTGGGTTATTATAGTGTGTAGCCGCTAGTTCAGCTACTTCTTAATTTATGGGCAATATAAAGCAAACAAAAATGAAATTGAATTATCTCTCTATCTGAACAAAATGTCCATGGTGATAGCTTTAAAGTTTATTACTGCAAGGAAGAATGGACATAATTTTGGCCATAAATTATATGCTAGTCTGTTCTGCCTAGCATTTTAAGATTGTTGTTCATATTCAAGGCAGTTGTGCCTAGCTCAGCTAGGCAGCAACCTTGCAATAACTTGACAAGTGGGAAATGATAAAAATGCTGCCTCCACTAATCTATATTAATCTCTTCTTCTTCTTCTTTAGCGATCACTCATAGCTGAGTAAGATTGTCTTCCATAAACATGGTTTTAACAAAGAGTCCGTAAGTGACTGTGGAGGCCAGTTCTGGATCCACACGTCCTTCCACAGTGGGGACATAGGTTTCCGGGCAGGAGTTGATCAAGGTGAGGGTTTGACAAATGTGCCTTCCTCTTAGCAGAACAGAGCCTTACTGCGAAGACGGTTTAATCTCATACCCAGCAACTTGCACCAGTTGATGCAAGGATCACCTAGGTTGCTAAAAGCTTGTGTAGAGGGGGAAAACACAACAAATTTTCTGTTTTGTGGTGACTTTTATACTTCAGCTCCTTGCATGGCAGTGATCCCTTTTGTTCTTGTGCCTGAGGCTTGTGAGCAGTTTGCCACATATCAGGACCATGGGTTTAAAATGTCAGGTTGACCACTGGCCAGAAAATCATAGAATCATAGAATCATAGAGTTGGAAGAGACCACAAGGGCCATCGAGTCCAACCCCCTGCCAAGCAGGAAACGCCATCAGAGCACTCCTGACATATGGTTGTCAAGCCTCTGCTTAAAGACCTCCAAAGAAGGAGACTCCACCACACTCCTTGGCAGCAAATTCCACTGTCGAACAGCTCATAAAGTCAGGAAGTTCTTCCTAATGTTTAGGTGGAATCTTCTTTCTTGTAGTTTGGATCCATTGCTCCGTGTCCGCTTCTCTGGAGCAGCAGAAAACAACCTTTCTCCCTCCTCTATGTGACATCCTTTTATATATTTGAACATGGCTATCATATCACCCCTTAACCTCCTCTTCTCCAGGCTAAACATGCCCAGCTCCCTTAGCCGTTCCTCATAAGGCATCGTTTCCAGGCCTTTGACCATTTTGGTTGCCCTCCTCTGGACACGGTCCAGTTTGTCAGTGTCCTTCTTGAACTGTGGTGCCCAGAACTGGACACAGTACTCCAGGTGAGGTCTGACCAGAGCAGAATACAGTGGCACTATTACTTCCCTTGATCTAGATGCTATACTCCTATTGATGCAGCCCAGAATTGCATTGGCTTTTTTAGCTGCCGCGTCACACTGTTGGCTCATGTCAAGTTTGTGGTCAACCAAGACTCCTAGATCCTTTTCACATGTACTGCTCTCAAGCCAGGTGTCACCCATCTTGTATTTGTGAAAAGGCGTTGAACCATTCACACAAGAGTGACATGGAGTATTAGGCCGTATATTGTATGGCCACCCTTTGCTCCTACTATGTTACAGTGGCTTTCCATCATAGAACTCAAATGGTTTCTTTTATAAGGAGGGTATTCACTCCCTTTGAGTCTTTTAACTGATATTCCACAACTACTAGCTTATCGCTCTGTCCTCTGTTGGTTTGCATATGTAGAAACATAGGAGGAAGATGCCTTATACCTAGTCAGTTTCTAGCTCTACACTAGGGATATAAGAAGACTTTGTTTTCCATTCCACCCTGTATTCTTTGCATACAGTAGTGTTCCCACTCTGCTGTAGTTCATCCTCTGCCAAAAGGTACGTTATTCATCTTGCTGTCTACTGTGGCAAAATTGCATAACTTACTATGTGAGTTACATTGACATGGTGTTATTCCATCCCATTCATGTCAATACAGAGGAAATACAGTGCAAAGCAGGGGGTGTCATAATCAGTTGCATATTGCTTGTGTACTGAAAGCAATAACAAACATAGCAGGCCAACCATATTTGCTTAGGAAGGGATGAGCAGCCATTGGACACCACATCATTCCTCACAGTGCTTCTCCACCCCAGGAGTCAGCCAGCCACGCTGGTCTTGGCTTGACTGAGCTCTCCTCAGTCTTGTGTCTTCACCTACAAGGGGTGTGTCAGAGAGAGAGAGACAGAGACTGCAATATTAAGTGAAAGGAATGGTGATATTCTTGCCACATGCAGACAGGCCAGTGGCTATTTGTCACAGGCAGCCAGGTCACTGACCATCTTGCTTGTGAGTCCTGGAAGACCTGCTTCCTCTCTTGCAAGCCTTTTTCCACCTGGCCTAGGAAGGCAGGGCCCTGACTGACTTGTCTGGCTGTTAGACTCTTGGGCTGTGGTATTATTTAAGGGGATTTTTTGGTGGGGGTTGCCGCTGTTATTTATATTTTTTTATATCTTTATTTTAGATCTTACTATGATTTATGTGGAAATTGTTTCAATTTGGTGGTGTATTTTTTGATCTTTTATATATTGTTTATGATCATTTCTGTTCTGTTTGTAATTATTCCTCCTCCCCTGCCCCGTGTTGTAAGTTGCCTTGAGCCTAGTTTTAACTATAGAAAAGCAGCATGCAAATGAAATGGTGTGTGTATTTACAAACAGTGCCGGATTTACGTATAAGCTAAAAAAGCTTAGGGCCCCACTCTTTTGGGGGCCCCCAAAAAATTTAAAGAAAAAAAACTGGATGTACATTTCCAAAATATAAGATAAAAAACAAATAAAACAAAACCTACATACAGTTAGAGCTGAATAATTATTTCACTATTAATATACTTCTTAATTGTATTTCACTACAGTATTAATATACTTCTTCTTAATTGTAGTTCAGTTCAACAAATCCTTTGATAAAATACATATTTTGCTATGTGCTAATGGTTGTAGATACCTATGAGGTCCGTAAATTACCATATAGCATATATTCAACACAAAAAACAGTGACAATTTGTTGTTACAGAAAGCTTCAAAAACGACACTATGTAAATTGTCTACTTCCTTCTCATCTTGTGCAGGCATTTTGTTTGTCATATTCAGCAGATAGAAGATACAGTTCTGCATTAACATTTGATCCTTAGGAAATACCCTGGGCACCAGAAGCAGGAAACCGGTGTTACTATTTTTGAGTTCAAGAGAAAACCAATGAGAACTGGTCTGGGCAATGTTGTGAAAGCATGTTTTGAAAATAGAAATGGCTGCTGTTTCTCTCCCCCCCCCCCCCCATCTTTCCTGTCGTGTGAAATTCTGAAGAATAGTTATAAATCTATTCACATATATTATATTCTTAGATATGGCTAAATCCCAGCTTTGAGTGTCATTCACCATTTATGAAATTAGCCTTGCTGTGGCTCCTGCAACCGGTATACCAACCAAACGCCAAAAGTACTGATAAGGAACCCTCTCTTGCTTTGGAACTGCTGATTTTGGCTGATCTGGCAAACCTGCTATCAGTTTATCAGCAAAACAGGTGCAGCAAAGGCAAGTTTCTTTACAGCTTTTTCCTGTACAAAAGCTTGTATTGTCTCTGATCTCCTTGTAGTTGGCCTGAAGAAATCACCTGGCTAAGACTTGAATTGGAACTCCCTGTCTGTTATATTAGCCACCAGAATGTCATAGTAACAAAATAGTCACTGTGTAAACATATTGGAGTTGTACTGGAGAGCTGGGACTCAGCTATTTTAGTCAAAAAACAATGATTTGAATGTGTTATTATAAACATGCAACACCAGTTGGCGCCAGAGAGCAGAAATCTTTTGTACGTGATTTTCCATAGGTCTTCCCCCTTTTGTTACAACTATCTAATTTCTGACTTATTTATAGCGTGTGTTTTTCCTGTATGTAGATCCATTCCTGATAGTAGAAATCAATCTTATATTGACCATACTTTCCTTTGTCCTATTTTAAAGCAAACATGTTCTGTGTTTTCAGAAGTAGAACAAGAGAGAGCTATGTCTGAACATGCTGTGGCTTCCGACCTTTAATACCTGGTGGATATCTTCTGTGTTGTCCTTTTTCCTTTCCTTTCAAGACTTTGTACCTGCCATTCCACTACCTGAAAATATGAGCTCCAACCAGTGACTAGAAATAACAACAGATGAATCCTCCATATACAAACTCCAGTTGCACCTTAAAGAGACATGTATGATGCGTTATCTCCCCTGTGCAGCTATCTGATATTAGCAGCCTGTTAATGGTCTTTAAGGCAGCAGTGAAACTCCTGTATGTAGCCATCTCAGATAGGAATTTGTGAGGAGGCAGATATTAAGCTGTGTGCGGATATGAGCCAGGTCTGAAGTTCTAGCAGGCGGGTAGCTTGTCCTTTCAGCATGTTTGTGTCTGCTGAATGGAAGGAGACTTTGAATCTCAAGAGCTCAGTCAAGTGATGAATTGGGTTCTACCTTATGGAAGCTTCTACCCCAATGAATCTGTTAGTCTTTTATATGCCACAATATTTTTTTTTGTCTCTTACTAGTGCACTAGCTTAAGGCTCAACAAGATGGGTAAAGACTGGAACCTTGGGAGTAGGGGAGCTTTAGTCTCAATCCAGGTCAGGCCTCCCTCACCTGCTCTTCGTATTGTGGGGGGCATAGTCTCCCCTTCATTCAAGAGGAAACGTTTCTTTAACATAATAGCAGATACATGGTGCCTGAGGCTGTTTGGAACCACATCAGGAGACAAGGAGTTAAAGCCCCTATTCCACAGACACAAGAGGGTCCCAATCCAGGATGTTTCCTTATGTCATAAATGGCAAACGAAGACTCAGGGGCCAAATGTGTCCCTCCACGGGGATGCGGCCAAGCCACACACCTCACCAGTCCTGCTTTGAACCCCTCTAGATAATTTTTGTCTGGCTGGAATGTGTCCATGAACTCTTGATAGTGCTTTTTATTTGTCTTTTACAAAGGTAAAAAATTACATGTGTTGTTCTGTTCACTTTTTCCTCTGGCACCACCAAACAAAGTCATGTGGCCCCAGGAAGGAAGAAGGGAATATGGTCCTTGGAATGAGAAATGTTCCTCATCCTTGTCTTTATGTCCTTGTGGGTTCCTTGTAGCTCACACTGGGAAACAGAATACTGAACCAGGCAGACATTTGGTCTGATCTAGCAGTACTCTTATTGTGCAGCATCTGAGATTCCCTTCTTTCCCTGGTGCTTTGGGATTTAACTTGTAGCTGCATTCTAGCCTATGTGGCTTAAAGGTAACTGTGTGCTTTGACTGGGACAGGGAGCATCCGACGGCATGTCATGTTGGAGTGTTGTGGGTATCAAGGAGTTAACACTCTGTGTTCAGTAGAAATGTTGACTCAGCATCATGTGATGAGTCAGCATCAGGAAGCCAAGATATGGGGAGTTGCCTAATTGGTCTGTAGCCAGCTGGTATAAAAAGGTATGGTTGTCACACACACACACACACACACACACACACACACACACACACGGTGGGGCTTCTCCCCTGTGTGTAATCCCACTTATGTATGCTGATTCCTGAGTGTAAGAAGATTGCTTTATGATGACGCAAGACTGCAACTGGAATAGAGTGGCTGGGAAACCCAGCCAGATGGGTGGGGTATAAATATTATTATTATTATTATTATTATTATTATTATTTTCATCTCCGCCAAGCTAAGCAGTTGGCCCCTTATCTCTCTCGCCCTGACCTAGCCACTGTGATCCACGCGACGGTCACCTCCAGACTGGATTATTGTAACTCGCTCTAAGTGGGGCTGCCCTTGAGACTGACCCAGAAACTCCAGCGGGTCCAGACTCCTTATGGGGTCTTCGCTGCGAGATCACATTCATCCGGTACTATACCAGCTGCACTGGCTCCCGGTGGAGTACAGGATCAGGTTTAAGGTGCTGGTTTTAACCTTTAAAGCCCTATACGGCCTAGGACCCTCGTACCTACGGGACCGCCTCTCTGGTATGCCCCACAGAGGAACCTACGGTCTGCAAATAAAAACATCCTGAAGGTCCCAGGCCTCAGAGAGGTTAGGCTGGCCTCAACTAGAGCCAGGGCCTTCTCGGCTGCGGCTCCAATCTGGTGGAACGCTCTGTCACAAGAGACTAGGGCCCTGCGGGACCTGACATCTTTCCGCAAGGCCTGCAAGACAGAGTTGTTCCACCAGGCCTTTGGTCAGGGCCCAGCCTGACTCCCCCTCTGGCAACCTGCACAGAACTTTGCTTAACGGTTGCCATTAATTTGATTTTAATTAATTTTTATAATGAAATGTTTTAGAATGTTGGATTATTTGATTGTTTGATTATTTGATTGTTGTTAGCCGCCCTGAGCCTGGCTTTGGCTGGGGAGGGCAGGACATAAATAAAATTTATTATTATTATTATTATTATTAAGCCCTACTTAAAATACGGCTTGGTTCCTGAGTGCTTCATGTGGGGGCATCCTTATATCGCAGCATGTCCCTCTCTCTGCTGTATAACGTGATGGGTGGCCTTGAGCAAAAGCGCTTTCTCTCAGCCTAATTTCTACCTCACCAGTTGTGGCGAGAATAAATTGCTTCCCTGAGCAGGGCAGGGCGCGTGCAACAATGAAACAGTCTTCCCATGGAGCCTTGGAATGCAAGACCAAATTCCAAAAATATTTCACTGTCAAGCCAAATTACCTGAGCATGGAAAAAAAGCTAAAATATGGCACATCCCTTATCCTCTCGCGTTGTTGTATTTCCTCGGTGAGGGTGTATGTGTGTGGACCCAAGGGTTCCCTATGGTGGCTTACCTAAATTATTAAAATTTAATGTTAGGAGCTCCAGGGCCTCACTTACCCAATTGGACATTTACGTGGAACCTCAGGTCTGTATATGTTTGCACATGAGGCTTTCCCCTCTCTTGGCCCTGGAGATGGGAGGCATAAAAGACCTCCTGTGACAGCAAGTCGAAGGGCCACGAGTGCAGCTGCAGCTTTAGCTAACACAGTGGGGAAAGAGCCTGCAGAACCACCCAGGAGCCTTGTGTGAGGGCAGGCTACAAGTACAAACCAGCTGCAAATAGAATAAAGTGTCTGCACATGTTTTCAGCTTGCTACTTCAGTTATTATTGCTAATCTTCACCCTGTATGAATAATCAAAAGCTTTGCTGCCCTCAAGTTCTGTGAATATTGAGTTGGAGGTCATTCAGACGCTAATTAAAATAGTTCTCTTGCCAGCACCATGTAGATAAAGAGGTTGAGGAACCAAGTTTTCTACTAGCTCTGGGTTCTTTTATCAGTTTTCTTCAGCCCCTCCCCACCACCTTCCAAGTCAGGTTTCTACCCAAGCAGCCTACAGTATCGTTGAAAGCGCGTCTGCTGAATGATGAGCTGCATTTACTGAAGTCCTTGTGTAGTTAGGAAATGCACTCTTTTCCAAGCAAAGTGTTCTTCCCCACCCACACTGTGTTCTGTTCAAGGTCACAGATATAGTTGGCAAGGCTGCTATATTCTTCTTTTCGTTGTTGAAAAATACTACAAAGCTGTAGTACAGTGGTACCGCGGGTTAAGTACTTAATTTGTTCCGGAGGTCTGTTCTTAACCTGAAATTGTTCTTAACCTGAAGCACCACTTTAGCTAATGGGGCCTCCTGCTGCTGTCGCGCTGCCAGAGCATGATTTCTGTTCTTATCCTGAAGCAAAGTTCTTAACCTGAGGTACTATTTCTGGGTTAGCGGAGTCTGTAACCTGAAACGTATGTAACCTGAAGCGTATGTAACCTGAAGCGTATGTAACCCGAGGTACCACTGTATTCATTTTATGCCTTCAGTAGCTATTAGCTGTGGATTGGGGGCAGATATTCTAAGAAAATAGTTCATGGCTTTGTTTTAGTTTTGATTTACAGAACTTTAACATTACAAATAGGAATTATTGAAAGCCCTCATCAGGGAAGACTAAAAGGATGATCTATTCTAGTGTCATGTTACAGTGGGTACCCTCAGGGAGGTTGAGCATAGGCCCAGGTTCAAAATGTAATCTAGAGGTGAGGTCAAGCAACAGGTGAATACCAAAAGGAATTAGATACAGCATAAGTTCAGGTCCAAGGAGCCACAGACCTGTGTTATTTTCAGCAACTGGAAGGTTCAAAAGGAAGGCCTGATATCAAATCAAATCATTGGGTGTCCAATGCAGAGCACAAAAACTAGCAAAGCACAGAGAAGGAGTGTTCATTTGCAATATGGACATTGCACTTTGATCTTCTGTTTCTCTCAACTTTCCATTGTACTCATAGAATCATAGAGTTGGAAGAGACCACAAGGGCCATTGAGGCCAACCCCCTGCCAAGCAGGAAATGTACTCTCTGAGGACATTTCATGCATGTCTGTAGGATCCTGCAAACATTTTCCTGAGTAAGAGGAAGATGTGGAGAATGGCATCTCTGGGAAATATTTTAGGCTTTTTTAGCTATATAGACTGTGCAAATGCAACATAGTAGGCTTCTGTGAAAATCTCGCTGTGTACCCTTTTGAGATCTACCAATTAATTGGTGTCGTGGTGGTCGTGGGGTAAATGTTTTGCAGTAAGTGTATAATTTTGGAAGAGGTCTCTTAGGTTTGTCTGGCTTTATGGCACCACCTTCTGGACATACTGTTAAATTATTCTGGCTCAACAAGGTTCATAGTTCTGAGGTGGCATGACAACAAGGGCCCTTATTCATGCATTACCTGGCAATATGTTTGCCATCTTGAAAAGTCAGAGCTGCGTGGCATATGCAAAGAGTAATCACACGGCTTGCCTGGGCATATGAGATGAGATGCTTTTCGCATAGGAACTAACCACACAATCCCGGTTCTCAGTGTGGTTTTCATAGTCATGGGGAGGAAAACCTGCATTATACCATTTAGGTTCCGAATTTATTTAACCCTTCACTGACCACTTATAGAGATGTTTAACAGCGACGTGTTTAGTAGTCAAGAGCAGAGTTTATGATAGTTCGTATTTCATTTATTGAAATATATTTTATCTCAAATCTGTTTCATAAATTAATGATGGAAGTTTGGCTTCCTCATCTGTTGTTATTCTCTCCTCCACAGAACATGACAAGCTGTCAAGGATTGTGCATAGGCTAGAGACAGATTTATGTGCTTGATGAAAGCACTTGTAAATGCAAATGAGCAAACAACAGTTTTATTATTATTTGTAAAAGTCTGTACAGTAGAATTACATTTTCTGGCTCCATGAATCTGACCAGTAATTACAAACAAAATCTGAACAGAAAGCAGAATCAGAATGTCTAGCTCCATATGAGCTCTTGCGAAGGAGGTTGCTTATTTCTGTAAGTGGTTTCTGCCTTCTAAAGGATACAAAAGCAGTTTGTCTAACATGCTGTCCCCCTCCCTTAAAAAACTTTCTATTGTACTTGCATTTTGTTTGTAATTATGGCATTCATTGGGCTGTATGCAATATAATGCTAAAGTGAAGGTTCTGTTAGCACAATGGAACATGCTCCCCCTGTGTGACCCCTAAATCTGCCCTCCACAACTCTCCAGAGTAGTAGTAGTAATAATAATAATAAATTTATTATTTATACCCCACCCATTTGGCTGGGTTTCCCCAGCCACTCTGGGCAGCTTCCAGCAGAATATTAAAATACAATGATTAATCAGATATTAAAAGCTTCCCTAAACAGGGCTGTTTAATAAATTTAGAGATGGTGTGGGATGCACATGGGTGGAGTAGAGGAGGAAATACTGTTGTGCTAGTGCTAATCCTTGTGCTAGCACAGCTATTTAGTTGCATACCGCCCATTGTAGACATGATGAAACGTACTATGATGCCTAGAACTTGCATCCTAGGATTGACACTTCTTCTCATTTCTCCATATAGACAATTCCTCATCCCTTCTCGAAGATGAAGAGCTAGGCATGGAGGCAAGCAGCTGGCAGCTGAATAGCACATCTGTAAATGGCCATAGTGAAACCCCAACAACAGCTCGTTTCCCCAGCTGGGTGACTTTTGATGACAATGAAGTCAGCTGCAATTCTCCATCCACTTTATCCCCCGTAAAAACAGATTCCCCACCATTAGTAGCAACTGCAGCAGCAGCAGTCACAACAACACAGATCACAGATGTGAACTCTCTTACCCTCTCCTCATCCTTTAAGAAAAGGGAACGCCCCAGAAGTGCATTGGCTGACCTCCCTAAAATTCAGAAACTAGACCTTTCCTCAATAACCAGCTTGCCTTTGTTTAGTGGGACACCCCCTTGGAGTGCTACTAACCCTTTCCTTGACGAATCCCTGAGGGATGTTCAGCCTTCTCCTATCAACCCGTTCAGCTCTTTCTTTGAAGAACGGGACAGGCATTCTCAAACCTCTCCCATTTCTGGCAGAAACCAGAGAGACTCCCTCATTATCCTCCATCAGGAGCCTGACTGCATCAGCTTTAATGAGCCAAGTAGACACCTCAGGCACAGAGATGCTGTCGAGCAGCTCAAGCAACTCCAGATCGGGGACCCAGATCAGCTGAGCAGTCCTACTCTGCCCGACGATGACCCCACAGTGCCAACTGAGCTATACAGCACCGTGTCCTTTCTGGGGCCACCTCCGCGAAAAGATGGCTGGCCAATGATGCTGAGGATACCAGAAAAGAAGAACATCATGTCATCTAGACACTGGGGGCCGATTTACGTCAAGCTGACCGAGAGCAGGTACTTGCAGCTCTTTTACGAGAAGGGATTGGAAAAGCCTTTCAAGGAATTCAAGCTTGACATCAGCCATGAGATTTCAGAACCCAAACTCCAGAACTATGATGAGAATGGGAGGATACACAGTGTGAGGATAGATCGCATCACCTACAAGGAAAAGAGGAAGTACCAGCCAAAGCCTGCTGTCTCTCACATAGCGGAGAGGGAGCAGGTTATCAAGCTGGGTACCACCAGCTATGAAGACTTCCTCAGCTTCATCAGGGCGGTCCAGGATACACTAATGGATTTGCCTGCCTCGTCAACAGACCTGAGCACAGTGGGATTGAACTACCAAGAGGAAGAAATCACTGTGGATGTAAAGGACGAGTTCTATGGCACCTTGGCCAAAAGAGACAATAGGATTTTGCAGCACAATGTGTTGACCAGAGTGCATGTTCTCACTTTCCTTTCTGGCCTGGCGGAATGCAGGCTGGGTCTCAACGATGTCCTTGTCAAAGGGAACGAAATCGTCTCGCGGCAGGACATCATGCCCACTACCACCACCAAGTGGATTAAGCTGTACGATTGCCAGTTCCACTCCTGTGTGGAGGAGGAGGCGTTCGCCAGCGCCCGCGTCATTCAGTTTAACCCCTTGGACGCCTGCAGGTTTGAACTGATGCGCTTCAGAAGCGTGTTTTCCCAGAAGACATTGCCTTTCACCTTGAGGGTTGCAGCTAGCATCAACGGCGCTGAGGTGGAGCTCCAGAGCTGGCTGATGATGTCTCCGGGGTTCTCCTCCAACAGAGACCCTCTCACTCAGGTTCCCTGTGAAAATGTGATGGTCCGCTACCCAGTGCCACAGGAGTGGGTGAAAAACTTCCGCAGAGATAGTGTCCTCGGGGAAAAGTCTTTGAAAGCAAAGGTGAACAAAAGCGCCAGCTTTGGATCCACCAGTGTGTCCGGTTCTGAGCCAGTAATGAGAGTAACACTAGGAACTGCCAAATATGAGCATGCCTTTAATTCCATCGTATGGAGGATAAATCGGCTGCCCGACAAAAACTCTGGTGGGTACTCGTGCTTCAACTGGGTAATAATACTGGGAAAAGTTGTATTTTGGGTGCTGGGTCATATTGGAGTAACGTGCAACATTAATGGATCAAACGGTGTTCTGTCAGAAGGTGCAAACAGAATGCCTGCATAAAGCGAAGTAATTACATTTTTTGAAGATATGAAAATTTGCAACAGTAATAGTAGTAATTAAACATAGCAGTACTTGATTGTATTGAATATCACTTCTCATGGTTCTTAATTGCCTCCCCTTTTTTTCGTTTTGCTTTTCTTCCCACCATCCCCCAAAATCTGGCTCTGCTTACCCCAAGAGTTTATAGGAGTCTCCTCAAAGAGCAACAATTCCCAGCACCCTTAAGGAACTGTAGTTCCCAGAATTCTTTGGGGGAAGCAAAGACTGTTAAAGTGGTAAATGAGTGCTTTAAATGTATGATGTATAAGGTGATACAGGAAAAACTTTGTTGGAGAAGTTTGTTTGAGAACCCTTTGCAAGAAAAACTTAGCAGCGTATGCACAGGGTCTAGTTAAACTGCCCAGATACTTGTTTAGGTAAAAATATCAAAAATGAGAAGGCAGAATGGACCCCACCATCCTTCTCTTCTTTTCTCAGTATTTCATTTTTCTCCTCATCCCGTTTACCATTCAAAGCCTAGTCTCACTGTCCTCCAACTCCTTTCTTTCCCCCTTTTATCACAAGCTGTGGCAAAAAACAAAAGCCCTATTATATGAAAATGTATTTTTTAAACATTTTATACCTCACATTTCAAAATAAAAGCTTCAAGGCAACTTGGCAAGCATGAACTGAAACATCCAGTGAGAAATTAAGAAACTATATACTAGACACAGCAATAAAAACCAATTCAGCAGAGGTTAAAAAGACTAAAAGGAGAAACATCGAATAATCAAAATGACAATAAAAGCATTAACAAAAACAACCTCGATCAAAAGGAATCTGAACAACAGGTGTTAGAATCCAGGTATGTCCTGGACAAGGTAAGAATTGCATCGATGGCTGGTTTGTTTGCTTTTCTCTACTTTGAAATGGGACTGGGGTGGGGCGAGAGGACAACAGACCAAAACTGACATTCTGCATATGTTTGGGAAGAAGGATTTCCTCACAACTTCCTATCTAGGAAGAAAGAAAGCTCAGAGTCAGAGCTTTCAGGCATTGGCTCTGGCACTATTATGATTTGGCTGTGGAATAAGTGTGTTAAGCCAAAAGGCATATGCCTAGCTTTATGCAGAATCCCATTTTTCTAACCTTGTGCACCCTTCATATCTGCTGCTGGGCCTTGTTCTGACAGGCTGTAAACCTCTCTGGGCTGAACCACTTTAGGCTGCAGGTAGAAGCTGACATGAATAAAACTCCTATATTCCAAAGCCTCCAAACACGGAGAGCTTGGTGGGCAGGGGGGATGCTATAATAAACCCTTCTCCCTAACATCTGATTTAATTCAGGGGGCATTATTTATTGGTAGGAGTCAGTCATGTGAGTCCCCACCTGCAGTCGGTAGTGGTTCATCCCAGACACAGATTTACTACCTTACTAATGAGCAGAGCTACATCTTTCTTTGTATACATAATTTGGGCTGCTTTGCTATAAAATGTGAAGGTGATGACTATACCCAAAAAAATAGTGCAATCCTATGCTTGTTTACTCAGAAGTAAGTCCATTATATTCCCAAGCAGGTGTACATAGCCTTAGCCTAATGGGTCTTTCTGGCATCTCATTAAATTGGCCCAACTTAAGCCTTGCTTTAGTTATGCGTGAAAGTTTCCCCTTGCTAAGCACAAGGCAAGTGTTGTCACTGCACAGATGTCTGTTGTTGTTGTGCTTGAGGGGCAGCTGTTTTTATATAATCTATGTCACAGAACCAGTCCAAAAAAACAACAACAGCCCTATGCTGTGGAATTGGATTCCGTGAGGAGCATTTATGTGACTGTTCCAGGAACAGCTTGGTAACTTCTAACGCAGTCCCCTGATTCATAAGCAATGTGTTGATGCTGGCTGATAAAACAAGCCTTGTTTACAGCCTGTGAGGAGTCTCAGTCCCAACTGGACAGGATTCAGGGCTCCAGCGTGAAAGTGTGTTTTTTAGTCAGTCAACAGGCAAGCCGAACAAAGAGTGTTAAGAAAACATTGATTCATCGAAGGAGTTTCTGCCTTGACTGTGGAGAAATACGATGCATTTCAAAGGACAGCACAACTTAAACCACAGCTTTGGATCTGAAGACTGGAAAACTGGTGTCTAATCAATGTTCATCATTACGGAATGCCCCTTTCTCCCTAGTGCATTATGTTAAATATCTGAATCCGAAAATGCTAAAGCACATTTTCCTATGGAGCTCACACTGTTTATATAGCACACATAAAAATAAATATATTCCAGTTTAAACAATATATATTTGACAGCGGAAGATTCAACATTTCAATAGGACCTACATCTGAGTAAACATATTTAGGATTATAGGTTTAGGTCACATTCTAATCTGTGCTGCCCATGTTCATGCATGTCTCAACCTGCACTGATCCTTCACCTGCCCACACTATAGATAGGAGGTATTAGCAATTACAGTCCAGATACAGAGGCATACATGCTTCTCCCATACTACCCAGTTCCTGATTCTAAAGAAACATCTTCCTGTGCTCCTGTTACTAATACTAAATGGCAAAGAGGGAACATGAACAGCTCTACCCAGACGTACTCTTTGTGACTCTGCCAAGGTTTTCGCTTGCACAAGGTCTGGGGAGGTTATATGACATCCACTATTACCGTAACTGAGCATTCAATTTGATTTATGGGGAGGTCATATAGTGTTACATCAAGCAACTGTTATTCCACCTTTTCCAGTTTGTTTTCCTGTCACTTTCCTTACTGCAAATCAGGTTTCTTGCAGTGCAAGATGACCTAATTCACTGCAATCACGCAACCTGAATTTGCTGCCATGTGACTGAATCCTACTCACGAAATAATGTTAGTCTGAAAATGGTTCCAGAACACACTTGTCAAAATGTTGGTGTCACAGACAAAAACATGCTTTGCATCCATGAGAATCATTCAAAAGTCAGCACTGGAATATGTTATCCACACAACTTACGTGCTGACTACTTCCTGTATATTGGATGCAACAGGAATCTGACATTAGATCACTGGCATTAAAGCAGGCATTTGGGGACCTAAGCCTAGTGTGGCTTGTTATGGTCACCTAGTAAATTCAAGGGTGCAGCAAGATTTGAACTGTGGGTTTCCAGAGTTACAACCCACAAACTTACCTACAATGCTGCACCAGCTGTACTGAATCAGTGACTTCCCAATGTGGGTTTTTTCTTTGCCTTTATTGCCTTTTCTAAAGGGTATATGAAGCTCTCTGTAGTTGTAGTTGTTCTTTAGTCATTTAGTCGCATCCGACTCTTCATGACCCCATGGACCAGAACACACCAGGCACTCCTGTCTTCTACTGCCTCCCGCAGTTTGGTCAAACTCATGTTGGTAGCTTCGAGAACACTGTCCAGCCATCTTGTCCTCTGTCATCCCCTTCTCCTTGTGCCCTCAATCTTTCCCAACATCAGGGTCTTTTCCAGGGAGTCTTCTCTTCTTATGAGGTGGCCAAAGTATTGGAGCCTCAGCTTCACGATCTGTCCTTCCAGTGAGCACTCAGGGCTGATTTCCTTAAGAATGGATAGGTTTGATCTTCTTGCAGTCCATGGATCTCTCAAGAGTCTCCTCCAGACCATAATTCAAAAGCATCAATTCTTTGGCAATCAGCCTTCTTTATGGTCCAGCTCTCACTTCCATACATCACTACTGGGAAAAACATAGCTTTAACTATACAGACCTTTGTCGGCAAGGTGATGTCTCTGCTTTGTAAGATGCAGTCTAGGTTTGTCATCGCTTTTCGTGTAAATCCTCTGCGGTCTAGAAAATAATTATTCAACTCTGATGTAAACAGCCAAAGTTGCTTCCCAATTCTGATTTCTAATAACATTTTCAGGGACCTTTGGCAAATCACATAAGGCTCTTCTATATTTGCATATCAACTTTACTTTATGGCTGGCAAACACTGAGTCCAACTTTCTGTTACACATCTAAGAATCTTCTAATTGACTATTTCCTGAAAAGTATCAATGAAAGGGGTGATTTACAAAGGCAGGCATTTATTTGGAGCTTCACAGGAGAACAGCAACTGGGAATTGAGTTACAGCGGAAGAGCAAATGGGAGAAAAAATTAGCAGGCTCCCTTCTGCCACTTCCACTGAAAATCTGTCTCCTGGAGGTGTTTTTTGGTGAACAAGTGGGGTTTTCCCCCTCTATCCCTACATCATGGTGAAGTGTGTGCCAAAGAGCTCCTGTTCCCTAGATTTCCAAAACATGAAAACACAGCACTTGACTCAAGAAATACTGCCAGTGGGAACTAGCCCATCCCCAAATACATGTTTTAATTCTCTTTGAAATCTTGCCTAAGCCCCTTTGATTTCAATAGGACTTCGAGCTTTAATAGTGTTATATGGATTGGACAGTTAGAAGGCTCACACTTGTCTTTAAACATGTGGGGTCTTTCTTTTATTAGAGGGGCGTGGGCGTGCCCATTACTGATTTAGAGCTTTAAACGGTATAATATCGTATGTCTTAGTATGATCCAAATGATTCCATCAGCTAATATTAGTTATCAGTTTGTCCAGATGCCTTCCAGTATCTATTGTAACAGTTTTATCAACAGGCTGATGTAAAGCATGGAAGAGTCAATCAGTTACTTTTACAAGAGGTTCTTAAATACTCTTCTAGAATATGTTGTAACATCATACTGAAACCTCACATCATACTGAAACCCCAGTAGTTTGATTCTCGTTTTTCAATAATGACATGACAACAGCATTCTGACTCATAACCATTTAATTAATTAAGCTGGCTTTCCTGTTTTGTTCTGCTTCTAAGCCTTCTGAAGGCTTGATTTCAAAGAAAAAGTTTTTGATTTCCATGCTCCTTTGCCCTTTTGTAGCTTCTGGTCACCCACACTGCTTCTTCTGCCACCTGGAGCTTGGCTCAGACCGGGAAGTGCCTTCTAACTTTGTCCGCTATGTGGATGTGGAGTTTGACATGCCAACCACTTCAGCATCCAAAGCCACCATCCGGTCCATCTCTGTGGAAGGCAAGACAGATGTCAGGAAGTGGGTCAACTATTCAGCACATTACAGTTACAAGGTACGGGCGAGCAGCTTTCTTCCAGGGATTAAGTGAATTGGGGTTAGTTAGTTTGCAAATGAAACTATTTTATAGTATGTCTATCGGGACCACGAACTGCAGTGAATGACTAGATTCTCCATGTTGTCTTATATAAGTCTTCTACCATAAATTTCCAAGTAGAACTACAGTAGGCTTTGTAGCTCAGTGGTAGATTATATGTTTTGAATGGAAAAGGCCCCAGATTCAGTCCTTGGCAACTCTAGATATCTGATGGTAGGGCTCAGAAAGATCTCTTGCCTGAAACTGTTGCACTCCCCTGAGAGTAAACAACACTGAGCTAGATGGAGCCAGTGGTCTAACTCTGTTGAAGACACCTTTATATGTTCATAAACCTAGGAAGAGGAGAAATACATCAGATACTCCTCCCATTTTTGCTATAAGAACAGTGATGTGGGTGTTGCAGAAGGAAGCTGGGATTACTGTACTAAGTCCCTACCTCCTTGAGCTCCTTCATTGTCTGATTTCAATCCAGCAGGCTTGAGGGTTCTTCCCATCAAATGGAACATTATGACACTGATTCCATGCTAATCTCCTCACCCACTGCAATTTTGCCAACAACAATGAGGGTTGATGGGGTTGCTATGATTGGAATCTGTCCCACTTTTGCAGATGAGAGTCTCATGTGTAGAAGGGTATATGTCCACTGTCTTCACTGTAGAGCAGAGATGGAGAACTTGACAGCCTTCAGAAGTTTCTCGACTACAGCTTCCATTGTCACTGACCACTGCCCATGCTGACTGAGTCTTATGGGTACTGAAGTCCAACAATAGCTGATGGAGGGCCCAGGTTCCCCATCCCTGCTTCAGAGCAGGTTGCCATTGGCTGACGTAGAAATTTTACTGTTCTTTTCCCACAACTCCCAACTTCCTCTTCCTTATCAGGTGGAGATAGAGCAGAAGAAGAACTTGAATCCAGATGTGATGGAAGAACACACTGATAACCCCAAGGGCTGTGCTGTGCAGTGAAAGGAAAGGTCCATCTGCAGTTGGAACAGAAGAATCAACAGGCCTTGAAGAAGAAGGAACAGCATGTTGCTCCTGCTGTAGGAAAAGCCGGATAGAATCTGGAGCGCCGTAGGGTTTCCTTGTCCTCTATGTCTATACTTAGAGAGGGACCTATTTTGGGATTTGTTTACAGCAGACTGGTGGCTTTGGTAGAAGCACACTAAGCATATAGTATATAGGCTTACAACTGATTCAAGCCTGCCTTCGTCTCTGACACTAATCTTCTTACAGTGATATAATGGTATTTTTTTTCAACTCAAAAGGTGTAACTCTAGTCTTATTGACAGTCTTTCTCCCCCTACTGTGTGCTTGACATTACCTGAACTCTTGCAATTCAGTCCTCAGAAGAGCTCTTCCAGGTACTCTGCAGAAGCACTGAGGGGGAGGAAGGAATGAGAGATGCACCACAGCATCCCTTGGGTTTTCTGTCATGTCCATGACACTTAGTGAAACATTTTAACAGCTTTTCTTCACCAGTGTAGACGGAACCCCTGGGAATTCCACTGGGTGAAGGACAAGTGGATTGACCTTCCCTTCTTATCATCTCCAAGGCAGAACATTTAAAAATTGCACATTTCCTTGGATTTTGGTGGCCAGAAAGCTTCCTTTATTCACTTAGACTGACAGCGGGGCCAGGATTATTCTTTAGACTTGACATAGTTATAGCTGCCAGTAGAGGGGACTAAGATAATATTTGATCAGGCTTGACTGGGAGGATACAGGAAGGAAATAATTTCATTTAAATTAATGGTCAAGTGAATGGTCGGGTGGACTGGTTACTTCTCTGACAGATGACAATTTATATTCTTGATAGGGATAGAGAAAGGAGGTGCTCTGTTTATTTTTTTGTAGATGTTGACAATGCTGCTTTCATGTTCTGTCCCAAAACCTACATCTTATTTTAGAAAGACTGCAGTGCCACAGTTGTGTGTGATATTCTTACTTTATAATGTACTGGCATAATGGCATAGCAGTCAGTATTGTCAGTACTCTTTGAATTCTATGTCTACAATAGTCTCACACAAGTGCAAAAATTAACAAAGTCCAAGTTTCCACCCCACATGACTATAAAGATAATCTTGAAAATGTCTGGATATACCTGAGCAGAATGTTCAAGGGTCAGGTGGTAAATGGAATTGAAAAGCAGCATGGGACTTCAGCACAGAGGCGTTATCATGCAGTTGGGTCATTCAGATCCATTTGTTGTGTGTGCAACAACTGGTACACAAATATACAACCATCCCTCTTTTTTCACCCACAATATTCATTGCTATTCCACCTGTGGGTGGAGCTTAACAGAATATATGCCATGTGGGAGAGTTTTATCCCTCTCAGTCACTCCACCACCACCTTTTTACATTGTGAAAATGTGAACAGGTATCTCTGTACCTGTGCACATGCACCTTAAAACACCAACAGCCAAATAATTCCAGAAGAGCTCAAGGTCAAACCTTGTCAACATGCTTCACAATGGGCAAAATGGAGGATAGTGTATTGGCATGGACATGTGATGCTGTAGTACAAACAACTAATTTTATCTAGATTAGAGGTAGGGAATCCTGAGTTTTCCCCCACCCCAGCAGGCTACTTTGGCAGGTGGGTACTGTTGTCCAGCTGTCAATCACCAGACATCACTCTGGTCCTCGCCAATCCTTTAAGTTTCACCCCTGTGCAGAAGTGAATTCTAAGAACATTCAAAACAACATGATGGAAAACCCCAAACCCTGAAAATATACAAATCCAAAGAAACACCACCATGCTTCCCTTCACTTATGCCCTAAGTCTGGTTTATACATGCATTTTCATTACTGGATGAGAGTAATGAAAGGATGTCTTTTGTGTTCTAATGGGCATCACAGAGAGAATTTTCATTTCACATCACCTGTAAGTTAATAGCCAAGACCCAGCTCTATACATGTGGAGCTGTTTTTAAAATGCCTATCGTCCCTTTGGAGGGGAGGTAGAAACAGAGAGGTACTATCCAGCCTTCTTCCTTTTCCTTCCCAACAGGTGATAGGTAAGATTACTGTTTGTCGAAGAGGAACGTGTTATGCACAGCTCAATCATGGAGAGGAATCACATCTACAGCACCTGGTGGTGGATGAGAATCCTCATCTATATAGCACCTAACTAGATTTGAGAAAAAGCTTTGCAGTGGAGTCCACTTCCATATGCAGGTGGCAGTTATCAGGTATAAAGTAATCAAATGAACATATGTGAACTAGACCCACTTAAAAGCTAATCCTCCAGATTAATCCTCATTCATCTGGGTGGCCACTGTTAGAATAGGATGCTGGGCTAAGATCAGCAGGCTCTTATGTTCCTAAATATGCTACAAATGCATCAGGTACATATAAGAACATGTACAGCTGATCTTAGAGCTGTAAGAACAAAGTCAGCTGATCTTAGAGAAAGCAACTGGGCAGAGCAGGATGGATAAGGGTGAAGATATCTCTTAGATGTTTGGAGTCCCAATGTATTAGTTTTCTAAAGATAACAATCAGTATCTTCTGAATTGTGCCCAGATTTCCATTCACACCCTAAAGCTTCGAATTCAACATGTCCTGTGCATCCAGTTCCATTCAGGAGATGTCATTATGTAGAATGCACTACAGCCCTTAGGCTTACAAGGCCATTTGTGATGGTTAGCAGGTGTAAATTCAAAGCTGGGTAGTATAAGACCCAGAAGCACCTTCTTGAATGGAGAATGTACAGGAGACAAGGCTATAGTCCTGAGCAGAAGAGGCTGGGACACATCATTGATGTTTATGACCTCACAAGTGAGCATGACAGCTGGCTGATTATATCTGCGTTTGGTAGATTTGCCTTCAATTGACTTGCCAATATCCTGCCCACTGTTCCGAAAAGTTACATAGCATATAATACCATTTGGCTTTAGTCCTTCTTCTGCGGTATTGTCAGCTGTGCAGGGACTGATAGAATACCCTGCTAATTTATTGTGGAAAGAAACTGTGTCTCTTTGCTAAAAAAAGGGCGTCGTGTTGCTTTCAGTCTGCTCTTTGCTGCCTCCATCCAGACGGATTGTTCATGACCTCTTGCACTATTGTGATTGAGTGGGTTGGGTTTTTTTACATATTTTGTAACAGGTTTCTACCTTTTGATGTTGTACTATGAGAGAGTCTACACACTGGTTGATACTTTAGACATTTTGTTGTCCCCCCCCCCCAAAAAAAAACACTTCTCTGAGAAATGTTCTTTTGAGTTTCATTGTGGGAGGAACTGTTGAATAAAAGCAAACGAAATGCTACCTTTATTGAAGTCAATTTATTTGTGTTGGCATTATACCTACAGATCAACATTCATAGTGCATAAGCATTAAAACTTCTTTCGAACCAAAGCCCATCCCTGTGGCCTATGAATATATTACTAATACTGTCATTTATAGTATTATACGTCATATATAGTGTGAATAGGGAAGGGGGCTGAGGGTGAGAGTGCTGTTTATTGAATTCATAGGTAAGTTAAGATTTGGATCTGCGCCTTTCTGGCTCAAAGCTGACATTCTAAGACTGTAATCCTAATTGCACATAGCTGGGGGTAATTCAGTAGAACTTATCTTGTAAGTCACCATGTTCTCAATTTCAGCCTCTGCATCTAAAGGAAAATGCTTTGGAGTGTATGCAGAGTGCATTTTCTCAACCCTTGAGCAGTCTGCCCCACACATATGATATTACAGGGTAGGGTTTGCAAGCATGCTTGAGCAATGATACCCCACTTAAACAAGGCCTGGTATAATCATTATGCTGGACATGGTCAAATAAAAAATGAAAACAGGCAGCATGCTGCAATAACTCTAATGTGATACAACTAACCGGGTGTCTGTGGGCTGGGTGTAGGCTGTATTTGTATACAACTACTGCATATATGGATGTGGCAATTCAGATTAGAGGTTACCCTGCCCACACTGAACTACAAACAAGTCCATGCTTAAAACAAGGCTGCACATTAGTTGCTCTCAAAGTTTTGCTCTACAATCTTATGCAAGAGCAGCTAAGGTGGCTCCTTCCTCATCCAGAACAGCAGGTTAGCCATCCTGCATGGAAAAGCACACCCCTTTATTAGCACATGTATCAGATGACTTTGTACCTAAAATGAGACCCCAAAGACAGTGGGTGCCTGAGGAGTCTTTCTTATACCAAGTCTTCTTCTTTGGTGATCACTTGTAGTCGAGTAAGATTTGTCTTCCATGGACACGGTCTTAACAGCGAGTCCGTGACTGTGGAGGCCAATTCTGGATCCACACGTTTTTCCACAGTGGGGATATACCGTAGGTTTCCGGGTGGGAGTTGATCATGGTGAGGGTCTGCCACACGTTCCTTCCAAAGCATGTTTTGTCCTGAGTTCAAGCATCTTCAAAGCCAATGACACCTTTGGTAAAGGCTGTACTCCAATTGGAGCACTTGCAGGCCAGTGTTTCCCAATTGTCAGTGTTTATACTACATTTTTAAAAGATTTTCCTTAAGAGAGTCTTTTAATGTCTTTTGTTGACCACCAGCATTACACCTTCCATTTTTAAGTTGGAAATAGAGTAGATGCTTTGGAAGACGATAATCAGGCATCTGCACATGACCAGTCCAACGAAGTTGATGTTGAAGAATCATTGCTGGTGATCTTTGCTTCTTCTAGTACACTGGCATTAGTTTGCCTGTCTTCCCAAGTGATATGTACAATTTTTCAGAGACACCGTTGATGGAATCTTTTGAGAAATTAGAGATTGTGTTTATAGGTGGTTCATGCTTCACAAGCATATAGTAAGGCTGCTATTACAATAGCTTTGTAAACAAACATTTTGGTTTCCCTGCGAATGTCATGGTCCTCAAACACTTTGCACTTCAATTGGGAGAAAGCTGCACTCGCAGAGCTCAGGCAATACTGGATTTTGGCATCAATGTCAGCCCTTATGGAAAGATAACTGCCCAGGTAGGAGAAGTGATTGACAT